TATTTCTCTGCAGCGGTCTCTCGATCCGAAAAAATGTATTTTTAGAGCGTCCCAGTGGCTTTACTCATGATATTGCCTATATATGTTCTCAGGTCTAAATGATAAATACTACACATATTGCAGCAGGTTTGTGGGTCACTCAAAATCATAATTCAACCCAGGTTCAAACCAAGGATCTCTCGTTTACACATAATTGACAAAAATGATTCAGCCCGGACTCGAACCGGAGACCTCCTGTGATCAACTGTGAGACAGGTGTAATAACCACCTATACCACTGAACCTTAAAAATTGTTTGGCGTAACCATACATAATCAGCTTTCTGAGTCAGAAAAACATAGTTGCCCAGTCTACACCAACGGTGACGCCCCGAACCCCATATGACATGGGAAGATGCTCAATATTTATTTTCCTGCTTCGTCTCTTTTTCTTTTTCTTTTTTTCTTCTCATCAGAATTGTGGCTGGTGGTGTTATACAGAGGGCAAGAGTTTGTTGGCTGCGTTGAACATGGGCGGTGAACGGGCCGGGCTTTAGATGTTTGCTCTTACGGTAACTTGAGGGGTGTCAGCACGTCGCGGTTCATGCACTGCCGTTGCTAATCGCACCTGCTTATAATGACTAACTTTGCGTTTTGCATGCCCATGCTGGGGAGTAAGACGTTTTTCGGGTGCCAAAGTAAGTACAACCTACACGAAGTCACCTTTTGATATCCCCTGATCATGCAGGTAACCTTCATGTCTCGCCTCAGTTTCAAAGAGTCCAAGTCCCAAAAATGGACCGAACAAATGTGGCGGGAATGATTTTTACCCGCCATCAAACACTTATATTATAGATCAAGTGGCGTGTATTCGAATATGGTGTTCTGCCTCTTTCGCGGAAAGCTTAGTGTCAGTTTACTAATTGGCTTTGATCAAACTTCTTCGGTCTCGATGCTGTATATGCAGAGCTAGAAGCATCGTTTTGGAAACATCCGACTCGAAGCAACTAGTTTGTACACCATCCCGCTCTGGTGCTTACCGTCGAAACGTATGTTGCGTTTATGCGTCGTGCAATTCTGGTGCAAATAGTATGATCGTGAAGCGCTGATACTTGAATATCAAGCTTTCAGTGATACTCTCCTATCCCTGGTATGTACTTGTGTATCATAATCACGCTAAATAGTTTTGATTTAAGAACTTCAAGGAATTGAATTTGACTGATCTATGATCCGCGACATTGGCCACGGTAACACCGTGAGTCTCGCAAGATTCTCCGGGCTGCTGCTGTAATCTGTTGTTAGTTGGTCGTCAGCCCTTGAACAACGTCAACGGCATAACTTTTATCGATAAATCCTGACTCGTTGGTGAGCATGTCCTTGGCGGCAGTTCCATATCGCCGCCGAGATTGAAGCTATCAAAAAATAGGCCCGGGACCCAAGAACATTTCATCACCAGTACGCTAACGCGAGTTTAAGGTGTCTTTCAGCAGGGAGAAGCCTATGTTTGGGTTTGGAATTCAAGTCCTTTTCTCTGCGGCTGATCTTGACATAATAACGCAGAGTAACGGTCTACTGGCAGATTTTGAGCAGGGGCCTGATGTTTTAAGCTGCGTTTTTGAGGAGTTGGTTCCAGGGTGCAGCTGCATATTCAAGTAGAATCCCCCCTTTTCAGACGTGTTACGCGCCTGTGGAGGTCCGCAGCCTATTTGTTGGTGCCCCATTCGGCAAAATCTCGCTGCCCTCACATAGAAGAACGTGCTGCATTTCCATTCGGGACCTCGTCCATCGCTAATGTCCACTAGTTTCATCGAAGAACCACTATCCCTTCTATTACTTCGCAACCAGATTTGTTCCCGTCATACCGATCTGATGTTGAAATGTCACAATCGATTGCAAACACCACGGACGACAAACACTACGTCAGAGGCGTAGTGTTTATAAAGTGAATTTGTCCGATGTCAGTAGCCTTACAACCTCACCCGGTGCTCTTGCAACTATCATGGTCTTCGCTCTGCTACAAAGTTCATATGCCCATCCTGCTAAAGGGGGTCAATCGATATGGTGATCCTGCTTCGCGTCTACACGTTAAAGCCATGGTACTAATCACACTATCATTGAAATCACAGGCTGAACCCCATGATGCAGTACATCTCGTCTACTGCTCGGTCTTCCGTCCTCAATGTCGTGCAAGGCGCAATCACCACTGGTCGCCTTGATATCGAAGAGAATGGCGAGGTGTATTGCTACGGGCAAGTGGTCAACGATTGTAAACCTATCAGACTGCGCGTCCTTGATGACAACTTTTGGATGAGAGTGGCGATGTGAGCACTAGCTTGGCACGTTTCTATGATGTTATTGACCACGGCGTTAGGTCCGGCGGGCTCGGATGTAAGTGATGTTCTCAAGCCCGTCATGCTGTCTAATGAACTGTTCGTATAGTCAGCGAAGCATATATGGCTGGAGAGATTGAAGTCAGTGATATTACAGGGATTCTTGAGGTCAGTGTTTTGGCACTAACCACCGTGGCATCATTGACGCATAATCATCGCTCTAAGCTCTTTATCGATAATTTAAGCTTAGTCTCGAACGTGGCATCAATCTACGGTCGATTAGCTGCCAAGCTCACCAGCCTTTCAAACTCCTTCATCAATCAGAGTCGCTTTACGGCTAGACTGAATGCCATTGCAAGTTACGACCAATCCAATGATATCTTCCAGGTTTAGCCTAGTTGACAATTGCACTTGATTCGCACTAACATAACTTGTTCGCCAGGCCTTCTTGAGCAAGGAAATGATGTATTCGTGTGCGTTGTGGAGCGGTGAGGAAGACGGTGTAGATGGTGACCTTACGCATGGGCCCACGTCCGACGACCTAGAGAAAGCCCAAAAACGCAAACTCCATCGTGTGCTACAGCAGGCGCGAGTGAAACCAGGTCACCGAATTCTCGAGTTTGGTTCCGGCTGGGGTGGACTCGCTATCGAGGCACGCTTACGCACTGTATCAGTTTTTGTCTTACTCATTAACCGTTATAGGCTGCGCGTAGCTACGGTTGTGAAGTCGATACGTTCACGCTGTCTATCGAGCAGAAGACACTCGCTGAAGAGCGCATCCGGGAGGCAGGCCTGGAGGATCGTATTCGTGTTCACCTACGTGACTACCGTGATATCCCCGCGGAATTTGAAAACAGTTTCGATGCATTCATCAGCATTGAAATGCTAGAGCACGTTGGGCCCAAGGTACTGTAACAATCCTGTACTAGTGCTTGAGCTGAAAATCGACATTTGACAGTGGTACAATACTTATTTCAAGACTGTGGACTTCGCACTCAAGAAGCGCAATGCGACAGCCGTGGTTTGCTCTAGTACGTTCCCGGAAGGGCGGTATAGTGATTATCAGTGCGCTTTCCTCCCTTCCTCGTCCCTGTACGTTCTCACGTTTAGACTCGGTCCCCAGGGCTGAAGATTTCATGCGGCGCTACATGTGGCCCGGCTCGTCCTTGCCAAGCGCGACTGTACTGATCAATGCCGCCCATGCTGGATCTCAGGGTCGCTTTACTCTCAATCACGTGGAGAACCACGGAGCCCGTGCGTCTACCCAGCTATCGTTAGTATAGCATTCCAACGATCGCTCATTGGATATAGACTACCCGCGCACCCTTCGGACATGGGGTCGCCGCTTGAAAGCCAACTTGAGCCAAGATCTGATCGCGCGGACGTACCCCGCGTTAAAGGACGACATTCAGTTCAGAATGTTCCTTCGGAAGTGGGAGTATCAATTCGCATACGCAGGCGCAGGTTTCACCAAGGGTTACTTGACTTGTCATATGCTGACATTTACTCGGACGGTTCGTCTCCCCGCTCAATCATGAGCCTTACTTTAAAACCATCTTTTTAATAGGACGATCCTTCTCCGCTTGTATAAATAATCGTCTGGGGAATCAGCGACAGCACGACCCTTGTCTCACTCGACATGCTTAATTTTCTATACATCATTCTTGGACACATGTAACAATATTGTACGCAGAAATTGTGAAAAAATGTATGCAGCATTCTATATCGGAATTAGGCACGCGTCACATATCCACCCTGAGTGGTACGTACGTTGTAACAACAACACTACTCCAACTTGTGACAGGTGAAGGCAGGAAATGGCAATGACGATCAATTGTGCCCCCCTCGCCCTGGAGACCATCTGATGTATCAAGCATCTCGGATGAGTGTGTTCATCATTCATCTTGGCCTTTTTACATGCTTATGTGTCTTGCTTGTATTTTCTCACTCGGTGCGAACGACTGATTTGCGCGACAAAAATTATTCGAGCGGCTAAAAGTACCCCAGTGTCGGTGCACCGTCAGCTAGTCCACGAAGAGCGTTGAGCAGCCGCTCATCCTCCGCAGGCATGGTAGCCATCCTTTCCACATCCCCACCGACAAGCCCTAGGAAAGGCAGTTCATCGACATCACAAATCGTTCCCTCTTCCGGTAACGTCCCGTTTATGAAGTATTCGCGTACATACTTGGCCGTGCACAGCGAAGGAGCCGACGAAGAACAGTGCCCAAAGGATCTCTGCACCAACAATCCCGAGCCGCCATATCGTGTATGCACCTGGCGTGCGTGGGATAGAGGACAGACAGTGTCGTGCGTCGGTGAGATAATGAGTATCGGATGGGAGGTCTTCTCGGCCGCCAGCGGGCCCATGTACCGCCACTTCGGCCGAATTTGCCAACCAGTACATCGCAGGTACTCAACGCCCCATATGGGCGCCGCCAGCGACGATGACGCAGATAATTCTGTAAACCACTCTTCGTAGTCTTTTGGTGTATACATAACAGGCTCACCATCGCCACATGCAATTGCTCTGAACGCCTCCGACCCAGTGAGCTCCGGCGGTTCCCTCTCACAGTTGCATTCAAAGCCCCCGCCGAATTTGGAGGACATAGTCGCTAGCGCGCTTTGGTCGACCTGCTCAATCGCAAGCAACATGTCAGCAAGGGCAGCATACTGGGCTACGGGCTTATGGGCGGCTTGGAATGCAACGCTATAGATGGCTTTGCGCGTAACGACTAGCGGGCCACCCTCCGCGAAGGGCACGGCAAGCGGCTCCTCCTCGAGGCCATCCATGATTGCGGTCACCCTAGCCTTGACTTCGGCGGCTGAGGGCATATAAAGTGGACACTTTTCTGCACCGGCGCGGCTGCAAAACGTGAAGAAAGACTCCCAGACGGCATCGGTGTCGACGAGGTTGGTGTTCCATGATAGGCTGCGGTAGTCGTAGCCATCGAGGACGCCGTCGATGATAAGTCTATCGACCTTATCAGGGTACATGGCCGCGAAATATTGCCCAAGCACCGAGCCGTAGCTCTGTGACAGAATAAGAGGGTGTCACAGCATAACTTTAAGCGGATGCTCACAAATCCCCAGTATTTGAGCTTCTCTTGGCCCAGCTTCTCTGTGATCCGCAGCATGTCCGTTGCAACACTTGGTGTGCTCATGAACCTCCCTGTTCCCCACTCCTCCGCAGTGCCGTCCGGATCTTCCCTCCCGTTTCCGCCCAAAGCCTTCTTGCATAGAGCCCCAACAGCTCTTTCCCGTGCCACCGTCAATCCTACCGATCCGTCGCTCAGGTTGAGGAGTCTATCTCCTGCCTGAAGGTTCCATATCCCTTTTGCCGACTCCGAGTTGAAGCACGACGCAAGCGGCGTGCTGGCGCCTGTGCCGCGAGGATCGAATCCCAGCACGTCAAAAGACCCGCCCGAGATGTACGAGATGTTCCGTCCTTGACGCATCACGAAGTTCGTGCCTGATACACCAGGGCCACCGGGGTTGATTAAAATCGTCCCTTTGTAGCTCTCCTTGTCGGTGGCAGGAAACATCTGTAGTGCGATGGTCACATTTGGCCCGACGCCGGGTGGGGAGAGATAGTCCAGAGGCAGGATCAGCCGGGCACACTGGTATTCGGCGAAGCACGGCGTCCACTCAATCTCTGTTGAGGGCTTAATCTGGGGAATAAAGTAACGTCAGTTTGAACGTCAATCGGCCAGGGTAGGACTCCTCATACGCACGCTGTTCCAATCGAAAGCAGGGCCTATCAATGACTCAGAGAGCGCGTGCACGGTAACCACAGATGCTTTCTGCGTCGAATAGAGGGTATGCGCAGAATAAGCTGCGGCTGATAGACATAACAGGCCTGTAGGAACACGAGTCCACCACGTCCGCTGCCGAGCACGCTGGAAGGTAGTTATAGGAAGTGACTCGTGGCCGTGCTTGGAGTCCATGTTGCCTTCAAACTTGAAGCAACAAGAGGGCGAGGGGACTGCACAACGAAAGTTGGTAACTTGTATTACTTGTATTATATAACCTCTGGAGCTTATTGCGACGTCGCGACGTACCTGTCAGTGCAGTGTGCGTCAGTGATGGCCTAGATTAACGAGAGTCAGGCCGAATGTAACAGGCACGACCGGGCAACGAGGTTGAGCAACCGGAACGCTAGGCGTCGAGAGGGCGAACGAGAGGACAGAGGATTCGCGAACAAGAGTGCCAGCTACTGGCGTTGATTCCACCAGGGTACAAGAGCCAAATGAGCGAGACTTAGTATGCAGGAACAACCGAGACTCGAAACGATAACGATCCGCGACATGATGTGCAACTACCTAAGACGAAACCGCAAACAGCGTACAACCGGAACGTCGATGGTAAGTAGTAATCAATGTCTTCGTGTCTAAATTGTCCTGACTCATAGTATCTAGAATGGCCGTGTGACGGTCTTAACCATCACACCGAATTATTAGCCAGGATCAGGGCGGCATATTTCTAGAGATGAGCTATTGTCCTCAATGCAGAGAACTAATATGCTCAACAAGGTCAAAAGGGCAAGGAAGAGAATGATTCGGTATGTCGCTAGGAGTAAGTAGCCCGGACCAATATCCAGTTGATGGGCTCATAATGCATATAAAAATCTCGTACTACATCGCCTTATGAAGTAATTCCAGGCCCGATCACATTATAATTATCCATAAAAAGCTATGCGTTATAAAGTCTCACTCAATGCATTATGTAAATATGATCATATCAACTGTAGTCTAATTGGCAACGGTTCGGACTGTTGTCCAAGCGAGGATTCTCACAACCACCTTTTAGCGCGACGCAGCGTCCCGGTGGCTTTTGGCCCACCGGAAACGCCCTAAAAATACATTTTTTCGGTTCGAAAGACCGCGGACAATACAAGACAAAATGCTATATGGATAGGGAGGGATGGTGGGTATGCGAAAAAGGGATCTGGCGTGATCCGTTTGTTAGCCACGAAAGAGAGTGCGCTCTCCGAGCTCGAATTAAAAAACATACCTGGCGGGATCCTTGAGGTGCAAGAAGGAGTGTGCGCACTCCTATTTCCTCTACCCGCCAGGTATATCACTCTGTTTTGTCGACCCCCTGAGTTCCGTCAGCCTCCAAATCAGCTCGGCGGGAGCCTCCAAAAACGGAAGGCGTCGTACCGGGCGCGGTACGAATCATGTCACACTGGTCGCCCTTACGGTCAAGCAGAGACTGTACCTCTCCAGTAATAAATTCCATTTCGGATGATCCTACCGGGCGCGGTAGGTTTGAGAACTTGTAGCGCGTCGGCCCCACACCAATTAGATTTGCGAAAATAAAACTTTAAGCTCAATTCAAGTTGGTAACCATAAACCCTAACCCGACTACGGGCTTGATCGGCGGGCCGCGCCGTCTCTGCTTACAGCTTCATCACCAAGACAGTGGCCGCGTCTTGTTACTCTGTGTGGTCTGTCCTACTCAGATACAAGCATCCACATCTACATCCATCTGGCTTGATCTGGATTTTCTACTTTCTTTGCTCTCTGATATACATGTCTGCCTTTCACATTGAAACTGTGCTCCCTGTGGAGGTCCTCGAAATTATTCTCCATAATTTACCTCAGGGGGATATCCTCACCGCAATACGATCGTGCACTCGCCTTTACCAGGCTGGAGTTCGTGTTCTATATCAACATATACCTTCCATGCCAATCGTACGTTGCGTTCGCTTTCTACGGACTATCACCTCGGACGCAGCGAAGGCGGCATTCGTGTACTCCTTGACCATCGATTGGTCTGAACATCACATCATTTGGAATCTCTTTCAACTGCTGCATCGTGCGTTGAAGCAGCTCACGTTGCTGCGACATCTTCATATTGAGTTCTCGCCACACGACAATCAGCTTGATTTATCCTGGCTATATAGGCACACCAGCTTCTCCTTGCGCACGCTCTCGATTTCCACTCGCTGCGATTCTGGTCTTGCAAGATTCCTCGAGACGCAGCCACTTATACACGAGTTATGCCTGCGAGGATTCCACACCAACTCACCGTTTGTACTCCTACCTGCTGCGTTGCCACGCCTCAATTGCCTCCGGTCTGTTCATGCTGGGCAGTCCATCCTGTCTGAAGTCATCAGGGGCAGGCCACTTGAAAGCATTTCGTTAACGTTGTTTCCGGAGAGCGAGCTTGCCCCTCTAGACACGCTTCTGCTATGTCAGCGTCCACCCAAACGACTTACGATCATGGCTTTCGACGACTTCACTCCCGAGAGATTGTTAAGTGAAGTTGCCTCGCGACTTCCAGGACTAGAAGCACTTCATGTCGTCATTCTTCTGGCGCCTTACAGCGTCGTGAGTCTAGCCTTTGCATTGACCTGCTGTAGCTGACCGCAGTCGAATTCAGCAAACTTTGTTGCGTTCCGGGAGCGTGTTATCGAAATTTTCTGGCCTGCGCTATATCACAGTCATCGTCAGCGAGTCGGATGCTCCAATTGGTGATGACCATGGAATTGCTTCCGCATGGCATAAATTTTGCCCGACTCTGAAAACCATCGTGTTACCGGGTGGGCAGTTGTGGATTGAACGAGAGGGACAGTGGTTCTGTTCTGCATGCACGTAGATTTTGTATATATTCGGGACTAAACGTTATCTAGTTTGATGCGGTTGTTTCTCATCGAGTTCGAAGACTGCGCTACTTGCTTAGCTGTACACAATGACTTGCCTCAGTACGTCTCCAGTATGACTTATATGCACTCCGGTGATAATTATACTGCCCAGATGGCGACTCGTGCACTGTGTTGTACACGCTTAGCTGTGATTGACTCAAGCATGTGTCCTCGAGCTCGTCGCTGCCTCCCTCATTCTCCTCACTCATTGCCGGGTCAGAAATCTTTCAGATTGCAATCTTCATCCTACCAGTGAAATAGTAAGTATTGTCTTGTAGAATATTTCACCCCAGATATCAACATTCTCTATTGGCTTGCAATTTTTACAGCCCACGCAATTGATTTAAAGCGTCAACCGTGATAATGCGAATCACAATCACTGAGCGAGTATACTGCCTGTATTTTGCGAAATTTGCCAATAACCCTGAGGAGACCGGCAGAATCATTTGATTGTGGAGTTGAGCGATGCCGCATCTATGCCACCCAAAGCAATGTCGACGCTTAGGTTCGATCAGTCGACTGAGCGGATCCATTTTGGAACCTGTAGAAACAAAGAAACATAAGGTTTGCAATGTGAGAACAATGCATGTCACACTCACTTGGAAGGCATAACCCAAGCACTTCTACGTTGCTTCTGGTCAAACCGCCCCTCGAGTTCATCTGCCCCAGTAGTGTCGGCGGAGAGACAGTGGCAGGGGTGGTATTTGATTGTTCGGCCCTCTTTGCGCTCGATGCTTCCACGCGTCTCCGTTTTATGCGCGAAGTTGGGAAGTTGCCCTCTATGCTTCGCTTCTTCCCAGAGAGACCAAGTAAAACAGATGAGGTCGATGCCTCATTATTGGCCGTCGACACATCTTCCATGTAAACCCGCTTCTTCTTGGAGCCTCGTGTCCTGTTCTTCGTCGCTGGAGCGTCCTCTGTACGTATAATGACCGGTCTTATGAATGGAACCGGTCTCGGGAGGGGCACGAGGTGACTGGGCGCAGATGTTTGCGCTCTGGCGGACACTGGGACGGATTCCCAAAGCACCGTTTCAGCCCAAGGACTACGGCGTCGGGATACTGCATCCCTTGGCTTAGTGTTCCTGTCGGTGGCAGACATGTGTAAGTATTTCAGTGGAAAGTGGTGGGGTACGACGGTGGTCAAGATGGTGGTATGAGTAAATCAAAGCAAAACGCCAGTGTGGCTAAACTTGAAATAAATAGGTCATGGCTGTGGCTTAGCATGGTGTGGCAGGTTATGTCAGAATGCGGAGGCAGAAAAAATCTCCGGTTGCCATTGTGGCCGAGAGAACACCCTTATGATTGCGCGAAAGAAAGAGAACGCGCAACTCACGTCATGTCCATGCAGGAGTGCCTCATAAATATTGTCTTGAACCAACTGTTCCTGGACCATAGGCATTGCATGCTGTCAGATGAGCGAACAAAGAGACGTCAAAATAGCGGAAGGAAAGTAATCAGGCAATATGAGAGCTTACTGTATGATTTTTGAACCAGTAGGTAGTAGTGTGTGTAGACGATTGTCGATCATGTATAGAGCGGTGAGGCATTTATGTCTTGATCACGCTGAGATCTGGGCCAATGACTCGAGTAGACAGGTTATCAAAGGTCTCGGGGCATTGATGAGGCGGGTAGACGTACACCATTGAGCTAGACTTTATACCTTTGCAGAGCGGCTACGTGCGAGGTTGAAGAGGTTCTTACACACCGGACAACGATATCCACTTCCATCCGGAGTGGCGGTATCGATGAGAGGACAATGCAAGGGACCACCATCAAAGTTGATTGAACGCAAGCCTAGTGGACGTGCTGAGGATGATATTCGATGGCGTCCCAGGCTACCTATCCATTGTCCTCTCTAAGCCCTTGCATTGAAACGATGGAGAAGTATCTCACCTCTTCACATATGCCAGACTCACCTCATGCGTCGCAGCATGCGTTCACTGGTAACCTTCTTTGAAGTGAGATTGTTCAAATTCCACTATGCGCGAGCCCGAAGTATGTTCTATCGGAGAAATCTCAAGCAGGCACTCCCTCTTTCCCATTTCCGGTGGTGATCGGTATGTAGGGATCATTCAGGCCAATTCTTGTGTCCTGTCTCAGCTAACCGCCCAGGATAGGCCAAATGACAAGCATGCAGCACATACTGTACATGGATAGGATCTTGGTATTCAATAATGTTTCGACTACAATGACTACGATATCATCAATAAGAGCTGCCAGGAGTCTTTGATCCCGGAAGGCATACCGAAGTTAGTCAGATCGAAGACGATTGGAGACAATACACTGCCTCTCGCCCACTTTCGCTCAGACGTCCTTTGGCAGGTCTCTAACTTAAATCGAAATTAAATACCCTAATTTTTGTGAAGCAGCTAGTATCATATACTGTTGAGTCACAAGAAAATGCTCCCTTTCGACAAAAATGTGAATATTTTGTATAATTTAGAGATTGTACTATCTACCTGGTAAATTGGCGAGAGCCGCTAGTCTCTGCGATTCATACAGGTTTGCAACAATCACTAGTACTTTCCCTCAGACTCGAAAGGAAGCCGAACAACTTGAAGACCGTCGCCGAAGCAACCCGCTGGTGAACTCTGTGTAAGCCTTGCCACCTCGATCAAGCAATGGACCTCGAAGTTTCGGTTGAGGCCCTTTGTCACCATTATCGATACCACTCAACAAAAAAACATAACATCCAACATGAAGGTATATTTTATGAGCGTTCCGGATATATCTTCTAGTATTATATACGCTGTCATCTGATATAGTAAGGTATGCGAAACATTATCCATGAGACATCTATGTGGTCTTCTCTTTTGTACCATAGCGATACGACTCAGCTACGGCCTCAGCCTGGACACCCTCCGCCTCGATCTCGGCAAGCATCTTCTTCTCCAAGGCAATGAAATCCTTTTGATTTGCACTGGCCTTCTTCATGGCCGCCCGGCGCAAACAGTACTGGCGATACTTATCATCTGTACCGAACAGACGATCGCACCATCTGAATGAGGTCGAAAAATTGTTCACGAACGCCATGTGATGGAAGTCGTGATGCTCAGCACCGGACCAGAAAGGAAGAATGTGCTGCAATGACCAAGGAAAGTCTGCACAGCGCATGATCAGGTAGTTATAACAGGCAAAAGCAATCTGACATACCATAGCCGCTGTGGGCATCGACAGCCTGGAAGAGGCGGAGCGTGATCCAGACGTACATCGTGAAAATGTGAAGATCGCCGCGGAAGAAGCAGTACAACAGAGGTCCAGCAAGGGTACCGGTACCGAGGATGGCAACTTCAGCGGGGTGAGCGTATTCAGCTGCGAGACCGAACGGTGCAGAGTACTTGTGGTGGATCTTATGAATGTGCTTGTACAGAGGGCCCCAGTGAAGTGCTTGGTGAGCTATAAGCATGTGCAGTGTCAGCACTGATGCCATACAATGGAGTATGAGACCAACCAAAGTAATGGAACATGTCCTCGAAGACGAAGAAGAACGCGACTTGGGGTACCATAATCTTTAGCGCCGGCAGAGGAACTTGCCAAGTTGACATGCCAAACATCTCAGCCATAGGGTGGAAGAACCAAATCTTTGGTTTGCGTCATCGCCTCGTTCAGCAAAAAAGCAGAACATCATCACTAACCAGAGGCAATTCAATCGTAAAGTGTGAATACAGCACTTGTTTCGTACATTCCCACTGCTCTTGAGGGGATGGGACCTTGCCCGCCTGCAGCTTCCACTTCCGAAAGTATGGGATGGCATCTATAATGATCCATGGGACACAGCGACCGAAGTACACGATCTACATGCCAACGCATTAGCACTCGACTCGTTCTCTAAAGAGAAATGCACCTACTTCATGAAGGAGGAAGCTCATGAGACCCGTCGCGATGACTGGGTTGCCTATCCACAGGTACCACGCGGCCCATTGTGTCTCCAGCCAGTTCAACTGGGTGAAGTCGGTGTCAGCATACAACACGCCAGCTGACTCGTAAACAGGAGCTGTTGAATTCATAGCGGCGAGGTAAAACCAAGCGGAGACACCACACGGTGCGGGTGAGAGGGAAGACGCAACAGGATGAGAGAAATGGCATCGCTTGGTCGGCTGAAAATATACCTGCGAGAGTGAGTGTGGTACGATCGCTAGCCGATTAAGTAAGCTTCGCCTGGGAGTCTCGACACGTGGTCTGGGACGGCCCTGCTCAAATCGAGTCCTTTCTCGCCGCCTGGTCTCGTTACAACCCGGAACGAGACCAGGATGCGCGCACGGAATAAAATCTTCACTAGCTTCACTCACTTATCATGACTTGCGGTCGTGGCCAAATGCTGCGAAGCTGCTATACAAAATCGTCCATATCAAGTTTGATAACTTCTCGGTCGACCCAGGCACTGAAACCCTATCAGAGGACACTTCTCGTTCTTTCTGCCGCATCCGAATCTCGGAACTACTGGGATCGCACTCACCTTTTTTGCTATGTTCAATAACAGCGTGTTTCGTACGTTCTTACGCCATGTAAACGCTGCATTGTAGTGGTGATCACAACCCTTGTCGCGATAACAGGTGAGCGGATGGTATAGATCGTTATGCATGTCTGACCACTACGAATCAAAGGTGTGGACCATGCGGACCAGGTCCCGCAACTGCATCTGGACCTCGTGTTGTGCATACTAGTGGACTACACGGGATGTCATGGTTATGCAGCCATTGAATCAGACCATGAGAGGCTCTCGTACGACGACGATGTTTGATATGGGCGCTGCAAGGTCTCCTTGCCTGTTGCTGCTGCGCTCAGCTGGTATCGATAGTTTCTGTTCAGCTTGAGTCTTAATCTCTGTCTTCGTCCTCATTTTGCAGTCGGTCTCTGCTCGAGCCCGTCGCATCGTGCTTCAAATCATCAGACCATTCAATCGTTGCGCATGAGAAACATTGTGCTGCTTCTCCGTACTATATCCTGCAACACTCTTGATTCTGTTAATCCCTCGTCGTATCATAATTTTTTTGTAACTCTCAAGTAACTCCCACAACACATCCAAGTGCACCGGATAGCGGTCATCGTAGACGTGGCGAGAGGCATAGGGGAAAGCTTGTAGATGACGTAGTCACCGTCGGTCAACAGCGGGAAGGCTCCCAAACAAAGCGAGAAATTGTCAACATCTCCATTCAGGGTGAGATAGGATATCCGCTGCCCAGCTTGGCATCGTGCGCACTCACATTTCGTGCCTTTCTCAAAGTCTCATCTAATTTTCGGTTTGATAGCTGAATGGCTTGCAAGTAGCAATTTATCACGAAAGCTTCTGGATATCGATGCGAGGAAGCTCCTGTTCACGCGATGGGTATCAATTACCACCGTTCTGTGGGGACTTACTATAGCATGATGCTCATAGTTCAAACGTTCAGGCAGTAAGAATATGCAACGTTGAGATCATGTTTGACTTCGTTCAAAACAGTATACGGTAACGTAAATTTTGTTATTCTGTTCGGTTATGAGATGACATCATATTGAATCTCCAATGACAGTGTTACATGCTACATCCTCCAGACGTAGGGAATCATGTGGATACACTACCAGATGAGCGATTCTACCAGTCCCAAATGCCATGCGTCTGATCGCTGTGCTCTGTGGTCTACCCCTGCAGTATGGACTGCCTCGCTAGTGCAGTTAACCGAGAGCCAAATGACACCGTTGCATTCTCACTACGCTTTTAATGCCCTAAGGACCATCAAGTAGCAGCCACCACTACACCACCACCGGGATCAGCGACATCTTCGTTGTGCTCTTGAAGGTGTCGTTTTATCATGATACATTGTCTTGACTCGTCAGACCTTTCTCGTGAGTTGATCAAGACAAACACATCTCCTTTGGAAAGCATCTACATCTGAATGCCTCTGTTTTTCTCAATTCTGGACCAAATACTGCATGGTGAGCTATGGAGTACAAATGTGTTCTGCGAACAGTACCAAGAGTCATAAGACGAAGGCTTATAACGCTAAACTGTTCCGTATGGCGAAGCAAACTCGGCTTGGTTCGTAATTTCTACTGGCATAAATTTACTCCCATAGCACATTCAAACGCACTGAATAGCAACTATCGTAAATATAACCGGATGTGTTCTGGATAGGTCTATAGATGACGTAGCTGACATCAGTAGCCAGCGGAAAGAGTCCCAAGCAAAGCGAGAAGTTGTCAGCGTCTCCGTTCACAGCTAGGATGGGGTAAGGATACCCATCGTTTGGCTCGGCATCCTGGAATAGAACGTGAGTTGGGATTTATTTCGTAATTTTTGTGATTCACCTTGACGCAGTATATTTGTGCAGACGAAGAGGTGTTCCCATGTGATTCTAGTAGGAATTGTAGCGACATGCCTTGTGCGACAGGGTTTCCGGATACAGCAATACTAGATCCGTTCGATTCGCGTGGGTTGAGCGTGTTGTTGTATAGATAGTTCAGCTGCAATCCTGACTCAGCGAGAAAAGAATCGGATGTCTAAACAAAACAGGCTGGGTAAGTCTTCACTAATAATTATCGACCGATACTCACCGCTATTGCTACAGTTGGCGTAAATCCTTGAACTGGGGCGTAGATCAAAGGTACGCCGGAAACATTTGCGTTCGGTAATGTTATGTTGTAGGCAGCAAGTGTGAAGTTATACGGTGTGATGCTCCATGTATTATTTCCAAGCCCTGCGCATGGGCTTACGGTCTGACGAGCCTCCAGAGTTACGGTTGCGAAGGTCGATGAGCCATCCAGAGAGAGAAGCATGAGAGAGAGCATAATGTGGAACATGGAGACAGAACGATCCCTTTCTTTTCGAGCGCGGTAGGTTCTCTCAAGCTTATGTGATGTCGGAAATTTATGTTTGCACTCATCTCTCATTCACTTGTTCACTTCATACGAGACTCCGCATACATCGCAGATTACGACAACTTGTAGAACTTGAACATGTTGCAGGATCTCCTGGACATCGGAGGTCAGATGGTATTCAGTGACATGGGTAAGGAAAGGCTCTGGAACCATGCTTGCAATTTTACCGTCAGTATGAAACCAGGTACGTGATGAGACTACTGTTCTCGTGACATTACTACCGTAGTTCCGCCTGATTCGATCGCGGGCCACTTCCGTATCACTGCCGACAGCATTGTATTGGCATACAACAATCAGGCTTCGCTTGGTTCAAGATATGTATGACGTGTAGATAGCGTTTCTTGTCCGTTTGGGGATATTTGTAGGATTAATTGTACGTGACAACACCTTGGCGTGTTTACTACGGGTAAGATGTAGAGTCTTGCAGGCGTCATTAGGTGAGTACGATAACTGGATACCCACGCATTGGCTTCTGATCACTATCTACTAAGTTTCTGAAGTTTTTGTTGCAATGTCTTGCCTCTCGCCTGTCGGTTTCAACAAATTGAACGATGCCGATTCTACTTAAGATAATAGTGGACAAATATCCCAATTCGACAATATTCTTTATATTGCACATCAAGAACTCTATTGGTTCGGATGCTGTTTTCAGTAATGACAGTAGGTGCCAGCATGAAACGGGGCTTATTCATACATTTATGATCACCACTCACCGGTGCTTCTAACGTCTTCTGTCCGCCTTGCTACCACCGTAAGTGTGTCCATGTCTGAGAGACATCGTCTTCCCGTTACTAGCGAAGGCCCTGGTAGAACAAATATAACGCGATTTTACATTTATTCATACGGCTCGGATCTACCCCTTTCCCTTTGCGAGCTTGAATCGATGCACATGGAACTTATTCGCGCTAGAACGCACGTCTTGCCTTGAGACATGTTGGAGATACTAAGGGCGCTCTATAGTGCAAGCTGTCATAGTAAATAATCACCGCAAATCTGCGACGTACTGAACAATGACATTGAGGAGCACACGTAGAGGGATTTCCATGACACTATCTTCTCTACAATAAATTTCTCGTGTATGAAATATGCAGCTAGACAGCGCCTACGCTCGACAATTATAATTGCCCCGTCCCCACCTATTGTCAGCCGGTATTGTAGAGGACCTGCAAGAAAACTGGATAACATGTGTCGTAATAATAAGTTGAGCTATTTGCCACGGGTTTGTAGATAACGTTGTTAGTCGCCTCGGCCGACGTCGCCGTACACAATGAGAAATTGCCGACATCACCATACACAGCTAAGAGTGGGTATGGCGGTGCTACTCCACTACCGCTGGCTGAAGAGTCTAGGGATGGCTAGTGGTGACTGGTTAACAACACGATCCACACGCCAGGATCCATTTCACGTACTTGGAGACAATAAATCTCTCTGGCCTGAAGAGGAGGCCCAATAGGGAATGTAACAATGAAATTGAGCTCTCCACCTTCCGTAACGTTTTGGCTAGAAGCCGTCGTGGAAGTCTTGTTTGAAATAGGATATAGTCCACCATCTTCGAGAGACATAGAAGGCCCGGGGAACACATAATCAGAGAACGATTTGAACGTCTGAATAGATTATTAATATGACTTGTTATATATCAATGACATAAACGCTCACTGCAAGGACTGCCGGACTAGCTTCGACGACGCTCTCATTGGAATTGGCGATAAATGGGGCTAGGACGAGGGGCTCTCCAGTAAAATTTGCAACTGGAGATGTTCGATTCACCGCGGAGAGGGTGAAGTTGTAAGGTGATGTAGGAAGGCCGGGTCCTATGACACCGGCACATGGGTCTGCGCTTTGGCGGTTGTTCATGTTCTCCGCATAGCAAACGGAGATCGCGACGGTGATGATGGATAAAATAATGGGGAGCATGTTTGTGGCGACTTAGTGGCAAATCAGTCGGATGGTTTCCTGACAGAATGAGAGGATACACACCTCAGACGAGCCAAGTTTTATGTGTATCTCTTTTGGCGTCCATATAGCGATACACCGGCGCATGATTGAAATACGGTCGAGGTGTGCTACTACCAAGAACAAACGTCTCACTGTCAAAAATGTGGTTCAATGTGGCCATTTCCGAATCAAAATTTCCATACGGGTTTGTACTCACTGTCAGGATGAAAATGATATACCGAACTCTTGGGGCTTTCTCAGCGATTTGACCATTCACAAGATAAGACGGGGAGAACATAACTTTGACATAACCGAACATCGAGTTTTAGTTCCGTGGCTCCGCCGGGACGTACGATGACTCACTTCATTGAAATTCGATGATCGTCGTTCCCGGCACAGACCGTCAACATGATCCTCTGAATCGCCGCCAATTGGGATGGAATTAAAGAGGTTCACGGCCTAATAATTTTTGTGTCTCAATGACGAAGCATTAATCATCCGTGATCACTGGCAAAACAAAAACAAAAAGCGGCTTGAGTGTAAGCTTTGCGGGCAACTTCGAGTCGGTGTACTTTCAGCTTCGGAGGTTCGAACATTCACTGACTACGACAATGGGATCAATCCGACTTATGCTTCTGAGTGTTCGTTATGGGGCATTTGGCACAGTGGTAGCGCGCACGCTTCGCAACCTGAAGGTCAGGGATACTACTGCGTGAGGACCAGAGTTCAATCCTCTGAATGTCCATATTTTGCCACTGGATTCAGAGCATTAATGCTTGATTCATGCACGGAAGGTTGGCCAGATCCTCTTTATTCCCACATCTCTATTCATGGCTGTCAATCCAAATCCTGAGACTCGATGATTTCGGAGAGGAAACGATACGAGTAAACAGTTGGTTAAGAACTAGTATACATGCTGCTAGTTTCGCATTCAGATCGCATTCAAGCTTCATGATATTGCTATAGAGAGTCGCATCAATAAAACGCGTCGATGGACCATTCTCCGCGCGCTTGCCCCTCTTTCATCCACCCAAGCTCATTCGCCGTGAGTCCAGCAGCCCTTATGAATAAGGTACCGTCAAGGACCTCCACACCATCCAGACTAACATCATCAACGTCGGCGAGAACAGAAAGATGACCCTTAGGCCGGTCGCCGTACTTTGTCGCGAAGTGAGCCAATGCTCTCTGCAGCTTGCCAATATGATCGTCCTGATGTACAATTGTCGTTTGGAGAATCGGCAGCCATGGGTTAGATGGAGCGACCTCGGTGGACAATGTTCCATGCGTGGGCTTGACATTGACAGTGCCGTATGGCACGGGTGTGGCGGTAACGGCGGCGTAGAATTCTCGGATAGGAAGCAGCGGGCGGCCTCGTGCGACCCACCAAGCGATGGAAGATATAAAATATGCTCGGAGGAATTGGACAATAGATGAAGGAGACAGGTACGTGACAGTGGACGAGACAAAGATGCTCGATGTGACCATGTGCATCCTGAAGAATATTCAATATATATGAGCATGGATTAACAGTGTTTGCAGACTCACAAAAAGAAGTCAGCAGTGAAAGTCTTGCCAGCCTTCACATTCCTCCCACCCCATCCGCCAACACTATACAGCAGAGTGTTCGTCCAGCAGAGCTCCTCTACCTTACTTTCCACCCGTGCGGGGTCGTCATAGTCCATATACCACTCCTTTACATACGACCGCAATACGTCGCCAAGTTCTGCTAGAACCTGACTGTAGTGTGACAGGATTTCAGATCGATGGCCCACGGGAGCAAAGCGAATGGACGTTGAAGAGAAACGCTCATCCCGAAGGACACGCGCAAGAATAGTCAAGGCATGCACATTGGTCGACTTAGGGGCCGAGAGGCTACGCTCCTTGTTGAGGAGGAGAGACGCGAAGGACGAAACAAAGCCAGAAGCACCAGTTGTAACCCCACTCTGCGTCCGAAACTCTTCACGAGTAATCAGACCCTCCCCTTGAAGCGGATGGGTGGCGATCTGCGCAAGGCCTGCATACAAAGTAAGACATCATCATCAATATTCAGTTTACGGAGCAGCAGAAGACCCTTCCTCACCTTCGGCAACAAGTCCAGGGATGCCAAATTCGAGCCCATATCCAAGATAAATCATCGGGTGGAACAGCATCGAAAATGTGCGCGTGAGCATTTGCCTCTGGCTGTCAGATTGCGTCTCGGAGAAGTTGGCCGCAGGGGAGAATAAGTATTCTTCCATAGCGGCACTTGCACCCTTTTCTAAAACTACTTTATGGAAGTGTTGGAGATATGCATCGTAGTACCTGTGCCACTTCGGTTGACATAGGCTAAGCGTATTAAAAATCCGACAACTCACACTCTCTTTCCGAGATGTTCAAAGAAATTATCTTCGTCAATCACACCAGGAGACTCTAACGTCGGAAGAGTGCGGCTCTTATGGTCTCCAAATATTGCATCGAATATGGGAGGAGGAGCACCCAGAGCGAACACAGCCAGTAGGTGGTGAGATGTGTGGCTTGAAGTTCGCCTTAAGAACCTTGCAGTGTTCTAGATGACATGGACGTACTTATGGAATCCGTACTCATTGATAAATGCATGTCGTTGTTCGTGATTGGCCTTCAGAACTCTGGAGACAGCGAGTTTGCTTTCGGATGTAACACCGGGAAGCCAGTCCGGACAAAATGAATCCTGTCGCCGGGTAGGCAGAGGGAATAAAGCATCCAGCTCTTCAGAAGCAGTCATTTTTCCTGTTGATGCGGCCGAGCGTTGAGTTAGGAGAGGCACACTGGCTCGCTAATATATATCCACGAGGGCGTCGGGAAGCCCGAATTCGACAGGGGCATTGTCACATACTCGTGTTCAAGTCGGGAGCCATACCGCTCCCACTCCCCCTTGGCCATGTTCGGGGTTCAATTATGGTTGTAGGGCCATTGCGCAAGCAGAAGCTCTCTAGTAGAGTCTCACCGAGGATCGCTTCATGTAATATCTGAGTAAATCATACTCCTCCATGGAGGAGTGTTTGACTGGATGCAATGCGTAAAGCCTACTGGCGGATTTCTTGGCATCGGGTGCTCGGTGCCTAAGGCGGGAATAGGGGACGGCTTGGCGTGCTACAGCTGCGCAATAGTGGCCCTGTAATAATAGTCATATTGCTGGCGACCCGCGCTCAATGAGAAACATGAACATGGCGACCCTTAGTAAACTCGATAGGTAGCCTTCGAATAGAAGAACTGCAGACATGGTCATTTTTATAATGGCACTAGCTATCGTGATATACACAGATAACAACTCACCCTTCTTCCCGACATGCCACTGTATCAACACTTTTGTTGGTGAAGTTTACCTCACCATCAGCCGCACTGAGAACCCCGTAACATGTTGAGATAAATACAATGGCTTGAGCAGAATCCTTCATTCTGCAAGCTTGTCTAAATAGGTCGCGCTTGGAAAATCATCCCCAGGTCGTTGAGGCGAAGTGGGGCTCTGAAAGTATTCGATAACCACAGACCAAGCGATGACTTGAAGAGGAGAAAATGATTAGATGCGAGTGGGTACAAATAGTTGAATTTGAATTCAAATGTCGTTTGAGCATGTAATGTTGGAGAGCACTGGAGTAGTGTGAGGGATTCAGCGCGGCTTGGAGGTGGCGGCATCGGCTTGTCTTTTTCGCACAGAAAACTTGGAAGCAGCTGCCTTTCCGCTTTCACCGCTTGTTTACCGCCACACTGTTTCTCGCACGAGTTCTGTCTCTTTTCTTCCCTCATAGTGCTTTTGCGAAGGCGTGCTTCTCTGACTATAGCCCTTGAATTTGCCGTCCGACTGTCTTACTAGCTCTAGATCTTTTGCGAAACAGCCCGGAACTTCACCTCATCACTTTGGTCAATATTTAGCTCGAGGAAACGACGACTCGGTCAGATGGGAACCTCAAATAGCTGGACACTGGCGCACGAAATCGGACATGAGCAGACACGAGCAGTATCTGCCTCGTCAGTCAGCTTCGTTATGAGCTGCCAATCGAACTGAGGCTGTATCAAGCTCGGATCCAGCTCCCCTAGCGGAGTACTCGTCGTTTGCACCTGTTGAACGATTAATTGTCGTTCGTTATGAGCACGAGCGGAGGAGACATGTCCTGGTGCGTCAACGGTATTCTCCTTCTCTCTTGAATGCGCAATTTCACTGGTATGAGTGTCTTGGGGGTTTGGACACCTGTGTTTCGTATAAACGCGTGGCGTGGATGTGCTATTTTGTGCTGTGCGAGCGGTGTATATCACAACGTCGTCGATGCCGTTTTTTCTTTCATTTTTCGTCGAGCATAAATTCAGTCTAAATGCCAATACCAATAGCTAAGGAACACTCGCCTTGTGTTATTATATATCTATTAGATGTCACACATGGCGCGAACCACGGGTCACGTCCTATGTCCTAGTGGCGAGAATGACATACGTCAGTGCCCATAGTGGTCTGCAAAGTGTTGATAAGTTTATTCAGTGCAGATGATATGAGGGGATCAAATGCAACCTCTCAGTGATTGTACTGTTTCCTGTCGACTCTGCAGAAATGTACAATGCCGCGGATATCGTGATTGGCGTGGTCATTGTCCCTCGGTGATACACTACGAGTTTCTGTTCGAAACAAGGTGTTCTCGTAACTGAACATTATGCACGGAAATCAGAATGCGAAGAGTACTCGCTGCAAGTCATTTCAAGGTGGTGTCGCGCCACCACAGTCGTTTGGGTTGTCCTGGACAGGGGACCATATCTTCGATTCTTGATATATCCACCCCCCCAAGACTCTTCTCTTGTGTACGCTCACGCTCGCCCCCAATGATTGAGACAAGATGGATGAGACGCAATCACCAATTGGTTTGAACGATGTTGATGCATCGTCTGGTAGAGAGGCGCTCTCAGAGGCTGCCGCTGTGGATGAGCCGCGCTACTGGCGTCCCCCTACTCTGGCTTGATCTAGTATGTTCTCTGCTTGTTCAAGATTGGTCTCTCGCTTCGCCTCGCCGCTTTACGACATAAAATGGGCCTTTCAAGCCAAAATTTCCCTCTTTCCTTGCCTCCCCCAGTTCCCCCCCCCCACACACTGGTCTCTCTTGTCTTTCCCTGAAGACTGAGACCGCGTTTGCCACTTCTTGGCCCAGCCGAAAACTCTATCCAAGTTAATTTACTGTCATAGCGGTCATGCCAGCTCAGCCCTTCGACACATTTCTTCGCCCTCCTTTCTACAAATCAAGCCATTGCAGACGTTTCCACCCGTATCCCCGTGTGTCTCGCTGGTACGATCAATTGGATTTATTTCGCGATCGTCATGCCTTGAGGACCTGTCTTCAGTCACGAAGAGCAACTGGAAGCGACATATCACACCCGGAAGAAGTTGCATTGGCATCTCGTCGGCCCATGTTTCTCGTATGTCACTCCATTGCAGACTCCATTGCTTGCTAAGAGTGATGAGATCGGTTTTTAGCATCCCGTGAGAGTAGGTTATGATGATAAAAATTTAGACGTGTCGCCTTTGGTATTAAATAGACCTTTGGGAAGCGGACGTGGTGACGTGGCCGTACATGAGGCCGAAGAAAAGATTTTAGTGAGTGCAACGTTCACCGTCGCAGAACGCTTCGCTCACAATCACGCAGAAGTGATTGTTTTTTCACGCTGTACAATGCGTGCTGCATGATGGCATGTAATCTGAGGCTCACAATGTAGCCACCGACACTTAGTAGTGTTAATTGCGTGTGCTTGAGTCGTATATCATACGCCCAGCGTAACATCGACCCGTGCAAGACTGCTAGTTGAAGAGATGTTTCTCGATTTTCTCGGCCACTGCTGCTTTGAAAACAAGGCCCCGCAGAAGCACCTTCACTATGGCCATCCGCTGAGAGCTTAATGGTGTCATATGGCCGTTTTGATTTTAGTGTCTTCGATGGTGCACCGCTCAGATAGTTTTGCAGTACAATTTCTTCAGAGTTGCGTACTGATGGGCCGTATCAAGACTTTTGACCATACAGTAAGAAGGTGAGAGCACAAGCATGTCTACGTAAGGCTCGATTCAGGGAATTTGAGCGACTTTGAAAGGATTCACCCCCAGGCGATAAGGCGCCTGTCTTTACTTGTGAAAACGATGAGGGTCTGAGGGGAGCTCTTGAGGGATAAGTCGTCTCCGAGGAAGCAAAATATAATGTTCACAATTTCTGGATAATCACCTATAGAGACGCTGCATTGCTTGCGTTTACTGATCCGTAAAGTACCGTGTTAAGCTCGGACCCTCCAGAATTTGCAGGAGGTCACAATTCGTACTAGTTTCATATGTTCGGAAGGAGTGCGATTGTAAAGCATGTCGGCAGACACAAGCAAAGAGCCAGATTGTATAATTGATCTGTATGGACATGCTGCTGGTTGGTATGGGGAGTTGAAGCTGGGCATGCACAAAAAAGACAAGAACACCAGTCCATGGTAGTTTGCTACTTGTAGGTCATCTCCCTTCAGCCGAATATCTCTTGCGCATATCAAGTCAGACTACACCTTCTAACATCTGCATTTGTCCTCCAGTCCCTGGTTGCATGTCTCTCCCCGGGATCTACTTCGTGATTTTTTTTTCGCCTGATGGACAATTGGTGTGGCCTATATATGGGATACATGCAGAGACTTAAACAAGAGCTGCGGCACACCACGAAAGGGAAGCAGTCGCCCGACCAGACCAATCACTTGGCGACCAATTCTGGATTTGACACTGCCGTGGTTTTGCACACTATATTCCGTTACGCCATGCAGAACAGGGGCATCGATCAGGAGGGCTCGTGCGATTCAAAAATGTTCTCTAAATGCGCGTAGAATAACTGCATGGAACACCGCTGTTCGTATGGGTCACAGGCCTTTATGTCAATAAGATAGTGATAGCAGCGCGAAGAGAAAGATAGTAGCGCGTATCACTTTGGGGAATTCGAACGCGTGCCGACTCTGTAGGTGTGAGACAAGCGGGAGAAGAAACATTAAACGGTAACGTCACACTTTTCTCCTGCCTAATGTTTGGCACGTGAATTGTGACTGACGCGTCAGTGTCACCTGCAGACGGAAGTTTAATATTGAAGTTACTGCTTGACAAATGTAGCTTGCGACTTGGAAGTCTACTCATGTCATTGTCCGGTGCTATGCTACAAACCATTTCCGTCTCCCGTCTCCCGTCTCCCCGAAAGGAGTACGAAAACTAGTCCTACTGCAAACAACAAGGACTCAGAGTTCAACTAAATGACGGTATGGTAAGAACACGACCTCAGTTTTTATCATCAAGGTACAACGGGTTGATATGCAGCAACACTGGGTAGCAACTATCGTAGTAGTAAGTCGAGCTGTTCGGCAAGGGCTTATACACGACGTTCGTCTGCGTAGTGTTGCGATTTGCGCAGAGACTGAAATTATAAATGTCTCCATTCACAGCAAGAATCGGAAGCGTAGTGCTGGGGATCTGCGATCCATTCTAGGCCAGGGAATAATTAAGCTTTTAGTTTCGGTCTGAATTGTGAATACCCCTTACCAGGATACAATAAATTGGCGCAGCCGGGAATGGTGGGTCGAAAGCATATTCTGTGAGGAGGAAGACGAGTTCGGAGCCAGTCGTCACATTCTGTCCGAGAGCTGTCGCATCACCCTCCGAGCCGCTTGCGTATGGGATAAGAGTTCCATTGTCGAGATGCATGAATGGACCGGGTAAGGCGAAGGATGGAAACGACTCGTATGTCTGATAATGAGCGAACCGTTGAGTCATTTTCTCGAATTTCCTTCCCAAAGTTCACTCACCGCGAGTACTGCAAAAGACCCACTTGAGGCGGCTTTACCCAGGAGCAAGAGTGCTCCCGTGTCGTTGGCGTTAGGATGCGTCGTGTTATACGCAGTCAGAGTAAAGTTCCACGGCGGGGTGGAGACGGTATTATTCCCAAGTCCTGCGCATGGGTCGAGGATCTGACGTCTCTCAACCGCTGAAATCATAAACGGTACCGCATGAATGAAGAGAATGGCGAAGAGCCTGCGAAGCATGGATACAGAGGGGGAAAAGATTCTCATCACTTCCGTATCACTAGGATGTCGACGTTTTAAATCAACGTAACTTATTCTCTACTGTAAAATTGGTCCCATAGTACATCTATGCAATTGGAATATAGTGCGGACATTCACGACATCACAAGAGGTGGGCACCCGTCTCGTGAAATACGTACAGGAACTACTCAATCGAGAGGATCTCGGGGGCTGGCTCAGATGATATCATGTCGGAGTGAAACAAGTTTTGAACTGACAGGATTAACAATTTCAAGCTGAGTTTCCAAAAACTTGTGACTCCCAGCTTTTGGACAACTTTTCTGTTGGGTTATCGCCGTACTACTTCCGTCGCAAACTACCGGACATGCCGTTTCAAACATGTTGATTCCGCTCTACTTCAGTGTCGTTGATCGCCCGAACTCCGTGAGCCCCTGGTAGTGATTGTATCCAGGTTATCATAGAGAACCTGCGTGTTCATTGGATACTCCGGATTAAGTGGCTCACATGTCCAAGAAGTCGTTTATTGGAAACACATCTACATCAGTCATATTATGAGTGAAAAATCAGTTCCTTGGCTTGTTCGAGAAATGGCAGACCTCCGTAAACGTCGTATGCCGAAGGTATTCGCGTATGCACCATACGGCTTGGCTATATTATGCAAGGAGCGTCCTGCTAGTTGTACTTCGGAAGAACATACAAATCAACAGGGTAGCAAGTATCGTAGTAGTAATCAGTGCTATTTTCCACTGGCTTGTAGATAACGTTGTTTTGTTTGGGAGCACAAAGCAACGGGTTAGTGCCAATGCACATTGAGAAATTACTGGTTTCTCCATGTACAGCCAAGAGCGGATACGATTCGCTAGCATTAGCAGTTGAATTGGATGTTTGCTGCAGAGCCCATCAGCGACAGATCAAACGGGGGACTTAGGTCGTGACATACTTGGATGCAGTAGATTGGAGGGGGATTCGGCAAGATATAGGGGTCGGGATAGGCCACGAAGCCGACCTCTCCGCCGTCAGAAACGTTCCCACTAACAGCGCCCATAGTAGAGTTAGGTGAAATGGGGTACAAGCCTCCATCTCGAAGGGATATGAGCGGCCCGGGCCAAAACACAGGGTTGGAGGAGTTGAATAACGTCTATTCCTGATCAATCCCATGGTGAAACACAAGAAGAGTTGCAGTGAACTTACTGTGAGGACTGCGGGGGTATATAAAGTACTACTGTTCGCTGCATAGTAAGAACGGCCGATGAAGAGTGGTTCACCCGTGGCCTCCGTATTTGGAAGTGTTCTATTCAATGCGGCGAGGGTAAAATTGTACGGATAAGTGGAGTATGTATAACTTCCGAGACCAGCGCATGGGTTTATGCTTTGTCGTCCGCGCAGTGTCTTTGTGAAACCGACCACGGCCATGAAGATGGGGATCAATGACACGGAAAGGACGACCATCGTCGACAATTCTGATAGTGCGGGAGGGAGGGACGAGTACGTTCGGAATAAGAAAGCGAGAAACCTCTCCAATTATAGGCTCATCTTATAAGAATGCTGCGTACCGACTGAGGTACAGATCCGTTGCCAAGTCAATGGCACAATGTCAGTGAGTGAACTAAGCGGATGAGGTCGAAACGCTGCAAGTTGTTGGAAAACTGTACCGTATCCATCAACACAAGCGGCAGATGCAAAAGTGTGCAATGAAGTCTTAACATGTGCCCCGTTGCAGATAGACATAACAGTGATGGAATCTAACCTTTGGCCGCGCGAACTCCCTAGCATACAAAATCGCCGCCTTGTCATCGAAAACACCGATACTAGGCAGTCCAGGTCTCACCTCATATTTTTCCAGATTGTCGCCGCTGTCAGTTTGAACAGATCGCCGTACAATGGGCTTTGCCAAGTATCAAGTAACTTTCCGAAGGAATACTCCCGTGGGCCGTGCAAGGGCCGCAAGGCAGACACCGCCCTCTTACAAGACATATTCCGTCAAGTACAATCAGCTGCGGGGTTGTCAGAATCACTGAGACGGCCACGAGGTCGCTCAATCTTCAGGACTTATTTCGCTCCAGGTGAATAAGCGCTCTTTGAACGCATACAACTTATTACAACTTGAACTTGAAACTGAAGCGGCGGAGATCTAGGATCTCGACTGACTTTCTATGGCCAATGAACGTGAGCAGCCTATAGGTTTCCACAAATGTACCGATTGTCTTCACACACGTGCTTAACAGCTGAAGTTTTGCAAATTTGAACTAGAATGATCTTTAAATCAGTTGGAATCCTGAAATGTGGCTCCCTCAGAATGATTTGACAAGAATACTGAATTTCAGTGACAACACTACTTACAAAAAGTTGAGCAAAATTCGCGCGGCTATGAAAATCTTTAACGAGGCGAGTTGAAATGGAATAAGTGCGATCGACAACGCCGCATTTGTGGATAGAAAGCGGCCTGAGGGGCACACGTTTTACATACTCGAATCCCAAATGGTACAAACGACATGGCTCACCAGGATGCGAATTCGCAATAGACGCAAGAACTGAGAGACATCGACTCAGGCTGTAACGCGCTCTCGCAGCAAATCTAAGCTTCCACTTCACAGTCTTGTCACCAGGATACCGGCACTGCAGGTCATCTGCGCACAAAAGTAGCCATCCATGTTCTTTTCTTCTAATCGTCCCTGTCTCAGCTTGACATAGAACCAACGATTGCTTTCCAGAGTTATTCAAAAGATGACTGAGCCGTCATCCCTGGTAGCTCGATAAGCTGTACCGTGAACAAGACCTAGGGCTACATACCAAAGCGTGACATAAAATTGATCCAGGGATTTCCCAGCCCTTGCATCTTGAGGATATTATCATAGGCAAGGAGACAAATGGCGCAGTATAAAATCAGTCCCATATGCGTCGATGTCTTTTCATGACAAGGTCGTCTCAGTCGCACACCTCGCATATTTTCATCCTAGTCATGCTCATGTTCTCTGCCAAATTCACCGTCGTTGTGGCATTCCTAGCCGCTACGTCGTTTGCGGCCCCTGCCTTGCAAGGTCGTCACTCAATGGACCCGTGCGCCGGTCTCGGAAACTACACGTACTCGACTGCGTCAGGCTTCTCCCTCGCCGCTCTGTACACCGATGCCACAAACGCTAACAGAACAGGCGTCCCACTTGTTCTTGGGGATACCGCTGACTCCAGTACAAGTAACGCAATTCTCGCGGTAAGCCCGCTGGGAAATCGCACAGAATAAAGGCTGACATACTTATATGATGCAGACACTCGCGTCTGCTCCCGCATATACCTGGCCTGGGCCAGAGATGTCACTCGTGGACGGCGCGCTCTATCCCGTCTCCTCCGACCCTGACGTCTCCGCTAGTGGGTCTGCTGTCACCGCTGGAGGCGAACTACGATTCACCATAACCCAGCCGTTATCGGATCCCATAGACGGCGCAGAGATCTACTGTGTTCAGGTACAGAGGATTTCATGCATCGAGCACGGATTTAATTGAGAACTTACTTTCGTTCAAACCAGTCTTTCGGATCTCCCGCGGGATTCCAGCTCCCAGTGCTCGCTGTCAACGGAGATACTGGGAGCTTCTCCCTATGCGCGACTAATGAAGACGATACCTCACAGGTTAATGTTGTATACCAAGCTGCACCCAGGGACTCCAACTACAAGTACGATACCTGCTTGCCCGTGCGTCTGCAGGTTGTATATTGAGCTATTTGAGCTGGCATGGTGAAGGAAATTCCTGGGTTTGGGAAATCTCGAAGTATCGTTATGGCCTTTTCTATTTCTCGCTTTTTAGTATGACTATTTGTGTGTCCGTACTTGGGTGATTGTGTATCAGAATGTGCCCCAAAATTACAACGGGAAATACAACATTGGCGTACTTTTTGAAGGAGAGTATAGAACATGCTAGGTCACAAGCGCGAGGGCCTCAGTGAAAATAAACCCCCACCGGTGAAGAACCCGGAGAAAATACGTACAGCTTGGAAATGGGCGGAATAGCAGCGGCACATATTTTCGAGCAACGTTATCCCTTATCCACCTTTTCTTGCGCCCTCCTCCGAGTTGAACATGCGGACTAAGATGACAGTTCTATATCTCGGATTTGCTGTGAACTACTGACGGTCCTGAAGTGCCAGAATTGACTCAGGTATACAAAATCTCCGTGCTCGCAGGAAAAAGCTCTATTGAGATGTGCAAGGCGCCAAATATTGTAGAAGGGTCGAACAATGTATTGGTTTCGTGTCGCTGAGGCTCTATGTCGTTGTGCCACGAAGATTAGAATACGACCAGAATAGTTGCTTGAAGCTTGAAACCCGAAAACTTCCCCCGAACGGAAGAACTTCAAGAGATACGAATTTGAACGATAATTTTGTTTCCGTTGCATGGTGACAGCAGTGACGAGTTGTGACAGCGATATCATTCTTTCACATGTGTCACACTCGACCCTAGAGTCTGACTCAATGCTTCGAAGCTTCAAAGTTATGATCCTTTCCTTATTTTATGGTTGTTCTGTGGCAGCAGAGCAGAAGCCATTCTTCTTCTCAACCGATGGATCCTGACGCCACCCGTCAATCAGTCCATAAGCTCTGCTCAAGATTCAGACAGGGAAACCATTTATATTCGCTTTACGGTCCTCATGTCGACGTCGTCTACATGGTTGTAAAAGCCTTCCTTTTGCCTTCACCCTATCGTGCTATTCTTTTGAGGAATATCAAATTTGCAGCTAAGTCCACAATGGCCTAATGAAAAAGGTAGTCAAAAAGTGACACTGCTACTCGTCTAAAGAGGTGAGTCATCCCCTATGCTTGACGTTAACCCTCAACGGTTGCGTTGATCACAAGTAGGTATAAGTATGTAGTGCCATCGCAGCAGTTTTTCTCGCGTGTCTTCTCAGAGATAGGTGGCGAGGCTAGGCCTTCTGCCTAAATGATGAGCATGGTACGATTTGTCGGAGACCCTGTTCTTGCGGCCCATCCGGAATCGAGGAGGTGCTTGTGCGTACACCATCTTACACGTTGTGGGGGCCCTAACAAGGCACTTTTACTAAGTCCACAGCGTCCAGCTCTTCCCTCGCCGTCACATGGTCTTCGCCTTAGGGCAGCAGCGGTGCCCCAAGGACGCGTCGTCGTCGGTTTGCCTCGGCAACAGGTGCCGCTCAGTCAGCTTTATGCAACCCTGTCACACATATGCACCTTCGCTGTTGAAGCTATTGATCCGCACCCGTGATTCACATTCTGGCGAGAGTCTCCTACTCCTAGCATGTGAAGCGGCTGTTTCTGGAGGTCGGCTATCTGATGACTTGGGCAATAGGAGCGATGGTTTCGTACAATTTGTCTTACAGAATCATGCAATGGAGGCAGAGTCTGTAAGCCGGGCGTCATTCGCGATTGTTGTTACTAGATACATGGACGGCACGGGTCATCTGACGTCATAGGCGCGCAAAGTCGAGCTGCAGTATATATACTGCCTACACGAGACTTCATCGAATTTTCCATCTTCTTCACAGCTACGAGCAATGGATTCGTCGAACAGCCAGCTCGAGTCGCTTTTCCCTCTTCCCTCGCAACCGCCTTCTCCCCTTTCGCCGACTCGCTTGCCTGGCGTCACACATGGCTCTGGACTGGCGCTCTTGAAGACACTGAAAGAAAACCATCGGCGATGGCACATCTTCTTCAATAACTTGGGTTTTCATAAGTGCGCACATCGATTTCTACATCTGCAGAGCTGATATCATATTCAAAAAGCCATATGTCACACCATCTCCTTGCAATATACCAGCTTGGTGCGAGTGGGCCATTGTTGGAGGCTGCATATCAGAGCCACGTCTCAAGCATGCGGCCGGCATTCGAATCCCCCGGAAGCATCACAGAGAAGAACTTTCATGAACATTTGGGTGATGAAAAGTAAGTTCCCCCTACATACGGCTCTCTGACGAACCAATCTCATCGGGGGGGGCATGTAGATACTATAACGCCTATCTGAAGTTTTTCTCTTCTATCTTAGTTGAAAGGGGTGCCGAAAAGACAATTGAAGAGTACATCTTCTCCGCCAAGATGAACGTGTCCATTCCCGCTGTCGGACACCCCTCTCTGGAAATGTTGAGCCGGTTTCTTTCCGGGCTTTTCCATCCAATGATCCATACCGGATATGGCGCAGAGTTCGGGTTACTCGGGATGGTTGCCGAAGGTGAGCGGTAGTTGTCCAAGCCGTGTAATCTTTGAGGTTGATTGTGGGATAGGCCTTGCACAGACAGCCTTGCAAAAGCCCTTCGCATCTGTGCTCATTCCATCTTCCCTTTCCCAGTATGCGGTGGCGAGTTCAACCGGCACAGTTTCGACTTCGATTTCCCGTCTTGTCAGCCTACTCCCATCTCTTACGCTGAACAATACAACAAGCGGCTCTATGGCAGAGAAGGAGCATGGTATGCATGCACTTACCGTTGTTGCTCAGATTCTGCACAACGACGACTTTACCCCTGCCGCGATCGGGATTCCCTCGGATGATAAGGATGATAACAACATCTTCCAGCGTGTTCTGGAGGCACGTGGAGAACGACTCATGGCTCTCGCAAGCGCATGGACTGTGAACGGAACGAATCCTGAAGAAGTCGCAAGCAAGATCGAAGAACTTATCTGGGTGAATGTCGTCCTTTACGCCGTCGGCGGGTGGGCTGGACGAAAGTCTAGCCCGACAGGACAATTTAAAGGAGATTTCTTCCTGTAAGGTGGCATCGATATACGTACGCATGTCGTTGACATATAATCCCCAGCCTACACCTAGTGACGTCCGTACTCTTCCTCCCCTCGCTGACGGCATACCTCTCCCCGACGTCGACATCGATCCTACTTCGGACGTACTTTAATAACTCTCTCGCGTGGTGGATTGCTCGTGGTAGACCTGCGCTGCCAATTCGCGATTTTTATGCCTCAGTTTCGGAGCGGCCCCAAGAGCACGGCGCACCATATGCCCGACCCGGGGAGGGCACGCTCACGCCTGCGGACCCATCCCCGAACCCATGGCTACCGATCCTGCAGACGACGCTGGAGCATCCGGACGATCACCTGTGCAAGCTGCAGCGTGCGCTCGCTCACTTCGCATCTCTGTACGGCATACGGCCGGAAGGACATTTCGGCCACTTGGCCAAAGTATCAGGTGCATCACTCGATGGCGCCGAGCTGCTCGACGGCACGCTGTTCGTGCGCGCTGCTAGTTTAAGCGCGGATAGGCTGGGGTGGATGCGAGAGGGCGAGAAGAACAAGGGTTGGGACTTTGATGGCTTCTTCTGATGCTACCGGATAAAATCCGCCCTTGATGTATTTGTACGGTGCCGTCGGTCAGCCTGATATGGCTTCCGCGAAGGTTTGGACGGTCGTGTACTATGTAGGCTGTGACACTGTGGCTGGTTTTCTATTGTCTCCGCTGATATAAAAGGCTCCGCTCCTCCCCGCTCCTTCTGTTTTGCCATCATTTGTGCCACTCGACTGATCAACGCATTGCGCTCGAACTTGCTCATTCAAATGGCACCAGAAGTCAGTGCATTTATTCCGTAGCTCAGCATCCGCTAACGTAATCCACAGACTGTCTCCTCGCAGCCGCTCTTGATTCCACCGATCTTCCGCCTTCCAGCAGAGATCACTGTGGCAATATTCCTGGATGTAGTTGCATATTCGGGACCCCTGTGGAACTGGAACATCACAACGATCCTCATGCTCGTATGCAAGGACTGGTACGAATTTGTCCTCACGTCGCCCCAGCTATGGGCGACGATCGACTCAGCAATGTTAGCCAGTTTCTCGCCCAGTCGTCTAAGCGAAGTCTTGCTTCGGTCGGAAGAATATCCCCTCGGTATCCATTTGTCAGGACGCGATTTCGACTACTCCAGCAAGGAGGAGCTGGAACGTTTGAAGATGGGGCTGCAAATCGTTGCTGGCCACGCGAATCGAATCGCCGTTTTCGAGGCAACCAGCATGACATCCGATGCTCTGACTATCGTCTTCACCGTCTTCAAACAGCATCCTGCACACACACTGCGCTATCTTCGCCTGGAGATTGACAGATATGTTGAGACGCTCTGGCAACCGAAAGACCTGACCTGGCCTCTGTTCGACGGTGATATGCCCATGCTACAGCACGTAATCATGCGCGATATGCCGACTGCGTGGCCCTCTAGCAGAAACACAGTCCTGCTCAATATCAGGGAAGACTTTCTGCCTGTTAAGTTACTCCTAGCTGCACTCAAGCATACTACCAGGTTGCAGCGCCTGTATCTGAACGCGACGGAATATGAGGTTGACGACCTGGACAAGAACGTTGATAACGTCGTCAAACTGCCTCACCTTACACACATGCGAATCTTCAGTGACATGCCGATGGAATTACAGTTTCTCCAGTACCTATCGCTCCCCAAGACGGCTGCCGTTGCCCTGACATTCAAGACACATCATCCCCATTCCCAGACCGGCATCATCCCTGACTCGCTTGTGATCCGCGATGTCGGTGCAAGGACGCACACGCTGACGCTCGAGTTCCGGATTGATAGGGGAACGGCGATCGTGCTGCACTCACCCACAAAGCACGTCAAGATCACCTACCGTACTGTGAGCTTCAATTCGATCCCCGAGAATGTGTACTGCGGGCTCGGGGTCGTCCCGCTGCCTGCGCTCAAGTCGCTCACCGTCCAGGGCCACGCGACACTCACCTTCCTCGACGGCGAATGGAGACGAGTCCTCTCCTCGTTGTTATCGCTGACCGAACTATCGTTGAAGGACGCCAAGCCGACGCTCCTCCCTCTCATCCGACTTTTCGGCACAGTGATGGAATCCGACGGATCGGAGTCGGGTTCGTCTGCAAAAGCGCCGTCGGTGTATTGTCCTCAGTTGTTCACACTATCCATGACAGTGTCTGGGCCCGATGAGTTTGTGTTCGTCGACGCTCTGGCGACATCGATTGTGTCGCGTGCGTCGGTGGGGTCACGATTGAATAACTGCAATTTGTCGTTGAAGGTAGACGACAGCATCCAAAAGCGCGTGGACGAAATATGGAGCACTGGATGCCGTGTATTTATCGACGATACGGTGTAAGAGATATGCTGAGAAACCATCAAGCATATTTCGTGGGCGACTAGCGCGGACAATGCAGTACTGGCATCATCCAGATGCTGACCCCTCAAAGGACGATATAAGGCGTAGTTCAGGTGCCCATTATCTCGGACGTTATCAAAATAAAGCCTATGTACACCCCTTACTCATGCCCGATTGTTTCTTGTACAACATTCACTGGCAACTTTAACTATTACAAGTTGTATGAATATGTGTTGAGAAACAGCTTGTAACGTTAACGATAAATCTGATTTTTGGCTCTCTGATACCATTCTGCAGTACAGAATATACCTGAGGTTGCCAGTACTGAATCCTGATTTCAAAGTCTTAGCTAATAGATAAGTCGAATATGGCTGCGCGCAGCGGATTTTTGACCGGTCGGCGGTCGCGGACGCCCATTGCTTATATAATCCCGACCCCGCGCAAGCGGGACGTAGCCGAGCGATTCCAGCCTGCCCGAGGTGACCTGCCAGTGCAGTGACATTACTCCTAAGAGCAATTCCAATTGCCCTTAGGGGCAATGCAGCCACTCTAGTCATCCTCCACGCCTTCGCCTTGCGCAGATTTTGTATATAACTCTGAAATTCAGCACTGTTTTTGGCCTGCTTTTCTGTGGCAACGCACTTGCTATCGCTGGCATGAGCTCCTGGACGGATGGCGTGATCGATTCAGCAGCAGCGAACTTAAATTGCGAGGGGCAGCTCATTACTGCTCCCGCCTTGCTTCGTCGCTTCCCAATCACAGCCCTTCTTGTCCTCTTTCAACCATGTCTGACCAGTTTTACAAGTGCGTAGTATCGACGTCTGTTGTCTGTGAACGACCCCGATGCCACCCTTACGATTCAACTTGTCGAACAGGTCCCCTGAGTTTGAGACGCTCCAGCTGCATGCTGGCCAGGAGCCCGATCCGACTACAAACGCTCGCGCGGTCCCTATATACTCGTCAACGAGTTTTGTGTTCAATAATTCTGAGGTAAGACTAAGATCGCTACGATCGTAGAGAAATGACACTGAGAACATGAATTCCTGTTCAGCATGCTGCAGATCTCTTCGGATTGAGGTCGGAACAGCCTGTCATCTCGGCAGCAAGATGCAGAAGTTGATAGCGTTTGCAGGGCCTTCGGAAACATTTACTCTCGCATTGGCAATCCCACTGTGGTTCGTGGTCCTCTCGCTCCTATCGTAATCTGGACGTTCAGTTGTGACCCCAGGAAGTTTTCGAGAAGCGCATTGCAGCACTCGAGGGGGGTGCGGCTGCCATCGCCGCTTCCAGTGGACAGGCTGCTCAGTTTATGGCTATCTCCACCATCGCTGGTGCTGGAGACAACATTGTTTCTACGTGCGTCTCAAATAGCAATATTATTGACAATCGATCTGAAGTGATTGTGGTTATCTAGATCATATCTCTACGGCGGGGTGAGTATGGTCTCGGCCGGTAACCTTCATTATCTTACTCACATATGAGGTAGACGTACAATCAATTTAAAGGTATTTTGTCATGAGAATCGTAGTCTCCCAGTAGATGAACCAGAAACCTGAAGTATACCTGAAGAAGTTCAATATCGGCGTCAAGTTTGTCACGAGGGATGATCCGGAGGCGTTTGCAGCGGCTATTGATGAGAAGACCAAGGCCATCTATGTGGAGAGCATCGGCAACCCCAAATACAATGTCGCACCCATTCCCGAGCTTGCAAAGGTATTTGGTTTGCTTAGTACATATTCTACTATGTAACGTCTCTCAAGATTGCACATGACCATGGCATCCCGTTGATTGTTGACAATACCTTTGGAATGGGAGGTACGCTTGTCCGTCCCGTTGTTGGCTGAAGACGATGATACAGTTGTGTCTATTCAGGCTACTTGACGCGACCTATTGAACACGGCGCGGACATCGTGGGTCAGCATACATCTTGGTGCCAACTAGTTGTCCCCTAAATCTTCCCTGCAGTGCATAGTGCTACGAAGTGGATTGGCGGTCACGGTAATACCATCGCAGGCGTAGTTATCGACTCAGGTTTGTTCTGGTTTCTCCTTGCTAATTTGTTAAACGCTTAACCAATGCAACCGTCCCGTTGCTATGTTATAGGCAAATTCGATTGGACAAGATCTGGCAAGTTCCCGGCTTTCACTGAGCCGTCGGAGGGATACCACGGCCTCAAGTTCAGCGAGACGTTTGGACCACTTGCCTTCGCAGTGAAGTGCCGCGTTGAGGTGCTCCGCGACCTGGGATCCTGCATGAACCCCTTCGGCGCATTCCTGCTGCTACAGGGTTTAGAGACCCTGAGCCTCAGAGCGCAGCGGCACTCCGAGAACGCCCTTTTGCTGGCACAGTACGTGCTCTCCTACCCCGCTCACTTCCTGGAAGATAAATGTTGATTGATCGGAGCACAGATGGCTCGAGCAGCACCCCAAGGTTGCGTGGGTGTCGTACCTTGGCCTTGAGTCGCACTCGTCCCACAACCTCGCGAAGCGTCTACTCCGCCCGAACGTCTTTGGTGGTGTCCTGAGTTTCGGCGTGAAAGGTGCCGATGCGAAGGTGGGCAGCCAGGTCGTCGACAACCTTCGGCTGGCGAGCAACCTCGCCAACGTCGGTGCGTAGTTTTATATATTAGCTGGCAAATAGACTACTGACAGCGCGATCAGGCGACGCGAAAACGCTTGTCATACATCCCTCGACAACCACACATCAGCAGCTTTCCACTGAGGAACAGTTGGCGTCTGGTGTTACTCCGGATCTTATTCGAGTACGTCACGCTCACCTCTCAGTGCTGAGAACAAGATGATAATTCGTGAACTCCCAGGTATCTGTTGGTATCGAAAATATTGCTGATATTGTTGCGGATTTTGCGGAAGCCTTGAAAGCTGTACCATGAACCAACTGGACGAGATGGACTTTTGGACAGATGAAGGTAAATAATGTGACGGAGTGATTATCGTGTAGCATTCCGAGGAGTATGTACAGGTTAAGTAAAGAAGAAATTCAACAGGTGGTCCAGACCCCTCGAACGATGTTCAAATCAAATAGCTGATATCAATGCACACGAAATGAAATGAATCAAGAAGTGAATTTATCACGATCATATGATCCGGACTGTCCGCATTGAATTTGAAATCAGAATATCTCATTTATGATCACGGCACACTTCATGTCGCTCATGAGTGCTTTAATCTCTTCGTCCATCTTGAGCGTAAATTGGCATGATTCCAGCCCCAAACCCTGCTCCGCGCGAGTTTTCATGGATTCCTTCACAACCCTGACGATATCGGCATGGTCTCCCGTTGAAAATTCCATGGTGAGGGTATGCAGTTTGGGACAGTAGACCGACGGCGAGTCTGCCGGCCCAACGAACCCCAAGAGCTTGATGGGGGTGATGAGCGTCTGGACATTTTGCAAATTCAGTCTCACTAGCGAGGACAAGGAAGCGAAGACCCGTTCCCACTCTTTAGCAGGAAAGGTGTCCGTTGCATGGCCGTGGATCGTCAGCGTCCTGAGCGCAGGCAACGAGAAGATCCCGAGTCCACAGTAAACCTCTGGGAGTGCCGGATCGTCGACCCCGTATAAGTGGCAGTAGGCGATTGTCAAAAGCCCCGTCGGAGAACGCAGCACGTTCTCCTTACCGAATTCTCCATTCCGGAGTTCCAGTGTCAACTCCTCCGTTCCGGAAGCAATGTTACAGGTCACGCAACAGTCTGGAGCATGGGTGACGGCTTGCACCCGAGTAAGAGTGGTGAAGGACAACTCGATGGAAGTTGCCAAAGGGATCGACAACTGCCGTAGAAAGTAAAGCTCGGCAGGAGTGGGACATTGGATGTTTAGACGTCGCAGGTGAGGCAGCTCGACTACAATCTTCGTGTCCCGATCGTCGTCATAGTCATAATCTATGAATTCGAGACGCAAGTACCGCAATCTAGTACAGTACTGCAGGGTTTGCAAGAGGACTCCAAGGGGAAACATTTCCTCCGTAATGTCGAGTGTGGTCATGTTCACGCACGAGGACCAGGCGCCGGGTGCATCATGAATGCGGGCGATCTGTAGCATAGGCATTACGCCGCCGAACAGGGTCCAAGCGCGGTCCTGCGGCCCCCAAGGCTTCTCCGTGTTCGTTGAAATCCCAAGACGTAGATCTCGCAATTTCGGCGCCGGGCAGGTTTTGAAGGTGTCAAAAATCAAGCTCATCGCCTCGCACGGCATATTGAGCGCTTCGAAGAGAACGATCCGACTAGTGTGGTCCGCGAGGCCTCGCAATCCTAACTCTAAGCTTTCGAGCAGGTGCTGAAAGTCTGGGTGCTGAAAATCTGGGTAAGGGTAGAAAACGTTCCCCGACAGATGGACTTTGAGTGGAGAATTCCCGGATAGGAGTAGGACGTTGCGCATGCGGGCGGGCGGGAAACTGGTCAACACGTCCCAATCAACGGTCGCCCAGAGCTGGTGTTCCATGAGAATGACCCTAGCCCAGTCTCTGCAGACATGCTTGAGGATCAGCGGCAAGGTCCACTTCCACGTAGGGCCCGAGTATGCGACCGCCTCGAGTAAGATCGCAAGTGTGATTTCATAAGGAAAGCGCAAGATTGGCGGGGCTGAAGGCGACTGCAGCGAGTGTGGAAGGACCTAGTATAGGCATAATGAGAAAACATGAATAAATATAGGATAGATCACTCACTACCGTTGCCATTGGGGATAAATTAGGTCAGAGTGAACTGAGGAGCTCAAGAAATGAAGTTTGATTGCAGAGGTGATTCGGCAGAGTGGAAAGAGGTCGCGTATTTATACGTGAGGCGACAAGCCAGCCACAACAAGCCACGGTCAAAGTGTAGAACAAACGCTCCTGCTATCACTATGGCAGGCCGACTCATCGCCACACACAAAATGTGGCATGACCACAAGCCACGAAAATGGCGGCCGGCTATCCGTTCTTGTGTCATGAGCCCCACCTGGCGGTCTGTGTACGCAGCTGTGCTGGCTGGATCACTCACAAGCCAACGGATAGAAGAGCCGAACCAATATCGACAGCCAGGTTGTCAGGCCTTTCAAATACAAGACGAGAGTTGAAGTTCTCAATGAGCGAAACCGGTCTTGCCAGTGCAGAAAGGCGTTTCACCGACTCAAAGCGTATGCAAACTCTTTGTTGAACCATGAAGTCGTCTATATTGCTTAGTATCGGATGATGGGGAAAATTAAAAGACAAGACGAATATCGTCTCAGTCACATCTGTTCAGAAACATACCGGGCAGACATAGCATCATACTGATATCTTTTCCGATACTAGCATGTAGTGGACATCTTCGGAGACGGCCACTAATAGATTAGCAGTCAATTAGATTGCTTGGCTTGTTTTCATGATATGTACCTACCGTGCAGTTTTACAGCTCCATTAGACTTTAGAGCATTACAGTATCTTCGGCAAAACTCGACGGCTCAGAAGGTGTTTAGGTCGAATGAGTCAACTACCCAACTTGTTCGCGGTGTCTTCCAATAACGGATTGTTATGACAACGGCATCGACCTTGCAATCCAGCTTCAAGCATAATCTATCAGGGTGTAAAGGGGGTAAATGAGGTTCAGCCAAGCAACTATGAATGCATCATTACATGATGGTCAGTCTGCGCAAGTCTGTGATGCGTAAGTAGCTTGGCTCCTCGACGGTATTAATAGCCGCTCAGGCGATTTTCGACTCCAGATTCGATGGTGGTCACACGAGTTGCCAATTCTCCTTTGGATCCCTGCGTCAATACAACCTTATTACCCTCGCAAGTCGTAACAGTGCCCATTCCACAATAGTCAGTAGGCGAATCCTTATTGTTTCTTCGGACAGCGGCTTTGGGACGGAGCTGCGCGTGGAAATCGTTCGAAGACTATATTACAGTCGAAACGGCGCGGGCTGGCGACCATTGCTCTCCATCAGTCTCCTGATACATGCAGAATCCCAAGATGGTATCAATCCCACAGACAGCTCCCTTCGGCACCTGGCGGTCTCCTGTTTCACCGGACGCAATCCTACAGAGCGTATGTTTTCACTAAGTTCGACTGGATTTTGGTCTAGTTACTGACCACAGGTCTTCGCTAGGGCGCGAAAGTCTCAGAATTGTTTGTAGACCCGATTACATCAACAATTTACCACGTTGAGTCTCGTCCATTGGAGGGGGGTCGTAGCGTAGTTGTCCGAACAGAAGAGGGGCGTGATGTCGTAGGGAAGCAATGGAATGTCAGGACTGGCGTACACGAGGTGACGATTTCGTATTGTCTGACAGTATGGTGGCCAAGCTTATCGAACTGCAGTATGGGGGCGCTTCTGCCTTTGCATATAATGGAGTGCTATATTTCTCGAATTTCACAGACAACAGGGTTTATATGCTGAATGATCATGAAGATCCGAAACCAATCACTCCAGGTGAGTCGTCCGTAAGTTTATACTCGGTGAATCTCATTAGAGCTGTCAGAAAACAAGAATCACAGATTTGCCAACTTTGATGTGCATCCAACACAAAATCATCTACTGGTAGCGATAATGGAAGATCACACTAAACCACTTCCATCCGATATTGTCAACACGCTCTGCGTGATCAATAGCAGGAGTGGAACCATCTCCACCATCGTGTCCGGTGCGGACTTCTATGCGTTCCCTTCATTTTCGCCAGACGGCACCCGACTCACATGGCAGCAATGGTATCATCCTGACATGCCATGGGAGGGCGCAGAGATCTATGTCGCAAAATTTTCTGCGACCGAAACAGACATTTCAATCAGCGACACAGCCTACGTAGCCGGTGAGAAAGACAAGGTTAGCGCATCTTCGCCTTGCTGGTCGTCCGACGATCTTCTGTGCTTCACAAGCGACATCTCAGGATATCAGAATCCATGGACGTACTCATTATTGTCCGGAGAAGCGTCCCCAGTCCTTCTATCCCCTCTGGAGCAGGATTTTGGCCTGCCTCTGGGTACCCTTGGCATCAAATACAGCGCGCCGATAGATAGCGGTGCACGCGCACTATTCGTTGCACTGAAAAATGACCGGAGCACATTATACATCGTGAGTTTACAGGGCGGGACGTTGGAGGAATTGGAATGTCCGTATGTCAATGTGTGGGGGCTTGCGCGAAACACGTCAGACTCGGTCGCCTTCCTCGCGGATAAGGTAGATGAGCTGCCGAGCATCGTTGTGTGTTTGCTAGAAGACTACGCTATGCCGCGCTTCACAACTGTGCGGCGGGCCCCGACCATTGCGCAGCTCTCAAATGCATTGATCTCCGTCGGTCGTCCATATACGCTGAAGACAACCGGGGGCGAACCTCTTTTTGTACTCTACTGGCCTCCGCACAACCCTGAGTACATTGGGCCTGGAAATGAGAAGCCCCCCTGTGTCGTGAGTGCGCATGGCGGTCCAACGGTACATGCGTCGATGGCCTTGGACTGGATAAAGCAGTACTTTACCAGTCGGGGCTGGGCATGGTGAGTCCTATCTCTTGTGTTACACGGCACAGCTTTACAGATGGGTTCGACTTAGGCTAGAGGTCAACTATAGCGGTAGCAGTGGGTATGGACGGAAATATATGTAAGCGTCTATAGCACGCTCTTGCATGGTTGAGTCTAAGGGATCTGTTCATCAGAGAACGTCTCGTGGGGACATGGGGCATCGTGGATGTTGACGATTGCGTACATGCGACGCGACAACTCTCCGCAGCTCCGAACTCGCTTATCGATCCCAAGCGATGTATCATCCGTGGAGGCTCGTCAGGGGGATATACTGTCCTTGCGTCTCTCTGCTCGTACCCGAACGCGTTCGGCGCTGCAACGTCTCTATATGGGATAGCAGATTTACGAGAATTGGCGAAAGACACGGATAAGTTCGAGCTGCATCGCATGGAGAAACTGCTCGGCGGTACAGTGGAAGAAATTCCGAAGGTGTACGAGGAGCGATCACCGGTATGTAACGCGGACAAGATCACGACCCCTTTGCTGGTTAGTTCTAATTTGGATTTATTGAGTGTGCTTGACGTTCACTTATTTTCTGTAGGTATTGCAAGGCTCTAGAGATCCTATCGTTCCGCCTGCGCAAGCAGAAATCATAGTGAACGCTATCAGAAACCGGGGCGGAAAAGTAGAATATACTGTGTATGAAGGCGAAGGGCACGGGTGGAGAAAGGCGGACACGATCAAGGATGCGCTGCAGCGAGAGCTTGGCTTCTACGAAAAGGTTTTCAGGATTGGCTAACTGCGGATTCATATGCATATCGAATATCCACTTCAAAGTCAAAGTTGACGCAGACCTGATCACGGATTCCACGCGCTCACTGGAGAAACCATTCATGTACAACTTGCCATAAATATAATAAGTGCAACGTAGGGTAGTGCTTCCTACGTCCGACAACTGCTCTACGCTATTGCCCGGTAATGCTACTGCTTCTCAATTTTCACTCCTGGATATCCTTCCGCGCAGTCCCCTTGCTGCCCTTGAGTCCTTAAGATAAAACGAATTCATCTCGTGGAATGTCACTATTATTGTCTTCGATAAAGTCTATATACCAACTCTGCACTGCTAAAGGCAGTAGCGCTGCAACAACCTGAAGTTCGAAAAGAGTGTTCAAAGCAGCGAGGTCGAGTGCTTCCAGTCATGGTTGCAAACGTCGACGTCATGTAACAGCACGTCCACTAGTACGCGGCATGAGTCCGTGCGGCAGATGCCAAAGACGATCGCGACTCCTGCGACGAACGCTGTCACATCCAGGTTTTTATGTTTAGCCATCGTAATATTAAAAATTTGGAGACATGCAGTACACTCGCTCACCTGGAAAATGAGATGATGCTATCGATCCTAGAGCCTGAAGGAGGAAAGGTGACGGAGCTGAGGTAGACGTACGGGTCGTACCGCGTTTGAAAGGGTAAGTTCGACCCATGTAGGAACGCAGGAACATTGCGAGGCAGGGCTTCAATAGTACTGATATACGAAGGCAACACCAGGAGGAGTTTCTCCATAAGCATATCAGCACTTTCGATATCCACTGATGTCCGTCTCTCCGAGTGATTCCATACGCCCAGGATGTGACCAATATATACTGACCGTGGTAGCGGCATTTCATCGACGAAGGGTTTCTTGAGTACATTCTGATTAGATTGTAGAGTCAATGTGCGCGGTGACGGCGCCGAGGTTCTGCACAGTGCTCCAAAGATGTCTTTCATTTCTGATGTGAGGGGCCTTACCCTTAAGGGAGTTGCCCGGATCCTCTTCTTGATGACCTCAAAAAGTACGATACAGCTGCTGGCCGGTAGCATGCTCACAAATTTCATCTGCAAGCATATTCTTGTTGTAAACCTCTTTACCCTCGCTAGGTAAATACACACAAGAGTGATCGGCCCAACATGCAAAGTGGACGGTGTAGGTGACCAGGCTGAGCGAGAGGGCGCGTACCGATATCTGTCCAGGGCAGCAGACTGAACACCAGGCTATACCAATGTCTACTGACCATAGACAATTCAAGCGGAAGTTCCCATCTCCATGACTGGCCAGAAAATTCAACAACGTCAGTTAATATAACATGAGTGACGTCGAACGGAAGGGAAAAGATCGGTGATATGTTGGCTGAAGGTGGAAGGAATACGCTCTGCAATACAAGGTCAATAGAGATGGACTTGGATGTAGACAAAAGCAGCGCGCAGCTGACGAAACACCGTCGGTAGTTATCGAGATGATTATGGGCAGGTCAAAGAAACGTTTGAACTTCGAGGATCTTAACGACAGAACAAAATGATTAGAGAATTGACAAGGGTACGCTTTTTTGGATGACGAGGAAGATGTGGTAGTACTCTTCAAAGCAAACAAATAACCGGCTACACAGTATACTTACAGACGTCAAATTTGGGCTATGGCAAAGTTCACCTTGCATAGGCCATCATATTCCCATCTTGTCCACAATGCGAAAATGAATACTTTGGTATAATTACCATCAACAGCTACTGGGCTGACACTGGCCGCGCATCTAAACGCGTACTTCAATCTTCAGTCCGCTGCCGCTCATTGTCTGCTTCCTACACTGTAGGCACACGTGGGACCCAATGAGATAAAAATACAACATGAACATCTAGATTCACGTACGCGTAATACCTGGAGGGATCGTTGAAGTCATGGTTAGCAACGATAAAGGTCCATCTCCACTCGCTTGTTCAAGAGGACTCTGGCTATGAAATTGGAGTAGCCAATGATCTTTATGCTTCCTATATAATCGTGCGTCGTGCTGGAAAGTAAAGAGCGTAACGGAGTGGTGTCAGGCAACCAGCAGGCACAATAAAATACAAAGACATTTCTGTTATCAGTACAGTACAGTATTTGGGGCAAAGGAGGAAAGTTTCAGTTCTCGATTCATCGTGCCAGTGCCAGGGCGACAAATGCGAGTAGCGTGACTGACGGACGTTTGTCACAAAGCACGCGGGCTTATACCGACCAAACGCCGCGATCAGCCTCCATCGTCTTTCTCTTCGTCCAAGCATGACATTCCCAAGACTTGATTTATGGTGATATACAGGGTCTAAGGATTCTTCTGGACACTTTGAAACGTACAGTAGTGATTGTTCATCTAGGCTCATCTTGATTCTTCACAGGACCTTTGTATGAAAAGTGCATCATCTTCTGATAGCCTCTCAGCTACAATTGACCCCGTATTGAATTCGTGACTGACTGTCATGTTCGACATCCTGTGAGTGCCAGGTCGAAACATGTACTCTATCACGGCGACAAGGTGGCGCTGACTTTAGCGGAGGTCATGCGAAGTGGCACTGTGAGTGAATATGCTTCTTCTAGGGTTGTTCAAGATAGTCCATTCTCTGGACTGGAACTCAAAGGTGCACCCTATTCAATGGAACAGTCGGTGATCCGATTAATCGCCCCTGCTCGTTTGTTTCAGTATCACCAGAATCGCCCCCGAACTTACCAAGCCACATTGAGCTGAGTGACATTCTGGGGCCGCTCTTAGACAGACCTGCCGCGTTACTGTAATTCATTTCATGACAATGTGAAGTTATATCACCCTCAACTTACTTTTCTCGTCTTCAATATTTGCGTGACGTTGACCATGTCTTTGAGCGTTATCTGGGAGGTCCATGCAGTATAAGTATACCAGTACTGCATCCCAGCTCCTTACGTTCTTCAGTGCCATCTCGCGTTTTCATCGGCATAGCATTTCATAGCTATGGTTTCAATATCGCTCTTGATCTTACCTACATTTGCGCTTGTCGGGTCAGCTACACAGGTCTTACACAACCGTCAGTATACAGATCCCTGCGCCGGACTTGGGAATTACACGTACCCTAGCTCCCTCCTCAACTTCACATTATCTGCATTGAACCGAACGTTGCCCAATGCGAATGCTACTGGTGCCCCTTTGTACGTTGGCACCTCATATTTCGACAACGGGACCATCAGCATATATAATCAAGGAGTGCTTACCGTGCGTGCTCTGCCCCTCGCGATTTCATGGCCTTGCTAATGGAATTTGGCAGACATTTTTCAACTTCTCTCTCCCTCCTTATCTTTGGCCGGGGCCTTCTATGTCCCTGAAAAGTGGCGGGCTGTATCCTCTTTCGTATGGTTCGATTCTATCGGCCGTTGACAACAGCGTTGCTGAAGGCGGAGAAATCGGCTTCCTCGGAGATATCAAGGGCAACCCCCTCCCCCCAGCGGCTGAAATCTACTGTATTCAAGTGCGTTCATATTCGCCCTTATATTAATATCACATCTCATCGACCATCCACAGCAAACGTACAATTTGACCGCTAATGCCGCTGACAAAGATGTTGCGCCTTCCCCCCTTCCGCTCCTGGCCGTGTACGGTGACACAGGAAACTTTTCAATATGCACATCGCGTCCGTCAGAACCCGGAGGCGTAATTACGCAGAATGTGGTGTACAAGCCCATATCAAACAGTTCTACGTACTACTATGACACCTGTTATTCTGTCAATTTGCAGGTGCTGTATGAGGATGCCTAGCTACGCGTCTCAAAAACGTTTTTGCTGAGACTTATTGAACTCATATTTTTACTACCATTTTACGGACACTCAAATGAGAAAAATACCGTACCTTTTCTCTGTCAGGTACCCATCAGCCGAGTCGGACCGCTCGCCGCCCACTGGCAGTTGACAAGTCATTTGCATCCGATGCTCATGTCAAATCTTCGTTAGTCTCGACCACGCTTTATCTCAGGAATGCAAAATGAATCTACGCGTGTTTATTACTTAACTCGCTAGATGAATCGTATCCGTACTGCTTCACCAAGATCTTGTGAATACGTATGGTGGAATGATTAACGACATCGAGCGCAGAATGAAAACTGGCGAGGAAGTTTCCGACTCCCTTGCGAAGTCCATGATCCTTGCTCGGGAAGAGGAAGGCCTGGCCCACCTCGATATGGCGATTCTAGTTAAGCGGAGGCGTTGAGGTGGTGAGCGAAGATATTTTCTGCTGCAGAGTTCATATGCTCATACAGTTCTTGTCCCGCGTCTATCATGCATGCAATGGTTCTTCGCGCTCATTCTCGCTTACCCAGAAATTCAGAAGAAGAGCTTGACAGAGTCATCGGACGTGACCGTCTACCCACAATCGAAGACAAGATCAACTTGCCTTATTGCCATGCTATCATCAAGGAAGTTGGAGGATGCCACAATCCGCCGCACGTCGCATCGGGAAATTTCGCTTATGAGGTTCTTCCCCAAAGGCACAGTTGTAATCCTGAACACGTACTCCATGCACAACGATTCCTCCAGACACAAACCCGGAGAAGTTCGACGTAAGTATTTCTTTCTCGTTCGCTTTCAGAAGTGATTGACGGACAAGCTTTTCAGCCCGAGAGGTACATTAACGACCACACTAACAATACTGAATCTATCAACCTTGCCGATCCTTACGAGCGGGATCGCTGGATGTTCGATGCAGGACTCGTAGCTTCTCATCTAATGGTCAAGCTTCGATTAGATGCTAACCACAAGACGTGTCGATTGAATCCAGACGCCGTATATGTCCCGGTATTACTGTCGCCGAACGCGAGATTTGGCTGACTATTGCGCGCACGCTCTGGGAAAAATGTCGCCAAGGTCCTCGGAACGTGAAAATAGCAAAACGAAGGCATAATGCTGAGACGGGACTGGGAACAATTCAAGGGCAGATGGGCATAGCTTATTAGTCTTGATAGTTGCACCTGACTAGTATCCTTATCATTGTGACTCTAGAACCTTACATAGATATAATTATAAGAATGTGATGACCGTAGTTCAAACTTGACAGTCTTTCCCAATGCTGAGTTTGAATTTGATTATTCGACTTGTAATTTGAACCCGATTAGTAGAGGCTCCGGATCCGATTCTCCCGAACAAGTCATTCAAGGTTCCGCGTCGTTATCGTTTTCCCGCACACAATGGATATAATCTACTCTCTGCAGTCATGAACTCGTCTGAATTGAGGCGCCTTTACGATGAGCAGGGCTTCGTGATCATCCCAGATCTCGTTCAGGATGAGCTGCGCAGCGCGTTAGAAGAGGCAAGCGAGTGTGCCATTGCGAAGACGCGCTCGGGGAGTTGGAAGCTTCGACGTACGGTGCGCTGAGTGTACCAAAGCCTTGTCCGCGTGATCTAACAACTTGAAATATTAGGTTGGACGTCAGTTTCCTCCGTATGGAGAGGGCGATCCGGACTCGTGGGGCGTGCAGCATGTCATGCACCCCGAGTTGGGCGAGCCTATCTTCGCGCAGTGGTACACGAGCGATCCCTTGGTCAACGTTGTGAGGGAGCTCCTGGAATGCAGTGAAGATGAGCTCCAGATGGGTAATTGATCTTATCATTTGTTTTGCGCACACGCTCACCATGCTTGTGTTGGTCTTGCGAAGAGCTGTTCAACATGCTGATCAACCCTCATTCCCATGCCTTTGCGCTGCGCTGGCATCGCGACGACGTGCGTGAGGACGCGTCGGAGGAAGAGGAGCGCAAGGCATTGAGTGTTTGGCATCACGGCGTACGTGCATTGATGATGGTGCGTCTGACATGTACAGGCAGCTGAAAGTATTCCGTGATCAGGTGCAATGGAACACGTTTGTCCTCTATCTCTCATAGCCCTAAAGAGAACTGATGATCCAAACACATAGGGCCCTGTACAAGGATTCGTGTCTGTATGTCGTCCCCGGTTCACATAAAGTTCCTCGAACCCCCGAACAGCGTGCACACTCGTCGACGCTAGACCCTCCTGATAATCCGCTAGACATGCCGGGCGCGATTCAAGTTGCGTTACAACGTTCGTCTCACGTTCGAGTATCTCGCACTGTCTTGTCAGTACTGATCTCTCTGTCACTCTAGCGGGCGAGACCGTCTTTTACAACAATAACATCCTTCATTGTGCAACGTATGACCCAAACGAACGGCGAGCAACGCTACATGCATCGATGGGAGACATTCGCGGCGGTGCTACTCGAGCCAGGAATGTACTCCAGCATGGACTGATGTGGATGAAAGAAGAACGCTTCCGGGACAGTTTGAACCAGAGGGGAAAGAAGATGCTCCGTCAACTCGTCACGCTGCAAGAGAACGTAAACGGCGACGTGGGCTACTCGCTCACAAATAAGTAGGCGGATCATGAGCTCAAGGATCAAGATGATTTCGTACAGTGTATGAATATGTAGTGACAATAACCTGGTGGTGAATGAAGAAATGCTAAAGATCACTATGCTATATAAACTTGCCAGTTGCGAGGAGAGACTGCACATAAGTCTCTGAGGGTATATATACCAAAGATAACCGTACATAGAGAATCACCTGCCGTTGTCCCTATTCGCGTTGCGCGGCATTTTATTTTGCTCCCTTCTACCCGCCGGAGACTCCGCTTCGTACCCACCGCCCGCCTTCCTCTTCGCACTACGAGGCCTCTCAACGGGAGGCATAACCACACCAATGAACATCTGTTCTCTGGATACCTGCTCCCTGTCCGGAAGGGGTGCAGCCAACACGACACCGTCAAAGACTTTCTTCTGCTGCTTGCTGTTCGGTTCACCAACGCGGGCCATCGGGACAGCCACCTCCACTCTACGCTTGCTCGTGGTCGGGCCCTTCTGTGCACCGACTTGAGAGTGTGGTCGCCTCGGCCGTGGACTGACATGTACCATGGGAACGGCCACCTCTACCACACTCCTCCTCGTTGACGCGCTCTCTTGCACACTGACTTGGGAAAAAGGCTGCCTCGGCCGTGAACGAGGATGTGAGCTACCCGCCTGCGCGTCCCCGAATCGTTCCGCTACAGCATTGACTGCGCGAGAACCCAGAAATTAGTCCGGCTATCAGCTGAAAGCGGCTAGCACTCACGACCGTCCCTCTCGACCGCCTGCAGTCGCTCCACCATCTCATCTTTGTTCCCCATAGCGTGCGGCAAGCCAAGGTCTCGGAAGATGGCCTTCATAGTGTCCCCCTTGAGCTTCTCCCAGGGTATCTGAGACTCGATGGCCATATCGCCGAGATGGTGGTAAAAGTGTGATAATTATTTGGCCAGAAATATATGGAGAATTCGGCGGCGATAGTGGTGATATTCGAACACTTGGAAGTCCAACTTCATTCAGGTTGTCACCGATCGTGACATTCAGGTCGCGTCAGATGATCCGCACGAACACTAATTGCCTGATTAACGTGAATCTAACACTACATGGTGTAAAGACAACCGCGGCAGCAGGAATACGACACACTGGCCAATAGAGGCGCTGATGCTCATCCTCAGAGAAATGACATACAGATCAGCACTTCGACCTTTGGCGTTTCGTCACCTCCCTCCCAAGCTCTTCAACCTTCTCCTGCACGAGCGCCGTCACAGCGCTCCGAATGCTGGCAACCTGATCCACCGTGTATAGTGCAGGATTACACTGGCCAGACTGACCGTTCTTCTCTGGCGCAACCGCCCCACCCAACCAGCGACTAGCAGCGGTCAGCGCGCTCGTCCGCTCGTCCCGCGGTCGCTCTGGGGCAATCATGCCACCACGAGTTGTCTTAGGAGCTGCAGGTTCCTTCCTCTCGCGGACAATGCCCTCTAGCCTTTCGCGAAGCTCGTCTATGCTGATGGGCTCTCCGAAGGTTATGGTGAGTGCAGCGCGCGGTCGCGGGAAGAATTTCCACGGTGCTTGTCGGCGTTCTGGCATCAATTGGTCGAAGCCTGGCATTGAGGTATCGTTTGAGAATTGGGCATCTGGTTGTATACTCGAGGGCACATACCAGTCAGCCACATCGGTATGATTACCGGAGGTTTATTGGATTCCATGAGAATGCGGCCGCTGTCATTGAAACCGCATCAGCAATTCTCTCGGGGTAGGGTTGAGTAGAAACAGACGTACACACCCCACTTGAATCTAAGAAGTCGTGTGGGATCCTCGTGAGGGTTGAAGGCAGGCTGATTCACCTTACCCTCGCAGAACAAGTGGATCTATGGCCAGTAAGTGTATGCGCAATTTATATTACACTTAACCGTACCCAGTCACCTTGATTCAGCTTTTCGATTGCAGTGTCGACGGCGGGTTGGTATATACCTCTACCTCGGAACGTCTCGATAATCTGGCCCTTTCTGAAGAATGCCGAAAGCAGACTATCTAGCAGGTATATCGCGTGTTCGCAGAGGAAGGGACCATAAAATCTGTGGACATTGGAAGGTCGATGTGTGACTCACGGGTTTGTGAACATTACATCGGACGCTCCAAGTGTCCATCGCATCATGCGCGAATCAAGGTAGAAGCGAAATGGAAGAACACCCCAAACAACGGGATCGTCTAGTCTATGGTCGAGAATTAATGTGTCAGTTTGTGTGAGTGGAAAGAACCATACGTAGAAATATGGTTGGCGACTAGAAGCGCGATGAGCTTACGCTCTCGAGCCAAAATGGCAGAACGACATACCGGTGATGACGCCTCGGCCGTTATTCCGCTCATTGCTCTCAAGTGCCTCGTATAGGTTCTCGATGCCATTGACATTTACGGAAGAACAATACCCGATGTTCAAGAACGTCTTGCAGAGGAGCCCCACTGCGGTCACGGTCGCCCTCGACAGGAGGCCGTTCATACAATTTCCTGGAAAGCCGCTTCACTGAATTGAGTGTGGGCCAAGCACCACAAACGTGGGTCGGCCAGAGGACGAAAAGCCTTCAACTTTTCGCGCGAGAATGCGAGGGTACTGGCAGAACCTGGTTGAATGCGCGCTCCCGAGTCCGACGATGCCGACGTGACGAATGTTTCTCGGAGGACGCGTTGATCATGTGATTTGGGCGCTTGACCCCTGGATTCGCAACTTCGCGATGCGCACTCTCTTCTTGCATTTTAGAGAATAGAGTGAATATGCTCAGTGTTCTAGCTTCTCAGTTCGATGATAGCCGCTCAGTTTCTGCTTGTAACGTATACTCTGAATGCACAGTACTCTGAAGTTATGTTGCTGTAATAGCCACATTGTCCATTAGATTTGAGCCCGTGGCACGAGCCTCTTTAATCATGGCAAGTCTGCACAGTCTGCTCTATCAGCTTATGATTACGAATTCTTGTCTGTAATGTAAATTCTGGCCGAGGCTGCTTTCTGACATGCTCTCTGAGGCTTCCTATGAAATTACCGCTGGACTATCTCATGTTGTGGAGAGCTTGGTGTGCCACAAGGATATCGTAAGGAGCCGCAGCCGACTGCGCGCCAGAGCCTGTTCAAAACGGCATCAGGAAACGCGAACTTCATTACATGGAAACAGCCGACTGCGCAAGAGGTTATTGCCAGACTGTTGGCAACAACCAGACAACGGCCGACCTAGCCTGAAGAGCGTCTGCGTTATCTCTAGCTGACTTCTAGCCAACTCTGAGATAGGCCAGGGTACAAAAGCGTCAACATGCGGAGATGTGCCGGAGGGCACGACGAGAACACGACGAGCGGAGACAAATGGGGCGAGCGCCTCAGACGGGGGGGCGGTGCCTTGGTTCCGCGAGACGCCCGATAAGGAAATGGCCCCAACCCGAATCAAACCATCTCGCGTGACGGGGCGGCGTCGCGGCGAGTGATAAGAGAGCCGCGTATGCAGCCTACTTTCTCCGGTTCTCCCCCAACCACCATCTCCTCCAGCTCGTTTTAGCGGGGAGTTTGCCCACTCTCTAAACCTCACAGCAATCACTCCATCTCGCTCGTTACGATGCGTCGTTTGCTCGTCGCATCCGTCGTTGCTCTCGGCCTTGCTGGTGCCTATGCACACTCCGGGAGCGTTGACAACCAGGTCCGCCGACGCAAGACCCTCGGTTTTGGTCCTGTTCACCCCCATGCTGTATACCGTTCAGAACCCATCGCTTCTAGCAACTTTTTGGATGCTAGTGGTGGCGACCCCTATGAGGTCGCTCAGCGCTTCATCCACGACCTCACTCGTGAATCGTCGCCAGCTAGCTCATTCGTGATCCGTAAGGACTCGTATACCGACAAGAACACGGGTGTCACACACATCTACGTCCGTCAGTACATGCACGGCATCGAAGTCGCAGACGGTGACATCAATGTCAACGTCAAAGATGGTGTCGTCATTTCCTATGGTGACTCGGTAAGTATCACATATCTGTTGCCTATCGCTATCTCAACGATTGCGCTAGTTCTACCGTGGCTCCGAGCAAGATCCGTTCATCTCTGGCCTCGTTCGTGGTCTGCCTGATGCTCATTCTGAGTACTGCGCCGGGCTTGTTCAGGAACTCCAATCCCGTTCGGAACAGGTCGAGGAGCGATTGGCTAACCAACAGAGATTTGAGGGACAGAGCGACCAGGTGACACTTGGTGGTGCAGGTGTGATGCTCGAGCAGGCATTAGGCGACTTGCCCCACCTGTTCGAGTGGAACTGCGCTCATGTTGCGACGCCGTTTGTTACGGCTTTCCATGATGCCTTCTCCGGCCAGGAGGACACGCTCGGCGATCCTACGCGCGCATTACTTCAGTTCATGATCGCTGCTACTCCCGACCAGGAGCTGTCACAGCGCCTAATGGCGGATCCTGCGCAGTATCTCGAGAAGATGCAGTCGACCTGGGAGACACACATCGTCGGTGGCCACGGGACGATATCTGCTGTCATTGACAATGTTCCCGACGCAGTGAACCCTGTGAAAGCCAAGGTGGCCTTTATTCAAGTTCCGAACGGCGAATCTACTGCGTTGGAGCTTGTCTGGAAGGTTGGTGCCATTTTATCTTGAAGTACATGCGTGAACCTAGCTCAATTGATACTTCAGCTTGAAGTCGAGATGCAGGACAACTGGTATGAGGCTGCCGTCTCTGCCTCGTTGCCGCACCGCATTGTCTCTGTTGTGGATTGGGCCTCTGATTCACCCATGCCTGTTGCTCCTCTTCCTCCGACTCCGGAGCGCAAGCCGGCTGCATACCATGTTTTCGGCTGGGGCGTCAACGATCCCTCTGTCGGCAACCGCTCTGCACAGCCAGAGAACTTCGACTCGCTCGCAAGCCCGCTTGGTTGGCACTCGCTGCCATACGCTAACGACCCTCATTCATTGCAGGCCAGGGTTAAGAGTGGTCCCAAGGGCGAGAAGTTCCGCAACACCAGCACGACGTGGGGTAATAACGTCTTCGCGCACGAAAACTGGGAAGGCAGGAATGAATGGGAATACAATTACCGCCCCGATGCCGGTTCTGACATGGTCTTCAATTACACCTACTCGCCGAAGGATACGGATCGCACGGATGCGCTCGAGGAGGCAAAGAAGTACATCAACGCCACGGTGACGCAGTTGTTCTACACGAGCAACCTTGTACATGATCTATACTACCGATATGGCTTCGACGAGGTTTCTGGCAACTTCCAACAGCACAATTTCGGCCGCGGCGGTGAGGAGAACGATGCTGTCATTGCTAACGCGCAGGATGGTAGCGGGTACAACAATGGTAATTTTCTCGAATAAAGTTTTGTGACCCATGGCTTACTATGGTCATAGCTAATTTCATGACGCCGCCCGATGGTCAGAACGGGCGTTGTAGGATGTACCTGTGGAACACCGCTAGCCCGTATCGCGATGGTGATTTGGAAGCAGGTATTGTCATCCACGAACTCAGCCACGGATTGAGTACCCGTTTGACTGGTGGTCCTGCTAACTCGGGCTGTCTTGGATGGGGCGAGTCTGGAGGTATGGGTGAAGGCTGGGGAGGTATGTTGTTTCAATACCGGAATGCGACTTGAAATCTGAAGGTTCTGTCAGACTTCTTGGCTACCACGATCCGTAGCAACAAGGTCTACTCAGACTATGCTATGGGTGCATGGGCTGCTAACCGTCCCACTGGCATTCGGAACTACGTTTACTCGCTGGTGCGTGCTATTATGTGTAGTCTTGTGGCCGTTGTGCTTACCCGGCCTGCAGAATGAAACTATCAACCCATCCGTATACAAGACTCTCGACAAGCCCGGTTACTGGGGCGTTCACGCGATTGGCGAGGTTTGGGCTGAGATGCTATGGGTTGTCTCTCAACGCCTCATTGCGAAGCACGGCTACGTCGAGACGCTCTTCCCACCTGCGCCTCTTGCTGACGGCACGGTGCCCGAGGGTGACTTCTACCGACCAGCCGAGTATACTGTCACCGGTGAACGCAAGCCTCTGATCCCCAAGCATGGCAATTCGCTTATTGTCCAGTACGTTCGCTAGGGTTTGTGGTACTTCCATAATGCTAACACCTCGCTGCACAGACTCGTTCTTAATGGCATGAAGCTCCAGCCATGTCGCCCATCGTTCTTCGACGCCCGTGATGCCATTATCGAAGCTGATCAGATCCTCACCGGTGGCGAGAACTACTGCGATCTCTGGATCGCCTTCGCCGAGCGTGGGCTGGGTCCTGACGCACGCGTCGATGGCCGCACGCCATGGGGCGGAGGAGTGCGTACTAACGTACGTTCGCCTGATTTGCGCTCCACTGCTCTCGTTTGCTCACGATTTTTGTTGTACAGGACTTCAAGGCACCCACGAAGTGCAAGGCTGCCGATGCCAAGCTTGCGAGTCACTAGATTGGTAGTAGGCTGCGGGAATTAGGATGGCATCGTCTCTGATGCACTGTCTGGTTATGTCTTGACTTCATACATGATATCTACGTGACCTTGTATTAGCATAATGTTTGTCAGCATCTCAGATTATAGAGCATGTTATTAGAGTGCTCTGGCGTGATCTTTTTCTTTCGCGAGTACATACTTATTAGCCAGGGTTCTGGGTTTGGCATTTGGACTGCGAGCCAGTCTGGTTGTCTGCACTCAATTTGCATTTTACTGGGGTGCACTCGCTGCGCGCTGGCAACGTGCATGGCACGGGTTGTGTTCATCGTGCTTGAATTGTAGCAGTGGTGTTGGGCATTCGTGAGCGTAGGCGTAAGTGCCATCATCGTGATTGGATCAGTATTCATATTCGTTCACAAATTCGTGCACAGAAAACTACCCACCCGTATTGCAGAATTCCCGAGCCGTTTCGAGGCGGGACGCTATACTATTTTGTCAGAGCCTAGATTCAAGCCGTTCCCGAGGTTGGGCCGTTATTCCCCCCCCCTCGCAGCATCCTCCCTTTTCTACCGGAGGGTGTCTCAATCGATGGTGTCTCAAACCGCCTTCAACCTCCATTGATTATTGTCAGTGAGCCTAAGTTTCACAGGAACTCGGCCAGATGGCTTTCTCCGTGACGGCGCTGTCCCTGTCCGCAGTATTGTTGTCATAGTAGGCGATTCGTCCACTTCCACCGCCGCGACGGCCAATGAGAGCGTCTTCGCTTCGACGTTGAGAACCCGAATCGCTCTGTTGTCTTCGAAATCCTTTCTGGTGCAGATGGGAAGGCGGGGGTCCTGTTTATTCGAAGCCGGGACTCACACAGTCCACCGGATCCGCAGTCGCCTTATCCTTCTCCGTTGTTCCCACAAGCAGCATCATGACAGTCCAGCAGTTCCTCGACTGCGTTCTCACAACAATACTGGAGAAGTACAAGTACGAGCCCACGTAGACGGTGATGTACAGTTGTCTTGCAGCACCTGGAGCTCGAGGAAGCTAGAATGATCGTGGCGGAATCACCGGAGGCGTTTCTGCAGTATATCACGACAGGCAGAGCCATGTCCCGTCTAAATTCCTATGCCTGTGCGCAGGGGAAAGCTCTATAGAAAGTTCTTATCGGTGTACAATTGAGCCAAATGCGAAGACGCGTATACAAGTAGATCTATATCGAGCCTCTCTACAATAGGGATTAAACAGCCGTATATCGCTCAATAAATCTGGGCACTTGTTCTGATTCGAACAATATCCTCTCCGGACAGGTTGGCCTCATCGCATAGCGACCTGAAGATTGAGTCCTTCTGATTGTAGAGTGTCAGCGGAGTATCAAACTCAACGACTTTCCCAGCGTCCATAACGAGAATTTTGTCATAGTAAACTATCAGTATCGTAATATGGTGAGATGATTGTGCATCATGCTAGAGTAGAAGTCACATACCAATAGTATTTAGGCGGTGCGCGATGCATAACAGTGTAGACGAAGAAAATTCCATTTGAATAGTCGCCTGTAGCTTCGCATCCATCTGAACGTCGACATTGCTTGTCGCCTCATCCTTGTGTAGGGGTGATCAATGATATCCTGAAAGTGTACTTATAGTCAAAGAGCTTACTAGAACAATAATGCGACTATTCTTTACGACTGCCCGGCACAGTGCGAGCAGCTGCTTCTCGCCCGCACTATAATTTGATCCTGCCAAGGAGATAGAGCAAGGTTTATCCAATGACAACGACAAACGGGAGGAACGCGAGCGCACCTTCTTCACTCACGGGAGAATCCAAACTGAACTTCGCTTCCACCACAGGGTCGCACGATCCATCGCGCGGAAGCAGCCAAGTGCGTTTGAGAGCAGATATGAGTTCCGCATCCGCACGAATGCCTTGTGGATCACTAGGTGGTCCCTTCATTGACCTTGACAATATTTTAGCAGGAGTGTATATGAGAGACGTACAGATTTTGTCGCAATGTGCCCTTGAAAAGCAACGCATCCTGAGGAACGAGCGCAAGCTGACCCCGCAGTGTGTCTAAACCGATGTCGCGTATGTTATATCCGTCAATTTCGATTATTCCTCCTTGGGTGTTGACTATCCTATAGAAACATCTAAGCCTTGACATAGCTGTACCAGAACAAGATACTTACCGGAATAATGCTTGCAAAAGGGAGCTCTTTCCTGTGATGACATTATGAGTACATCCGACGTGCGCCATCTATCGAAATGAAGCTCACCTGCTCCAGTCCTACCAACGATTCCAATCTACTCGCAATTGGTCCTGTATACGACGCTCAAGTATGACCATAACTCACCTTCTCTCCAGGGTGTACAGTGAACGTGACACCTTTCAGCACGAGCGGGAGTCCTTCCCTGTATGCTAACTCGACATTCTCAAATCTAATCCGTCCTTGCTCGGGCCAAGCCGGGGAAGGGTCATTGGGCATTGTTGTTTCACCCTCGGATGGTAGTTGTGTGTAGTATTGCACACGTTCCACGGCATTGAAATTCTGCTCGTTTTGCGCATATGTCTGGATGAGGGAGGCTTCAATTGAGATGCCAAGTGAGCCGATGCAAAAAACGAAGATGATAGGAAACTTACAAAGCACTTCGGTCACTGTAGACGGCGCGGAGTAAGCCGCTTTTCGAAAGACGTTATTGAAGTACCAAAACTCACCACTCAGTGTATATGAGAGCACTACACCGATACTACTTGGGTCGATCGTTGTCCGTATACCTGAGGCAAAGAGGGCGATACCAAGCACGAGTAGGTTACCGAGCGTATCGAGTCGGATGCTGAGCCATTGCTGTATTGCAATCGTCATGTAATATGCACGATTCTCCATGTCTTGTCCGTGATCTGATTGCATGACGAAGCGATTCTGTACTCAACATAAATGCCATTACACCTAAAAGCATCTTCTATGATCACGAACCTGCGCACGATAGGATCGCACAGTACTCAGACCAGTTAGGCACTCTGCCGTACTGTCCATCAGTCATCTAAGTCTCGCCAATCATGCGGAGAGGTCAATCCCACCTGTGTATGCAGAATACAGCATTGAACGCATGATTGAATCGAGACGCTTGGTCTCAACAGATGTGCGCCGGTAGAACATGGCAGCAATGAGATAAAGAAGCAGAAGCGGCGCAAATATTGTCCCTAGGTATGGCAACGTGTAGAATACGAGAACGACTGTTCCAACAACCGAACTGCGCAATTGGGGTCAACTCCTGACACGATTGCAAAAATGAGCAACACACCTGAAAGTTTGCAACAGCTATTTGTTGCGAATCGCTTAATATCAACGCTAAGTATGGAAACTGATGATATTACCTGATTTGCCGTCAACGCCAAGTTCAAATCCAAGGTATTTTGGTCGTTCGATAGCCGAGACATTATACGGCCTAATAGGAATGAGCAGGTTACCTTCAAATTTTTATATACACTCACCCATAGGTGTTGTATCAAAAAATGAAACAGGAGAATGCAAGACCGAATTCAACGCATCCTTGAATAGGCGCAATCCGGCTATCAATGTTGCGACACTATTCATATTTTGAACAATCACTCTCGCATCGAGTTTAAAAAAGCGCACGTGAACGACATGCTGAGCAAGAATGCGCCTACTCCGCTGCCCACTCCGAGTGCGGCATACAGTGCCATGTAGTCTCCCTGTGTGAACCCCGAGATAGACTCAGAGGTCCACCATCCAAGAACTAAGTTGTTCGCAACTACATTATAGGTCAGATATGAGTCGAACTCGGGGAAGGACGGAAACCCGACCTTGTGAACCCTGATATACTACTACGTTGATAAAAAGGACGAGGATCCACCACAACCCACCCGCGGCACGCAAATAATTGTCATACACCTTGAGTGATACAGCCCCAGTGAGCCGCTCTTCCGCTTGCATCAAAGCTACCTTCGGCCGCGTTTGCTTCTCACCCTCAGACTTCGGCACAGTGATAATATTACTTTCGATTTTCGCCGTAATTTCAACCTCCTCACGTCGTTGATTCCCAAATTCCTCCATCAGACGTGAGAATACTGCTCCTTTGTTCATAAGATCCTGCTCAGGTATATCAGCCTCACTGTGACATAATCAAAGACTAGGCAACACACATTGAATGTACCCTGTTCCGCGATGGCACCATTGTCCATGACATATACATAGTCTGTCTTGTCCAGCATATGCAAGGCGTGCGTGACGAGAATTCGTGTTTTACCAGCTAGTGGGCCCTTCACGAGACAGCTGTCGACGAGGGTTTTACCAACATGAGCATCAACCGCACTTAGCGAGTCGTCCATCAAGACAATTTCTGAACCAGAGTACGCGGCGCGTGCGAGGGAAACACGGGCCTTGAAAACCATGTCTGTAAGAAAACATGAAAACAGCATTGGCAAAAACCCAATACCTTCTGACCTCCTGAAGAATCAGTGTATTAAGCTCTATGCAGCTAAATTATGCATCAAGCGGACTCACCACTCAAGTTGATGCCCTTTTCCCCAATCTCAGTGTCCTGTCCCTGGGGAAACATCTCAAGATCTTCTTCGAGGCAACATGCATGGTAGATTTCCTTCAGCCTGGAAGCAGCCCACAACCATATAAGCACCATTGCTACAACAGTTTGAGTTTCTCCGAACACACCTCTTTTCATCCTCAGGTTGTCCAAACGTGATGTTCTCGCGCACACTGGCATGCATGATCCAGGGCGTCTGAGGCGCAAACGCGATGCGGGAGGACACGACAACCTGTATGGGTCGAATAAATTTAACTAATATGCTCCTTTAGTAAGTCCATACTTGGCCTCTGGTCCTGCGCATCTCTCCTATCAATGCATGCAACAAAGAACTCTGAACGTGCGAGGGGTTAATTCTCATCAATCAATGGACAGTGCAGATAACACTACACCTTCCCTGAGCCAATACTTCCAACAATGGCGACGAACGAGCCATGAGGCACCTGAAAACGAAGATTCTTCAACGCAAATGGTTTTTCTTCTTCGGCAGGCTTTTCCGAGCCCTGCTCTTCCTTGTCTCCCCCATATGCTGTTGCGGGAAAGCTGCCGTCGGGTTTCTTCGGTTTGAGCTTGAAAAAGCTGTGTGTTCTTTTATGAGAGGTAGATTTCTTCTCGGCTACATAAGCTCTAGATTTATCCTTCTTCTCGGAGCCATCTCCAGTTGTATTCGAAGTCTCCCATACGAAATCGCCGTCTACGTCGACGGCAAACTTGCTCTCGGGGTCCAAGACATACGGCTCAGGTATTTCTTCTGCGACCAGGAAGTTTGAGATTCGGCGAAGAGCGACTATCGCGTCCGTGGAAGCTTGTAAAATAAGAGGAACATTGCGAATCGGAGTGCGAATAATCTGTCGCAAGCATAATGAGAACACCTTTCAACGATCAAAGTCAACTGCGCACATTCAAAAACTGTAGCGCAGTGAACACGGTAGAGACAGTGAGATTATGGCCGCTCAAGGCATAAGTAATCTAATGAATAATGTTGAGGCCCGAATAGATGTGAATTCCAGAACACGCACAAAAGACAATATTGCAGCCACTACAGGAATGGCAGTCACCATAGCAAGTAGCGCAGCCCGGGCGATGCTATACAACAGAAGACATCCGCGTTTTGGAGAAAATCTTCGAAGGCAGCTCGATTTCGCACCTCAGCTTTCGCACATGACTCAGCTCGCGCTGACGGACATGGTATACCTGGTCTGTGTAGAACCTCTCCCAGGCATAGTACTTGATGAGTCGGATACCTTGGAGTATCTGGACTCAAATAAGTGGGCGGCCGTTAATACACAAGCAGCACGGACGCACCTCTCCGACCACTCGAATCCGCTGGTCCGTGATTCGTAAGCCGGCAAGACGGTGGTCGAACATGATCCTCGTGCAGACCATCTGCACAGGAAAGCCAAAGACTAACACCTGAGTTGTTGTATAGTTTGAATAACAATGTAGTCCTCAACAGTGCATATTCTCGCACCGCTAAACCGACGAGTGCAGAATACCCAAGCTATAAATCTCCTGCCATTAGGAGCGAGAAGTCGCATATAGACTCATAAACTGTACTTGATCAATGAGCAGACCCATTCCGATCGCGATCTGAAGAGGCGCGACCCAAAGGCTATTACGACAATTAGACAGACATGTTCACACAGCTTAAGATGACTCACTTGTGCGCTTGTATTGTGACACGCTCCAGACGGGTAGTGTCTGTGGCAATCATTGTAGTGATTTGACCGCTGCTGTGCTTGAGTCTTGCACGACCGCTGAGGCGCAACGACTTGCGAAAGATTGTGCCTATCGTCTGAGATTACAATATTGTCAGTTATGTGTCACAAAATATCAATGTGGAACCCTACAGCAGTGCGCATCTCAAATCCGGTCTGCATAGTCACTGGGGATATAGTTGTTACAATTGTGAATGAAGCATTGAGTGAATGAAGTGCAAAATTCAATCACTTAATGAATAATGAGCAGTAATCTGGCAATATAGGCGTCAAAAATAGCGCATATAGCCATAGATCAGGGACTTGCTCACAATACTTGAGATTTCTACGCACACAGGAGATGGACTTGTCAGCTACTCGTTCATGAGACACAAACAGTCACACCTTGCATCAAAAACAGCCCAAATGACAGCCCGATACCATAACCAATTCCCTGCGGAGGTATCAAGCCCTCTCGTTGTTCGATAGATGTTCGATGATACGTGTACGAGTCTGTGAGCCAGGTGAGCAGGACTTGACTAACTAGTGGCGTGCATGTATTGAGTGTGTCTAGAAAAAATAGGTATGGACTTGCAAACACCAGGCGAGTGATGAACATGACTCGTACTGGCAATGAGCGTGAGGATTCCAGCCGCCCACCACTTCCAAAAGAAAGTCGTGTGTAGAGCATAAAGCAAAGATGAATCATACTTAATCTCGCCCGATCTGTTTGTCTTCAAGCCATATCCAGGTATCCATCTTGCCCACTGGTCGTAATTTGGGCCCGACTCGTACTGCGGGAGCTTCGCCTCTTCCCCAGCTGACATCTCGATGTCTGAAGGAGATTCTCGGCTAGTAGTGCAGTCGTCGTTGTGTCTGGGCTGCATAAAGGCCGGTCGTTGCTCTGGCGGACAGCGCTCAAAGAAATTTCGCTCAACCTTGTCGCTCAGCTGGGAGGCCAGGTACTTGTTGGGAAGTGTCCACAGGTCTGTTCACATCAAGGTTGGACGATGAATGTACCTTCAATGATTTGAACACTTACCGTCTGTCTGCAGAGGACGCGAGAAACCAACCATCAAGAGAGGATCAAGCCAGGAAAATACGAGTCTAGACCATGGCCTATAGTGATAGAATGTGTATTATGACCATGAATAGCAACAAAATAATTGGTCTGAACGTACGACGCCCTCTCCTCAGGCAAGCTAGCATTCGATCCAGTCGCGAAGGCAGGCGGTTTGGGCGGTGGGCGGAGAGGATTGTACATGGCTCCGGGCAAAGCCAGGAAACGTCTGAATGAGGACTCGTCTGAGTACAGAAGAGCGCATTCTAAACACAGCAGCGCGCAGCATCGGAGGAACTCGGTCCGATAGAGGGAAATGATGGGCGTTCACCGCTAGCATGTGGTGTCCTGTGAACTTGACAGAATGACTGTGTACCGTTTACTGGATATCAGGCGTCTGCACGGCCGGCTCCAGGAATCGCGATCACGCGTAGCGCGTTTGGGCGTGCCAGTGATTGCTGCCGTGCACTTGCGCTGCACGGTCACTGAAACAGCCGCCATCGAGCAGCTGATCTGATATTGAAGCCACATTATCAGCTCCGCCAATTGTCGGAAACATGAGGCTCTGGTGCGGCGAAGATTACTTACGAGTGCTTCGGAGGAACAAAGGCTGTCTTTTCGGGTTGATGCTCTTCCTCGCATGCTTTGTCGGTGACAGCACAACGAATTCTATGGCCAATACAGTGAACCTTTGAACCTTTGAAGCGCCGCGGTGAAGGGATGTACGTCTTGGCAACGTATCAAGCAGAATCAAACTCCATCGATATGCTCGACATACCCAAAAAGCCTTAGACCTGCACCAGTTCACCTCTACAACCTTCCAATGGAGGCTCTGTCGTTATCCATTGTATGCCAAATATTTGGCAGCCTGAAGGTATGGAACTCTCCAGCTGGTCAGCTGAATACGACATGAGCCGTATGTTATCTCTACTCCCGCTGATTATCCATGCGCGCTGAATTCCTGCAGAAAGTCCGAGGTTGGCATCACTATGAATGGACGAGCATCTGAATTAGGCACTCACTCGATCAAGCGTTGAAGAATCAAATTATCATTCTCAAGTGAGTTGAGCCTGTGCGCTGGCTCGAGGTGGCAATTTTTTTTACTGTAAAACAAGATCGACGGTGCAAAGGATAATGGTGCCGTTCGGACGCTGTGGCTAACAATGATGCAGTGGAGTCATAATGGTTGTGCTTAAAGCTTTCGAAATTCGGACTTACCAGCACTGCCGCATCAAAAGATTTGCTGACAGCTGGGCGCGCAACAGCTCGCAGACCGCGCGAACAACATGATTATTTAATGATTGTGCACTAGGATCCCAGCGCTTATTGCGACTCTGCCTGCTAAGAGCCACCAATTTACTCGAAGGCGTCACTGCAGTGCCAAGCCATCGCTCCTGGCGTTATCTACTATGCCGGCCAGCCTAGCTTTGTACCCCCTCGTTCTTCTTCCGCCATGACTGCGACACGGTGTTTGCTCGTCCTCGTCGCGTTTTTCCTCGCGTCGCCCACTCCTTTGCGCGCACAAAATCTCTCCTCAGCCCAGCTGGAAGGCGTCGAGTACAACCTCTGGCTCGGAGCACAGCAGACGTACGTCTCTCATGGATCATCCCCATGCGCTGCTGACAGTTCGCTAGATGGGAGCTCGGCACAGAGGCCGAGGCACTTGTCGAGTCCTATTCGCCTGCATTCGCCGTCTTCGCCAATGCGTCCCTTCCTCCCCCGACTAACGCGTCGCTCACAGGGGGTTACAACGTCTCTACGCTAGACCCGGTGCTCCAGATAGCGTGCAATACCATCGCGTCGCGTAACCCCGTCGCGGGGCCCCAGCCCCTGATCAATGTCACAGGAGGTGCGGCGGGGGATCCAGCCAGCATTGGCGTTGCGGTGCTGTTGGCGAATTGGACAGGGGCGGAGGTGCCCCCGAAGAATACGACATACAACGATAGCTCTGGTAAGCCCTAGGCCTGATTCTGCTCGATTTCGCATATATAAACCCCGCATCATACCCTTGGCGCGCATCTTTGGCGTTTATATCCGGTTGTTCGGGGCACGTATCCATCTTGAACATGTCATCTCTTCGTCTTGTTGCAGTCTCGGTTCCGGGCATACCACAGCAACGCGGCAATACTGTAGCGGCTGCTGAGCATACATCGAAACTGTCTACCACAACCACTGCTAGTATGTCGGCGACTCCTGGCAGGACAAATGTGGATAGCTCCCTCACATATCCTCGCTAGGGAGCGCGAGACACGTCCGTGCTTAGCTTGTGCCACCATGCGTTGAAAGAATCCACATGTGCGCGCAAGGCCTCCATACTCCGCATTGTTCTGTTACTGATAATTCATCACGGGATGGGTCCGAGAGCTGGGAGTGATGTATATGTTTGTTGTTAACCAATCTGCTAGTCTGAAAGGCATGGGAAAGCAGCTATACCTTTCTCTCTGCAGGTGTGTTAATGGACATGCTCACCGGACCATGCTCGATGTTCGTTCGCTTAGCGGCTCTACCATAGAGACAGCTCAGCGAACGACCATCTTTGAGTAGGTTTAAATCCTTGACGCGTCTCGAGCATTTCGGATCCCAGAACATGTAACTTATTTCGTTAGATATGGCTGGATGGACACAAGACGTGTCCATTCGCATACATCCATGTTTCTGCACACGTACTCTTTTTTCTTTCGTACACAGACTATGTCTTGATGAATCTACTGAGTCTTACCTCACCAGATGCGGCGACACTGACATATGCGCGCGCCGCGACGGAACAGCTTAACTACACGCTATATGTTGTCCCTCGTACGAGCGATGGCGCCATCAGCCATCGGATCGAGCAAGTACAGCTCTGGTATGCCATATATGCTACCCCATTTCTTAGCACATGGTTCATTTGTGTATGTCACAGGTCAGACAGTGTGTATATGGTTCCGCCCTTCCTCGCATATTACGGAATCACTACCGGAAACCAGACCTTGCTCACCGAGGCATATACACAGGTGCGTGGCGGTATGCACTGCACTGGACACGCCAGATGTTCACAGGACATCGCCTCCGTGGCAATAGATCAAACTCTACCGGAATTACCTGTATGACTCTGACATGAGCCTCTGGCAGCATATAGTACTCGGGGATGTCAACAATGATGCGGGCTTCTGGTCGACTGGTCAGTCTGTGCGCCGGACTTGTATGAGTCGCTTGGCACTGGTTGATGACACTATGCAGGCAACGGCTGGGCAGCTGCAGGAATGATGCGCGTGCTCGCTACGATCGTGCACTCGCCGTGGGCAGATAGCATGTCAAGCGAGATCAACGACTTGACGAGCTGGGTACAGGAGATCCACAACGGGATGTACGGACACCTAGTACGTCATCGTCCAGTCCCGCTCCCGCCGCGTCCTTATTCATTTCCAATAAGCAATCAAACGTATCGCTGTTCCACAATTATGCCAATGAGACGTCGACGTTTCTTGATGGCTCGAGCACTGCGCTGGTCGCCTCAACCGTGTATCGTCTCGCGATGCTGCGCGGCGTATACACGCATCTGCCACTTGCGGAGAAGTGCCGGCAGGCACTGAGCGGGAGCGGATCGGCCGGCGTGTGGGGTTCGGGGAACGGCGTGGGCCCGGCGAGCACGATCTCGTACAGCAGCGTGGGCACGAGTCCTCCCGGCGGCTCGTCATCGTCATCGTTGACTACGACAACATCGCGAGCTGTGGGTTCACAGACGTCTACGACTGCCTCATCCTCCGTCTCTTCCACGTCGACGCCGGTCTCGTCGTATGCCGCCCCTCAGCCAAGCAGCACCGCGCTGGGGGCTGGGCTGTCCCACTTTAACTCAGAGATGTGGCTGACGCCGGTGGTGGACCCGTACAACTGGAGTGTGCAAGGCGGGTCGTCGCCTGAAGGTCAGGCATTCGTCGTCGAGATGTACGCGGCGTGGCGCGACTGGGTCGAGGCGGGGGCACCAGGCGCGAGCGGTGGACATCGACGGGCGGGTGCGGGTGGCGCACTGCTCGCGGTATGTGTGCTAATGGGCGTTGTGCTAGGGCTCGCATGATGAGGTGTGGTCTGTCGTAGACCCAACTGTGGACGGTGAACGGTCGCTGGATGCGTCGTTGTGATTGCAAGGTTCATTTTTGATACCCACATTCTACATTCTTTCGTTAGCGACCTCTGGAGCTTTTACTTGGGATAGTCGATGGCAATTTGCATATGAATTATTAGTGGTGTCCATTCTGTACTTGTGCGCTGGTGCTGCCTCGCTACATTTACTGGCCACCCCGGGCCGAGGCATATGAACAATATGGCTTTTGTTGAGACTGGCAAGATAGTGTCATGCATCATCATGGTGCCTCTCAGAGCCTTGGTTTACTGTGAACTCCTGGATCCACTGTACGACCTCTTCGCCCCACTCCTCGCCGCTTCCTGAGCTCAGTGCTAGGATCGGGCTCAGATGGTCGTGCCCGGCTAAGACAACGTCTTCCAACACTCCCCCCCATCTTTCTGTACAGCTCGGAGAAACGACGACTTGCACTGGATATCCTCCGCGGCTTGCTCTCGGCGACAACCACTCGCAGAGGCGGGAGCTGCGCGACATGCATTGCCCCCGCATGGCGGCGCAACAAGCTGAGCGGCTGATTCACCGCGACTTTCTTCATGCTGCCGTAGTATCCCACTGCAGTTTGCTGAAGTGCGGCGGTGGGGCCGTTGCTGATCTCAAATGGGACGCCGACGAGGCACATCCCACGGAGAGCGGCGCGAATGGGCAGCTGAACAGGGAGGAGAGCAGTAGCATGGACACGGCGTGCACGCCGCCGGCAGAGTGCGCGAGCACGAAGACGCGGCTGGCATCGCCCGCCGTGTGGAGGTGGCGGACGACCCAGAGGAGCGCGTCGCGCACGTCCTCGGAGCCCTGTGGGTATGTGATCGACGGAACGAAGTGATAGTCCGGGACGACGGTGAGAATGCCTCTGCGCGCAAAGAACGCGCCGAGGTTGGCGTGTACCAGATCGTGTGGAGGTGACTGGCCGAGCCGGGACCCCTTCGTAAATCCGCCGCCGTAGAAGAAAACGAGGATGTGATGCGTCCGGCCGTCGGTGCTGGGGATGGGAAAGTGGTAGACGTCGAGCTTTATGGACGACAGCTTCGGAATCCATCCATGTGAATGCTCAGCAGTGTGCGCACCTTGTGAACGTCGGTTTCTCCATAAACATGTGTAGTGCGCTTAACAGAAATATTTGCAGCACGATCCACATCAAGCAGAGGATAGTCTGCGCATAATTAAGCCACAGACGTTTATCTTGGATCTGTTGATAGTTTTGACCAATCGCACACTTACTCGGATCGATGATTTCTTTGGTCCTGAACTTCATCAGTGGCAGCGCCGTTGGCGTTTGTCAGCTGACTTGAACACTCTCGACTTGTATTCGAATGTTTGAAGATGGTGGAGGACACTCAGTCGTCCTAGCGATGGTGCAAGTCAAGGTCCAAGTGATGAGCAATTATAGATTAACGTAATAGGTCAATATAATGGCGCACCGAAGCCACATATGTATGGCACTTCACTTGGCGATGATGTTGCTTAATTAAACGTGGAAGGAATACAGAAAAAAGGAGCTCATCTGATATGTCTACACCCATTATGCTTTCATGTGGCTAGTCCATATCGCCATCACTGTGTCGATAGTGTATCGATGACTTGGAGCACATGAAAACCATCTGGACACTAGCGCGATTGTACATACTGCAAACCTAATGCATATCATACGCAAACATGAAGTCGCCCAGTCAATGGGTATCCTCGTTGCGAGCAAGGTTTCCATGAGGATTAAGGAGTCCGGTCTGGCTTGCAACTCCTGTGACTGGGAGCTCATCAGAGACCGGCACCCGACAAGTCTACCTAGCAAGTTGAAACAGCCACTGGCCTCGTTTTTATATGTTACATCAATTGATGAGACTGGATTTGACAGTAGAGGAAAACCTATGAAAAGAACGTATGTAGGTCACTAGCCAGAGCAGTATTGCAGAGACTACCTGAGCATCAGGTTCACTATACATGCCAGGTCCACATTCCTGTCCCAGCTGTCTAGATTGTAGAGACTTTCAATCAGTCATCTTGACTATTATTTTTTCTGTTTTAATTAGAATGCTGTGATTAGAATAATGAGATAAATACTATGCGTTGGCTCACTTCTGAACCGTTTTGAAACTCGCGACCGACATCCACTGGCAACTTGAGGTTTCTGAATGAACGGAGTGTTGGTAGCCCACCCATTAGGTTTGTAGGGACGGGGCCGGTATCAAGCAGATATGCTACTAAGGATTTTGTAGTTTGAAGGTCCATATACAAGTGCGGACATGCCGGGGCTGCGCCGAATGCGGACAATAATCATGCAGGGTGGCCTACGTCACCTGCAGAGCGCTGTACGATGAGAGGAGCGTTTTGAAGCAGGCTTTTTTTGAGACCGTCCTCCACCCGAGATGACTCTCTATTAGAAGTCTGCCTGAGGGAGACAAGTAATAGGTACCGATTGCTCTGTACGTGCAAGAAAAGATTATATAATAAGAGCAAAGCACAGCGATGTTATTGCGAGTCCAAGATATTGCACAATCAAAAATCTACACATCACAGTAATGTCCTGGGTAATGCAATCAGTGTATCGCAAGCTCAGATGAACTTGAAAGCAAGATGGTAAGTCAAGGTCTTCGCCCCTATCGGCGAGGTGGCTTCTTCCATTTACATCCACCAACGTCCTCACACCTGCAAGTTCCACCCATGCTCTCTGGCAGATTCTCTGGATCGATGTGGGTAAGGAGGACGGACTTGTAATCGGAGCCAAGGATGTCTATCTTCGCTAGTGTCTCCTTAGCAATCCAGAGCTTGACGACGGACCAAATCGTTGTAAACGAATAGGGCGCGTTGATGATGAAGAACTTGGCCATCCTGCGCAGAATGGTGTCAAAACACCAACACCTCCACTGACAAATCAGACTCACATCTCTGGGTAGTTATCTTGCGTCATCTGAAACGAATCCCTGACCATGTTCCTCATTTGCCAGAATTGAGTCAGCCTAGCACGAGTAATATCCGCCGCCAAAGCCAGATGCTCCATAAGCATTAACCACCAGACCGAAGGTCAAGGCGGAAGCTCACCCGAATCCCTTCAAGTCTACTATTACAAATGTCCCATCTATTTGTTTCCCTGCTTCGCGCGAGGCTGCTGGCATGACCTCCCGGGGTATACTCTCTGCCGTCGTGACAATGCTGTGCCAGAACTTCTCGGGGGTGATATGCTTATATAGCTCTGGCATGTTGATCCCACCGTAGAGTTGGATGTTCAACGGGCGACCTTCCTTGTCGGTCTTGTGGAACCACATCGGCCAGTAATCGAACACCTTTTCGCGTTCTGGATACTAACGCCCCACCGCCATGGCACGTTGGAAGGCGGACACAGGCTAGACTGCAGGACGACTCACATCATATGGATCCTCCGCGTTGAATAGCTCATCTATGCCCACTCCTCCGATGGTTTTGCGCCACTCTTGGCTGGTGGCCCACATCGTTGTTGCTGCATCTAGATCATACTGCCGAGCACGGAGAAATCGTCTGGTACAACACACGAATCCGCATAAGGACGAGGCTCAGAGAAAATCTTTTTTTAACATACACAAGTGTCCAATCGTCTGTGCCAATGGTATCGCCATCGTGTATGAGGTCCTCCTCAACAAGTCGTTGGCGAAACTGCTTGATAAGTGCAGCCTGGTCTTCGGCGGTCGGAGGACTCATAATGCACGTTACGTAAGATAGAATCAGGTTTCAAGCCCCCGACTATGATAAGTTACAAGCTCTAGGAAGTCTATTCCGGGCGAGAGTAATTAGACCAAGACTCTTGAAGATGTCGCTAGAGAAAAATAGAGGCAGCGGTGGAGCGACGTGTCGAACACCCTCAAATCTGGCGTTCATCGCTTCCCTGCACGATGTCTTGAAATCAGAGCTAGCATCCCACGCACTGCCACAGTCTCAAGGTCCGAATGAAGACTTTTGAATTCAAACGTCTTACGCGTGTGTATATCTGTTGCGGATGTGATGACTTGCGAGCTTGACTACGTGCTGGTCAGAAGAAAGAACGAAAGTTCTAGCGCAGAACTCGTGGCCCGTTTGAGACAAAATCAACAGAAGAATCAGACGACACGAAACCAAACTTTCATCCTGGGGAACAAGTAGGGAACACGATAAGAGGAAGTGTATCCCCATCTCAGACCGCAAAGTGACAGATGAACACAAACTTAGCGCCAAGGGATATCTTTCGACCACTGGTGGGTCATATATTTTCCTGACTGAATGCTATCTGAAAGATGGATATCGCACGGGCAGCATGCAGGGTGACAACCAATCCCGTACGAAAATCCTCCACGTGCGAAATTATGAATGCGATATCGGTGCGGCGACGTGAGCCGAACGACAATACTGTACTCCCTTCTGCCGATAAATCCCAGTGCCTCGTATATAGTCCAGAAGACCATAAGGTTGCATCTAACGGTGCCTTGGCATGGTCATGCTGTTGCCTATGCCGTAGTAGCCGCACTCAATAAGGGTGTAGTGTCGCGAATGAGTCGAGGATGGACGCTCCATTCAGGCGCATAGCTCAAGCATAAGACTCCAGTGCCTATATCTTAGTACTTCGGAGGGGCAGCGCAGTCAGTGGATACATAGCTAAGTAAAATGCCGGTATCATTTGGAAATCCGTACAGTGCATAGCAAGCATCAAAATATTTCGAACCTCAATGTTGATGTAAATGCCCCCGATTAGCAGGTAATAGGACTCCGGAAGCATAGAATTATTGCACAAATGCCGCGCGCCTTGAACGTTAACGGCGAGCGACAATCTAAAGGTCAGCGAGGAACGCTGCGAGACTCGCGAAACACCAGGAAAGCAGCCCTCCGAAGACGGTAGGTTCGCCCAGCGAGAAGAAGAAAAGAACCGCACGGTCATATCTATGAGTGTACTCAAGGATTTGAAGGATGAAATTTGACTGCCATTGTGTAATAGCCGTTTACGCGTATCGGGGATTATTACATACCAATAAGTTCGTCCACGGAAGATGTACACAAAGTGAATTCGGACGAGTGGGTGCGAATCGTCATGAACCGCGCAAAAGATCCGAGTCGGCTCTCGTCGAAGGCACAAACGTAGAGCAGGAAGATTATTTCGAGCCGAGACGAATTGCAGCGGAGACGGAATGGGATTCGGGGTGCCGAGCACGTGAAATGAAATACTCCGATTGGACAGAGTTCGGGCGCGAGGGTGGCGCTCCGGCGTCCGAAGGCGTCTCGCTTACAGAGCTCGCTGCACGGCCCATCGTCTCTCCGCACCCTCATCTTGACTTATGAACCCGTCTCCGCCGTCCCCGTCCCCCTCCACTCCCTCTCACGCCTGAGCGACGTCGGTCCCCTCCCACATTTCTGCTGCACACCGAATACTAGACTGCTAGACCAGCGGACTCTTCGAGCAGATACCCGGGATCATCCTTGTAGTAAGTCTCAACAACTTATCAACAATGTCTTGGAGGTGACAGTTGCCGTCAATCCAGTTGTCTGTATGTTCCTTTTCTCCATGCACGAGCAAAACACGTACTCATACTGTTCGTTTTCTCAGACAGGGAGCCACCCGTCTGGTGCTACTTTTTGGATATTGACTCGACCTGGAAGTTTGGACATCATCTATCTGTTGGACTGTGTCTACATCTCCTTTCCCGTTGGCGGATCTTCGCAGTTTGCATTATAGGTGTGTATTGCTTCTCCTCGGTTTTGTACCTTCCACTCGCAGAGCGACCTTTCTCCCTGATGGCTGTATTGTATGAGGATGACGCGAGTACGGCGGCATGTGTAATCTACTTACAATGCCGATCGGTCAAACGTTGCCCGAACCTTCATCAATATGTCAGGCTAAAATGCATTTTGTTTGTCGACCATTAGTCATTTCTTCTTGCGTCACAGCCAGATTACTCTATATCTCACTACGCCCGCCCAGCTTTCTTGATTATATTTGAGCGATCCTTTCGACGTCAACTTGACACAAGTCGCATTCACGAGATTCTGGAACTCGCTGCGTTCTACGACTATGGTGTCATCCTCCACGGCGGCATCTCTATCCTCTGCATCACGCTCACTGGCAAACGTTCATGCCCTCCCAGACGAGCTCACTGAGCTGATTCTTATTTTCACTGCTCGCGCTGGCTTCCCTACCGCTATCTCTGCGTTCGCACAAACATGTCACGCATTTCACACCCTTGTATACCATTCTCCCGACCAACACCTTTGGCGCGAGGTCTTCCTGACCACATTCGACGATCCTCGTCGTAGCGAGGAGTGGAAAGAACGCGAGGCCGTCTTTGATTGGGGTCAGGAATTCAGAAACAGAGTGTGGGCCACAGATTACTTCAAGCGCGAGTCTCTCGTAACACAGTCCTCGTCTGCTCCTACATCCTCACGACCTACCACATGTTTCTTAACTTCAGACTCAACCATCTCATTTGAAGTTTCCCGATACGATATCATAGAACGGGATTTGCGCGCACTCGAGGCTATCATCTCTGCAGCAGAAACGGCTCTTCCGTGTCCCCCGACCATCTGCTGTTCATTTATCCCATCTGCAAGCAATGTAGCCAACAGCCCCGGAGTTTACCCGGCTTATCCGTCCTATCCTATCTTCCCACCCGGTCCCCATCCTACCGGTGTATCACAACAAGAAACAGAGCCGTCTTCCGTGCCACGCCTGTCAAGTAGTGCATCATCGCATCTGGATGAATATCAGTCGACATCCCTAAACATCAAATGGATTGCGGATTTGGTAGGGCATGGATTGCCACCTCGATTGAGAGATATGGTATCGGGCACGCAGCTGCATGGCGGGACGTTAGGTGAGAAGTTGGATGAGCGTGAGGCTCGGATGATGCAAGCGCTTGGCCGTGTCATCGCATTTACTGGATTTCGCCCTGAGCCGCCACTGGGCCGGGATGGGGATACGGAAGAGAATGATCATAGCGGTAGCGAGGACCTGCAGCATCAACCTGACGATGAAGACAACTATACAAGTGATGAAGATGATTCGAAGAGCCTCGAGCTCGAACACGGACGGATTAACTCAAGTCTACCGACGGACTTCATAACTGACACATTCCACGACAGCACCGTGACGGACCCTACTAAAGACATGAGTGCTGCTGCGCTGAACAGAAGGGCGCGAAGCTTGGCACGATTACGAGCATATTCTCTCCGGCTTCTAGCTGTCGAGCGGCACTGGGGACCATTCCTACCTTTGCAGAGTGCTTCCGTTGGGTCGCAGACAGCTGACAAATCACAGAGCAACTCCGGCAGCTCTACAGACGAGGACAGCGAGGAGGAGTTTGCAGAAGACAACTTTCTACCTCCGATGCTGAAAATGCTGGCCGGCGAAAATGATGATGATGCGGACGAATCTGACGAATGCAGCGACGATGACAACGACAGCGAGCTAGGGGAGTTCTCTGATGATGCACAGGCGGATCCGTCCGAGGCACCCGACTATTCACTGCTCACACCTGATTGGGCGTACCTAGCCGCAGTCCGCGTCGTTGTGGAGGCCAATTTAAGAGAGGCTGTGGGTGCGGGTGAGATCACCGGGCTGGCTTGGCTGGATGGGTTACGGGTGGGCAGCGCGCCGAAGGAGGTTGGGTACTGCACATCGTTCTCTGCGCACGACGTCGCAACCGATTTGGAGGCACGTTGGCGCTCGGAGAAGGGGAAGGAAACTGACTTCGGCGTCATTGGTGATATTGGGCTGATGCCGCCTGGCGGTGACTCTGTCGTCGCTTGGGATTGGGCCGGTGTCACTGGTGTGTGGAGGTGAGATGACACGCGCATTTATCATCGAGGCATATTTTACTGAATATCTATGACAGACGGTGCATATGCTGGTTTGATTACCGCGACTTGATTCGTAAGTGATCGCGTTTCTGGCACTGCCTGCTGTCTCTTACTCATCGTTCATGTCAACCTTCTTGTAGTACACAACGTGAGTATTCTTAGGTATCGCTGTGTCTGATGAGTCTTATGCGTCTTTAGCATTTGTCTGATTTTAGCGACCCTAATTTGCAAGAGGCTGTTCGAATCGTGCCCATGCGCCTGCGTGTGGTATCGTTTTCTCCTTCTCTAGTTCCTGCTTATCCCAATAGGCCAACACTTCACGTCGAGGGAGAAACGGCTGGCGGCACTCCGCAAGGGCCGGTGCGCAAGTTGCAGGGGACGGTGGGCGTTGTTGCGGATGGAAGTATAAGATGGACGTTGTTATTGGTACGTCACTTCGGGGATGACGTCAGGCTGGGCGATGGACGCTTACCTTATCCGCTACAGCTTGCACTCAATTCAGATGAACCTAACGAATGGATTTCTGAAGGAATACAAATTGGAGGCCCGCAAACTGCTATGGGCGTCCTTGGCATATGGACCGGCTCGCAACATGAGAAGATGGATCCTCTAGGTTCGATTTCGTCGTGATTTTTACAATGATATATCTCACCTTTTCGCTGTCGCAGGTCCGTTCTGGGCTTGGAAGGTGGGCTAGGGGATCACGCCTGATGACGCATCTACGTCCAGTATCTATGGGACTATATATACGTTCAACTATCTCCCTGTAATTTCCGATGTTGCTCTACTTTGGCATGCTCGGGATGCTTGGATGTCCAGTGACCTCGCGATACCTCTGCGCGTTTACAATATACGAGATGATGGTGCTATAATACACATTAGTGCATGGATAGTATGCTCTACGACACAGTAGAAACCCTCCATCCTCAATGATCCAAATGAGGGAAACTCAATGAGTTCTGATATGAAAGGATGCTGTGAGGGAATTTAGCACGCGCTAATGCAGTTGTACAAGTGAGACTGACCGTGAACAACCCTGACACATCTCTACAGCCATTGTCTAACTGTGATACGGTAGGCCATACGATCCTGGCGGTTGCGGAGGTGCATAATACCCACGGCTCTCGCGAGGCGGCTGATAGAATGGCGATGGGCCTTGGAGGGACAGGTGCAGCGGCTCGCTCCATCCGTTGTACTGGTCGCGGCCAGGATAAGGAGGAGGGGGATAAGACGCCGCGCTCACCGATGAGCGGGGATCGCGTCGGTCGTCCTGGTAATTATGATCTCCAGGACGTGGATCAAAGCCCTTCGCCCGCGCCATTATCGACTCTCCCAGTAAGTTATGTCGCGGCAGCGTGAATTCCGGTACTGGTGGAAGCGAGGGGTGAGGTAATAGTTGCGAGTTGGGCGGTCGGATGTTGTCGTGCACCATAGGGGAGTTGAGCGTTGCAGAGCGAGCAGGAGGAAGCGTTGGTGTGGAGGTACCATGATGGCCGGTGTCAATTTGTGGAGACGCAGTCACAGAGGGAGCGGGACGTCCGGCGGGCGTTTCCGCTGTAGAGGGCATCTTCGCGGCTTTGAGTGCTGCAAGTCGGTCGGGATTTGAGGGAGATGCTATCGCGTTGCGATCAGGATTCAACGACGACGACAACTGTCGAGAGCCATGGGTCGCTGACCGCGGAAGCTCCGTAGGTGCTGTTGGCCATGCTAGCGTCTCTTGCGCTTGCGAGGCAGTGAGCATCGGCGGGTCAGGGTTTGGGGGGGCTCTACGTTTCGATTGAGGCCGCACTACTTCACCTTCCTCTTCCTCATCGTCATCATTATCTTCCCGTCCGACTCGCTTTCGCTTCAATGGCCGATGCTTGGCCGCCGGTAGTAAATCATGAGTGTCGGGAGAGAGCACCGGAAGGTCCTTTATGAAGTCAACCATGATCTTAACAACACGGTTGTTCATACGGATATCGACTTCCTTCTTGCGAACATCCCTCCGCATAAGTGTTATGGCCTGAGAAAGCTGGGCCAGAGTCAGCTTGGCCTTGTGAACATGAATGAGGGTTGCAATGCTGATAAACTCTACAGGAGCCAACTTCTTGACATCAGAAAGTTTGAAGGCTTTCTTATGTTTGGAATCTTGAGCAAGCATAAGAAAGACTTGGAATGTCTGATGGACCTGGCTACAGAACTTTGGATCTGGTTCTTCATGCTGCTGGAGCATCTTCTGGAGAGCTTGAATTGTTGGGGAACTCAAGGTGGGCCACTTCATCATATTGTAGACTGCATGAGTTAAACACCTGAAGTCATTGCCTCTACTGAGGTCCCACTCGAGCTCAGTAGCCAAACCATCACTAATATAGGAACTCTGGAGATCCCTAATAAATGATGCAGTTGGGCTACTAATAGCTTGAAGTTTCTCTGAGAGACCATAAGTACATCAATATTATGGCAAGAGGTTATAACATCACCAGCAGGAGTTAAAGCCATCCCTAATTGGACTCTCTATAAAACTCTGTAAGAGTGCACTTCTGTGTATGTAGAGTGCGTAAGATGCCTACTTGGAAGATTTCTCTTTCATTCTCATTGGTCAAATCCTGATACTCAATGCAGACCTAAAGTAGTTCTTAGCAAACTGGAAGACAAAATAAATGACTGATAGCATACAATTTGCTTGGTCTTGAAGATTTTGACATATCTCTCAGGCAACAATTTCACCGACTTGTGTTTACCAATATCTTTGAAAACAAATTTCTCTTTCGTGAACCTGGGGGTGCAAATATTTCAAGCATCTGCAGGAGCGGTATCATTGAGTCAGACACTTACACGTCCTTGTCTGGGAAGGAAGCCATTAGCGGGATAGAGGAGAATCAAACTGATGATCAAATCTAGACGCACGATAGATCTGCATGCCAATCAGCTAAGCTCCAGAATTCGCGAACAAAACTCACTTCTCCGCTCATGAATCTATTCAAAATGAACGGGAAAATCATCTATCACAAACTGGAATCAACATGCGTGATACGAACCTGAATATGGACGTGAGACGCTGCTTTCCGTCAATGCATACCCTGCGCTCCGAACCGTCGTCGCGGTACACGACCGCTGGGCTAATAATGAGTCATAGCATTCGGTGGCATACACGATAGACGAGAATCACCAAATATGAGGGGAGGAACGTAAAAATTACGGAAAATTGAGTCGACAATGCCTGATATCAACCAACAGTTTCTGAGCATACATGGTAATTTTTTTAAAATACTCAAAATACTCACCTATTTGCTTTGCCTCCGGCCAGACAACCTCTGAGCGACACTGTCTATGAATATCCCGGCAAATTTTGAACAATGAGACGCACCGCGCTGGTAGTCAGGACATAGATCGATATCGTTCGCGACGATTTGTTCTAGCACAGAGTTCAAGTAGAAAGGAGGTGAATAAAAGCATGATTCGCATACCAAAGAGAGCTTGGGTAGTGTAGCTAGTCGGTCGAGGCACCTTTAATGCGCCAGTAATTCTGTAATTTGACTGGTCCCCATCGTCCGTAGTCTCCTGAGCGATGGTCCTTGCAGTGCGCTTTGAAACTGCGAGTGGAATATCTTCGTCTGAGAAGTCCGAGTCGTCAGACATATTGGCAGGGGATGAAATAACAAACAGCCGCGGAAAAAGATACCGATGTGGCCATGCTTAGCTTGCCTGTATCGGCCCTTGCCGACCATACTCGCAGCCACCACAGCGGCCGCTTCGTAGTATGTACTATTAGCACTCGCGGTGTTCTCACATCGGGATGAATGGGGACAGGTTCGTCACTCCAGTCAGTAATGCTTCTAGATTCTCGTCTTCGCTTTCGAGGCCTCATGCTGCAAAACGCGATTCCTTAGCAGCGGAGCTCGAGCGCGGTAAGCTTTGTTCACTGCAATCGCTGCATTGTTCGGACAATAACATCTGAGCTTCCGACCTTTTTGGACGTTCTCCCGACTATGCCAGAACCTCAATTGTCCGCAGCGAAGCGGCACCAGCGCACACAGGCATTCACCTCGCATATGGCCAGCGCATCGTTGGAGAGGCAGCTGGTTGCCGCACAGACCGCAAAAACGGACCTCGAGACTAAACTCAGGGAGAAGGATCTTATCATTGAACGACTTGAAGGGGACCGTCGATGGCTCGCTGAGCGAGAGCAGGAGGAGCGAGAGGAGAAGGAGCGCGAAAGGACTGAGCGGGAAGAAGAAAAGGTGTGTCGACCATCTTGTCTTCTTGTTATCCCTTGGATTCGAAACGGTTACAAAGCGCAAATCAGACGGCGAGCTACGATCCCTACGGGCCTCTATGCTTAATTTGGAGGAACAACATGAGAACCTCAAAGACGAACACTCTTCTCTTACTCGTAGCACTTCTCAGACCCTCGGCTCTCAGAAGTCGCATATATCTACATTGACGCGACAGGTCTTTCTTCTCGAGGAGGAGCTCGCGGAGTACAGGCATATAGCAGAAGAACGAAGTCATGCATATGAGGAGCTACAGGCGCAGCTGGACCATCTCAATGCCTCTCAGGATAGTTCTATCCAGCAGGAGACGGACGAAGAAAGCTGGGCCGTAGTTCGCGCGGAACTTCATCGACAAGCAGAGTATATGCGAACCCTGGAGACTTCTAATGCCAAAATGAATGCAGAACTGGTCATGTTCAGAGAAAGACAGGCTAAGATAGAGGTATTGAAGGAGCAGAAGCGCGGTCTCGAACGCAAGGTAAAGGAAGCCGATGAACTGCGAGAGCAAGTAGGCAGGCTTGAAGCAGAGCTTGAAGCAGCCAGGCGCGAAAGAGAAGAATGGTAAGGCTTCACTTGTCAGCAGACTAGACATTCCTTGACCGCGTATGATCAGGGCTTCCAACAATGCTGGACCATCTACGCCATCGAAGACGCCTGTCTCCATCACGCAAAGCTTAGCCAATCTACGTATCACGCACGCTCGTCTACTCGAGGAACACGGGTCCAACGTTGCGGTGTTACGTCGCCGAGAGGCCGAGCTTGCCAACTCTGAGAAGCGCTGCACGGAGCTGGAAGAGTCCCTGACAGGTCTTCAAGCTGAAGTACGGAGCTACAGGACCAAGGTTGCGCGCAGCGAGCATGATGCGATCCTAGCTGAGCGCGAGGCATCTTTCTTGCGAGCAATGGTGGTGCGTATCCCCCGTAATATTGCTATTTCCATTCATTGTCACCCACATTTAAGTGCTCAGGCTAGCTTCACGGCTGAGGAGGCCTCGCAGAACGGTGTGAGAATCGAGGAAGCCACTGTGCAGCAGGTGCAGCAGCTCGAGCAGCTTGTAGCTGACTATAGATCGACTGTGAAGGAACTCGAGAAAGAACTTGATGCTTTAGGCGGAAATTCAAGATCACTTAACGGCGCTCAGGCAATGAAGCAGCTACAAGACGATATCGCAAAGGACCAGAAGGCACTATTTGAGATACAGCAAAGTAAGCACGAACTATCTGTGCCATAACGAGTCTAAATATATCGCACTACTCGATAATAGCGTTGAAAGAAAGCGAGAACGAGAACGAGAAGTACATCGAGAAGATAGATGAGCTAGAGCAGACCTTGTTTGAGCTACGCGGTGAAATTGGTGGCGGAAGGCATTTACCGCCTGGTGTTCGCGTACTATCTTTGAAGGATAACCCGGCACAGCAATGGGAAGATCTCAGCCAGGCTGCTATGGAACGATTGAAGGGCGAGAACGAGGCTCTCATCAAGAGACTGAAAGAGCTGGAGGATAGTGGTGCACGGGGACAAGGCGATGGTGGTAGCAATGAAGAACTCGTCCCTAGAAAGAGCTGGGAGGTCGTAAACAAGGAGAAGGCCAGGCTCGAAGAGGAACTGAAACAGAAGGAGAAACGTCTTATGCGGCTGCAGCAGGTTTGTTCTTGTCCATACCGATGCCATGCCTCACGAGGCTGACTTATACATCCCTCTCAGATCTTTCACGCTAAGAGTGCGGAATTCAGGGAGGCTATCGCATCGATCCTCGGTGTCAAGCTTGCTTTCTATCCTAACGGCCAAGTACGTGTAACCTCACAGTTCGACCTGAACGCCGCATTCGTGTTTCAGCCCACGGGCGCTGGGGAAGATGGCATGAAAATGCAGCTCGTCGCGCAGGGCGAGGGTGGGCCGGAAGATCTTCCCCAGCTCATGCGGTACTGGGTCGAGCAGGAACAGTGCATCCCTGGCTTCCTTGCTAGTATCACTCTCCAATGTTATGAAAATGACAAGATAGAGAGGGAACGAGAGCAGGGTCGACCTTATTGAGCTGCTTTCTCCCTTCATCTCCTATGTTGGCTCCTGCTGTATGACATTATGTGATGCTGAACTGTTTTGGCTTGTATTATGAATGGGTCTCCGCGCCGAGGACCGATAAAGAATGGTCTTAATTCCGAATCGCAAGAGTCTCCTACATATTATCTGATAGTCTGTTACTGCGTGTATAAACTACTAGTAGCTGTAGCCTTTTTAAATACTTACAAGACTTCGTATTAATATCTTCACTGCGAGAGAAAGTCACGCGCATTGGCGTCCACAAGACGCGCACACGGGACGCGTGTAACTTGTACTCTTCAGTGTCCTTGGGCTTGCATGGTACAGGTACCTTACGTTCACCCTTCAAACAAATCCACTCGACTGTAATGTCCGACGACAACAACAACGGTTCCCGCCCCGCAAAGCTATGGAACCGACCATCCGGCGGAATCGGTCGCATCGGCGCATGGGGATCCTCTGGGTGTGTGTCGGCTATTTCTGCTATGCATTTCGTTCACTTTTCTTCGAACTTATCGCTGCTCTGTAGTAGTGGAAGAAGTGACTCTTCAGGACCTCGTGTTGCTACCCTCCGAGATGTCGGCAGTGGCGCACCCCCCACGATGGGCGGACCTGGGAGAGCCAGCGATGACGATGACGACGATGATGAAAACGACAGTGCGACCCAAGGAGAAAGTTGGTTTGCTGGTGGCGAGAGGAGGTGCGCTCGGCGATATATTCAGAGTGGCAGCATGCTCACCTCTTCCAGTGGGATTTCAGTTCAGAATCCCGACAGGCCGGGTGCTACCCCAGGGGGGAATCTCGTGCGCGACTTATTGCGTCGCGCTGCCGAGTAAGCGCTTTAAATTTTTGCGCCTGAAACCTTCATAACGTTCCCCTTGCACCCGTAGAGCAGGTCCTCCATCCAGTGCCACAAGTGATTCGGTTCGTTCCACAGTCTTTTCTGGAGGGGGGCATACTTTGGGGAGCGATGAAGTAGAAAGCCAATTCATCCCGGATCCTAGTGTACCTGCAGGTAAGCATAATGTAATCATATTCACTACTGTGTTACACCTCCTGCTTCTGCAGGGCCAGAAGAAGAGACGGCTATTCGTCATTTGACGTTCTGGCAGGATGGCTTCAGCGTTGAGGATGGCGAATTAATGCGCTACGATGATCCTGCAAATTCTCAGATCCTGGGCGAGATTCACGCAGGGTAGGACACATCATTCTGTTGCGGCGTATTCGAGCCCAGCCCTGACTAAGACACTTGTAGTCGTGCACCCCCGCATATTCTCAATGTCGCTCCTGGACAGCCTGTCGAATTGCGTGTAGTGAAGCGTCTGAACGATGACTATACTCCGTCGCCGAAGGCTCGTGGTTCAAATACATTCTCGGGTACCGGTCACCGTCTAGGCTCTCCCATCCCACCAATCACAGGTACTGGTTCTGCCAGCAGTAGCGGCAGTGGTAGCATGCCAGGTTCTTTCCCTGTCGCCTCTGGGACTGTGCCACAGGGCTCTAGAAACACAGAGAGCATCAGTACCAGGTTTGAAGTGGACCAGTCTCTACCGACGACGAGTGTACAGGTCAGACTTGCTGATGGAACCCGGTATGTATCACTGAAAATCGTCCGCGCGCTATCTGTTTATGCTTTGCCTTCAGAATGGTTTGCCGTATGAATTTGATTCATACCGTGGGCGATATCAGAAACTTCATCAATGCGTATGTGATTGTCCTAGTCTTGTCACTCACCCTAATATATCACGTTGGTATTCCGCAGCTCTCGTCCGGAGAATAATTCACGTCCGTATACGATCAATACCGCCTTCCCGAATCGTGTTTTAGACAATGAAACGCAGACCATCGAAGCTGCAGGCCTTGTGAACAGCGTAGTTCTTCAAAGATGGGTTTAAAAGGTGCTTGAAGTGTGGCGGACTCATTGTGTTTGTGTAAGTGATATAGGATAAGTTGTTGTATGGATAAACAAGTTCTGCATGTTTCAATAATCGTAATTGGCTTCAATTCACATACAGTCATCCACCGATCCTTGAGACAGCCAAACTCTATCGGCCTTCGATTTAAAATATAGAAGCCTCGTGTCTTGATCAGACCTCATGGACATGATATGCCAGATGTTTTCTGTTCGTCTGTATACTCAAAAGTCTTGTCTGACGACCTGTACAAAGTCTCTTATCAGTGCTTCGTTCACTCCTTGAAACGGCTGCTTAATGTGGTAATTTTCTAAAGTATAATCACTCGAATTGTAAGACAATCCCCTTCTATGAACTGTATTTTCAGAGCATGTGGATTCGTAATTGGTGTGATAAGTATCTCCACATCTGTTTGTATTAAATTCCGCACCAGGAGGCGGGTTTTGCTAACCTGGGCCTCGTCTCAAGGAGCGATGATTGCGCTATTTGGCAAGAAAAAAAAGGCCCTAAGAGACAAAACTCCCCGGCTCAATGGCTCAACATCCTCGATTCCTTCCGGAATTTTGAGAATACAGTTCTCGACGATATAGACTAGAATATTGAAAACATTCCGACGCAAAAAGTACAAAAACAATGGCAGAAAGAAAATCAATCATCTCAAAGACCGATAAGGCATTTCCGAATCAGGGCGCGAATTTGAGCTCCACGGTACCCGCGACGCGATTGTGGCGACGCGCTTCATTTCACGCATCCTCCAGACAGACCACCGTGTTACCTCCGACTGCCAGTGTCGCGCGGGCTCTGAGAAACCCATCCCGCCTCGTCCACACTCATTTGACCTACCATGCCACGTGCGGGCACACGTTCGCAACGTCAGCCTTCACAATCGCAGCCGCGCCTCCAGAGGGGCGGTCAGGCCCAGTCTCAGCGTGTCGCAAATAGAGACGATGAGGATGACGAGGAGGACGAACAGGAGGGAGCGGTAGACCAGGACGAGGACATGAGAGGAACCGACGCTCACAGTGTAAGGTCTATTATCATTCTCGCCTTCAAAGTAGCGATGCTGAATAACGCTCAAAGGAATTGGAAAGGAAAGCTCAAGACCTCGTTCGGCTTGCGCTCTTTACGGAAAACAAACGCATACCGCTCAAGAGAGATGAAATATCGAAGAAAGGTTCGCCGTCGCTTGATCCCTCTTCCATTTTTTTGGTATTGGACTCACATTATGGCAGTCCTCGGCTCCAGTACTCGCGCGTTCAATACTGTTTTAGCTCGTGCACAAGAAATCTTGCGCAAGACGTTCGGGCTCGAGTTGGTCGAGCTGCAGTCTCGTGCAGCCTTAGACCAAGATGCCGACGATAAAGATGCAGATCTATTGAAGAACACAGGGGTGAAGAGAAAAGGTACGTTTCTCATTTTGCACGACCGTTTCGTCTTTCATGCCCGGGTATTCTGACCCCATATTCACAGGCGCATCTTCCGGAACAAAGACATACATCCTGCGCTCTGTGTTACACCCTGCGATCATAGCACAGGCTAATGCTCCCGACCCAGAAATTCTGGCCTTGGAGCGCGAAGAACCAGCCCTCGTCGATGGAGAAGATGCTCGCGAGAACGACTCAAGCTCCCGCGCCACGGGCAGCATACTTGCCTGGCACCAATCCGACGAGCTGGGCTCCGTCGGCGTGCTATATACGGTCCTCGCGCTCATCCTAGTAGATGGGCGGGTGATGCGAGAGAGTAAGCCATATTCCCCTCCCACCGCTTCTGTCCTTATTTATCTCAGCTGAAAGACGACCTGCGTGCCTATCTCAAACGGCTCGGTCTCCCAGCCAATGCGACTGTCCCAATCACGAGTCGGGTTACCCAACAATCGCTGACGGTCGACTCATATCTCACTCAGCTCATCCGCCAGGGTTATCTCGACCGACAACGAATAGGCGAGATCAAAGGTGCCGGTGGGAAGCGCGGCCGTGGTCACGCAGCAACCCAAGCAGCTGCCGGCGACGACAATGCTGCATACGAGTGGCGATGGGGCTCGCGAGCGATGAGCGAGGTGGGCGAAAAAGCAATTGCACGCTTTATGACCGAGTTGCTCGTCGAGAATCCTGGGCAAAATAGTGATGACGAAGACGACGGACCGCGAGGAAGCCGCAGAGCTGAAACAGAAGCAGCAAAGAAAAAATACAATGGGATTATTAAGGGTATCGAGAGGGCTGCTGGTGGCGCTGCTTTGCAGGACGTTCTGTAATGATCCGGTTTGAAAACATTAATTGCATTGTAATCATACAGTCTGAACATAGATTAGATTAGTAGTCGGTGTAGTGACGTGTACACATTGAATATGCTTTCGAGACGCCTTCATGATTACTCAATCATCCACACGATCCCTCATGGTTCATCGTTAGACCGCAACTCATTAGAATTCATGATATGGAATCAACGACAGGTATGCAGACGAGGGGTAACGTGGTGCCAGCGCGGACGAAGGTAGAGTAGAGGAGGTACATGCTATGGACTCAGAAACGACCAATAAAAGGAGAATACGGGATATGCGGTAGAGCTTTTGACGGGAGGGCAAAGAGCATCCGGGGTAGCGTACGAATCAGGGTATCATACGAGTGATTCACTCATTCCTCATCAACCGGAACTTCCTCTTCGTATTCGCCCTCCTCCTCAGCCCTAGACATAATTAATCAGACACAAGTAAAGGTCGACGACAGCGTAGCGGGACGTACGTAGCATCCTGGTATTGTTGGTACTCGGCAACAAGATCTTGCATGTTAGATTCAGCCTCCGTGAACTGATAGAAAGGTAAGTAATGCAGGTTGTTCCAAGAGTGCCACTACACACCTCCATCTCATCCATACCCTCTTGTGTGTACCAATGCAAGAACGCCTTTCGCTTGAACATGGCGGTGAACTGATCGCTGACACGCTTGAATAATTCTTGGATAGCAGTCGAGTTGCCCAAGAAGGTGACAGCCATCTTCAGCCCGCGTGGGGGAATGTCACAGTTCGCTGTGAGGACGTTGTTGGGGATCCACTCGACAAAGTAGGCCGAATTCTTGTTTTGGACATTCTGCATCTGCTCCTCAACCTCCTTCATGGATACTTTGCCACGGAAAACGGCAGCAACCTGACTTAAGGTTAGCCCCCATTGAAGATGGTCTACGAGTAATGAAGCTTACAGTGAGGTATCGGCCGTGTCGAGGATCTGACGCAGCCATCATGTTCTTCGCATCAAACATCTGCTGAGTCAGCTCAGGAACAGTGACTGCACGATACTGCTGACTGCCCCGCGATGTCAGAGGAGCGAAGCCAGTCATGAAAAAGTGAAGACGGGGGAAGGGAACTACATATGTAAATTAGCCAGCTAATTCCTTCCCGAAAACCACCATGAGCGCGCGTACCCATGTTGACAGCCAACTTGCGGAGATCAGAGTTCAGCTGACCAGGGAACCGCAAGCAGGTCGTAATGCCTGACATGACAATCGACACAAGGTGGTTGAGGTCGCCATATGTTGGCGTTGTCAGCTTCAATGTCCTGAAGCAAATATCGTAGAGCGCTTCATTGTCAATGCAGAAGGTTTCATCAGAATTCTCAACAAGCTGGTGTACTGAAAGTGTGGCGTTGTAAGGCTATTAAACCAAGGGATTGGCGTCAAAATTCATCCAACCCAGAATAGGATACAACTCACCTCGACGACAGTGTCTGAAACTTTTGGACTGGGTACAACCGAGTACGTCGCCATCATACGGTCGGGGTACTCTTCCCGAATCTTAGAGATTAACAGGGTACCCATACCAGCGCCAGTTCCACCACCTAACGAGTGTGTGATCTGGAAGCCTACGAATGCGTATTAATAGCAACCCGAGTGCGATATAGCCATTCAATACATACCTTGCAGAGCATCAGTACCCTCGGCCTCCTTGCGAACGACGTCGAGCACAGAGTCGACCAACTCGGCTCCTTCCGTGTAATCTAAGCAGGACACGTCAGCACACGTGTCATCGTCCAGGAATCATAGCAAACTCGTCGCCGCTGAGCCAACGACGCGACCGGCCCCAATTCAAATTTACTTACGTCCTTTTGCCCAGTTGTTTCCGGCACCGTTTTGACCGAATACGAAGTTATCCGGACGGAACAAGCTTCCGAGAGGGCCAGATCGGACGGAGTCCATGGTTCCAGGCTCGAGGTCAACAAGCACGGCACGAGGGACGTATTTGTTACCGCCAACTTCATTGTAGTAGACGTTGATCCGCTCGAGTTGCTCGTCATTAGTGCCCTTGTACGTGCCATCCGCCTCAATACCATGCTCGTCCGAGACGACCTCCCAGAATTTGGCACCTATAGGGTTCAGCCGGTAAGCCACACGGTCATCGACCACATTCCGCAGTTAGTCGCATACCGATCTGGTTACCGCACTAATGGAGCAGAACACGTCAGAGTCGTACCAACACGATGCGCCACGATGAGACATACCTGGCCAGTTTGCAGGTGAACGATTTCACGCATGCTGAAAGTTTCCAATGAGCATACGCGTTGCCAGCCAAGCACAGAGAAAACGTAAACACGAGAAAAACACGCTTTCTCTACGATATATATCTCGTCTACTTCGCAACAGCGTATAGACGACAAGAATTATAAAAATGACACGTACTTGGATGTCTAGATATGAGTTGGGGGTGGAATAAGGTCGTAAGAGGGTGATCAACCGCGAGGGATGGGGGTCAAAAAGGGAACGCGCTTGAGGTCTAGGGCTACACAAGTTCAAGCGGAGCCTAAAAATGGAACGTGGTCGGCCTTCCCGCCACAACGTGCACCCGAAATGCACCGCGGCATAAATCGTGTCGTATTACAAAAAGGTCTCCGTGTTTTACAAAAGGATTGCAATGGTAGAAGACCGTTGCCATACGTAGGTACTATCCTACGCGGCATCATTCCACAAATAAAAAGAATATGGATATGATTGTGGGTTCAGCATGAGTCAGAAGGGCAAAGGTAATGCCCTATGATAGGCCCAGTGCAGCCGGCATAATACTCGTTGGACCAACCTATATGTATACCAGCCATTTGAACTCAACTTTGAGAAAGGTTGAGCTGGCAGTTTTCTATGACAAATCAAGTAACAGTCGTTGGTGACATCCCTACGTGTGCAGCGTCTAAATCCCTCCTCGCTGGAGAATCAACGCCAGATTCAGAGCCCATCCTTTTGAGCATCATTGTGACATTCGTTTTCACGAACAGTGCTTACCACAGCTAATACAAGCTTCAAAACCTTCATGGCTAAGGTGTTTCGGACACCCATCGCAAATGCGGCAAGGCTAGTCGTTGGTGGACAGGACAAGGCCACTTAGATGTAACTTTCATGCATGCTGGATAGACTAATAAAATTGCGTAGATCGCAAACAGAAAATATGTGTCCAATGTCACTCACACTACTGGGTGGAAACTCCAATCATAGCGATTGTCAGCAGTAGTTAATGAGGTCACGCACATGTAGGTCGGCGAGGCTATCCAATGTGATGCCCTCAATTTCTATAGCTATATGTCTCAGAACTTTATGCCTACCATGGACCATGTCAATCGCATGTCCACATGTTGAAGAGGTTTTAATCTACGGTACATAATCCACACGACATCTCGCGCCACTCTAACTGATCTATGACGATTTGTCCGGACCATCAACTTCTCTCTTTACGTCGCTAGAAGGTTGCGTTTCTTCTGGCGGTTCTAAATCCGATTCCTGATCAGCAAGTAGACCTTCTTCCAACAGCGTATCTCCCGGAGCCCCAATAACACTCCCATATTTTTTAAGCGCGGTGGTGTTCTCTTTCGTGATCTAATTCGGAATTAGCATAAAATATACAAGAAGTGTAAGGTAAACCTTACAGCGACATAGATGGCGGATGTCATGATAATCACCGTGCCAATCAAGGAAAGAATAGAGGGCGTTGAGTGGAAAAAAACGATGTCATTGATTGTCGCAAATATGATCTAACACGCGTATGTTTAGTCTCACGACAGCCATGCTTTTATGGAACGATCCCCAACCTGAACATAGACAGCCATAGTTCCACGCCCAGCAGTTTCTCGCTGCAGTCCCATGGTCATCAGAATCTAGTTCCAAACATCTGCGTAAGTTCATGAGTTGTTAAACAGGTGAAAGTATCAATCATACCTGCCCCATAAATCCACAGATACCTATACCAAATAGCATGAACAACCAGTCTAACCTAGTTGGCATCACGATGTGTGGTCGAATGATCAACATGCTAGATATTTGAATGGTCATTATGACGAGTTGGCGAATAAGCAGGCATGTCGCAATGAACCTAGACTCACGCTGTTAAAGAGGAGACAACACATTGTGTTGAAAATCCGACGATATTGTGCATCGGGTGCGCACGCTTGCCAATCGCCCGGATAGACGTATCTTCGTGGCATCAGAGTAAATTCTATGATGTTCATGGTGGACGATTTGTTTATAATAGTCACTCACAGGCTCCTGTTGCGCCCAAAACACCGAGTAAAGCCACACTGCCACCATATAAGCCATGTCCAAACTTTGTTCAAAGTCAATTTAGAAGCGCACCTGACTGCACTCAACCTTTGGGCGGGCGTTACCGACGACGCAACGATAACGCTGGGACTGCGGCTGTCTAGTATAACATCAGGATCTGACGCGATATCAGTTGATCCACCGCCAAATAAGATTGTCGGACGTGCGATCAAGATAACTCCAACAAGACTACAAACTGTTCTCACGAAGGTCAGTCGTCGCTTTCTGAGAACGTGATGACACCAACTTACGGCTAGCAACAGCTTGACTACGCCTGAACTCTTCCTTAAGTACAAGCGCGCCGACAATGGCTGTACACATTGGTGCAAGGAATTGAAGTACGGTCGAATCCGACAGTGATAGATACTGAAGCGAATAATACGACCCGAAAAGTCCCGTGAAACTGCGAGAGAGTGAGCTGTTTGCAATCTTTGTTGCTTCAAAACACCCACCCACTAACTCCTCTAAAAGCGAGCAGCAATCGAACACCCTTGGGACCCAAGATCGGGTCTGGCACCTTCGTGATCGACCTGTTACTTGTTAGCCGATTCTACGACGCTTGGTGAAATATGAAACATACATATAGCTCACGCAGACTATCCATGTTATCGTCTGCAACAATGTGAAGAAGAGCCATTGAGGAATATATGAGACGCACCATGCGAACAAAGATAAGCTGATTGATTTCTTAGTACTCCGTCATGCGTGATGCATTAACAGCCACTCACCTCAAGGATATGGACCGGGGGATCCACGCTGTTAAGCTTCTTGACCAAGACACTCATCGTGGAACCAAATGCTTGAGAACACGCAATAAGGAGCAGGCCCGTGTTGTTCTGAAATGTTTCCACACATTGCGACGAAAATGATCTCCATCTCGAACGAATGGTATCCAAATGACTGGCTCGCGAAAAAGACTCGTGTGGCGCAATGGAAGGGACGTCAGCATCGTCAAACTGAGCAAGAGGTATATCGGACCCGAAGTACGTTTCGGTGGGGGTTTGAGCGTTATATGGAGTACGAGACGTAGAGGTCATGATCGACTATGGTGAAGATCGTGAAGCCTCGAAGCAGGACTGTCTTTCCGAGAGTCGACAGTACGGCAGCCTTCGCCTGCGTCTCTGTGCCTCTTGCTCGGGGTCGTCGCTGAGACTTTGGACAGTCACAGACACGGAGTGCCTGATAGAAAAGCCGGATCGTGCGAGTCTGTGGAGCACGTGACAGAGCGACTTTTGCCCCAGTCCCGAATTGCTCATCGCAACAAATCCGAGAAGGGCGTCGCGCGATCCGTGTGCAGTGGATTTTGTACTGTGTAAAATGAAAGAGGAGCAGAAACCACCTTCTCTGATCTTTAGCTACTATCCGTCTTAAACCGGGACTAGCGCCGGGAATCATCACTTAAAAGCTTCGTCATTATAACCGTTAATTACCTCTACTGAGCTTACCTATACCACGGCTCAGAATGAATGATATCATTGATATGTCTGCAACCTTGAATATGATGAATATATGCCATTAGTGTCAATGGCAAGGAACTAGTGCAAGTTTATCTTTTCTTCGGGTGCACAACATACCATGGACTCTAGATCACAATGAAAAGGAGATGTGAGATAATATTAACAGGAAAACAATGAACTTTTCATTACATACATGGAGCCAACACGGCTATTGAGTTAGCAATGCGAAGTATCAGCCTGGACTCCTTTCCGGACAGAGCAATCCAAGTACGCATTTTGAATCTGCTGACTTGTCCCAAATAAGAATACACAAGCAGTTCAAAAATAGGCCAACCAATATGCAAGCCTATCATGCGGGGGAGATTATAGAGATGTTCAACATGAATTACTGCAGAGATCCATCCCTCGAGTTCGCTCTTAAGTCGGCAACTTCCCAAAGGAGTAACCCGGCAACCGCCGAGATCATCTGCACCCGAGTGGCGCGCTCTCAGAAATGGCGTGCCAAATCAATAAAATTTCACCCATTTTTTCTTCCTCCCTCCCCGTCTGCTCTCCTCTACACCCTCAACGACCAACGCATAATGTACGCTATTAGATGGTTTTCTGTCGCAATATTCAAATGGCGAAAATACCTGGAAGGTAAGCTACTACTTTTCGTTATTCAGGTGAGTAGTAGACTATTTTGTGCTGGGTCGGCGCATACTGCATGTGTGCCTCCAGATTAATAGTGAGGAGTATATCCAACGCTAATTTCACGTCTGACTGGCTCTCAGCGTGACGGGAGGCCGCCTGTCATTACTCCTAAGCTTGCTCTGGTCGTAAATCTCAAGTCACTCGCGCAGAAGTGCCTAGCTTGAAGTTCTGGACTCGCTGCTTCTTAGTTTTCGCTCACTCGCTCACCTTCGTGCTACATGCGCCTGCTCTGTTTGCCGCTACAAATGTCTTCCCTCGCCATATTTGATCCTCGTGCGGACATATATGAAGATAGCACGTTCTGGAATCGCTCTCAATCCCTAACATGCTGTCGCAGACTTCTAGGTGCCATTTACCGGCGACTTCCTTCGGCAACTTATCTCGTTCTGTTCCCCATCTTAGCGCGTCCTTTCATACCGCTGAGGGTCCTATGAAATTCCCATGAAAGACAAAGCGTCTCCAGCGTCTGACGGCACACACGGTGGGTGGTTCGCTTGGCGTGATTAAGCGTCTCGCGTGTAGGCCACAAGATTCAAGATTTTCGTCTATTCAGTATCAATCGAATTCTGCGTCTACGAGCCTCGCTTTTACATGCAACATAACCTTCATTACTGCTAAAACACATAAACGCAAAGGTAGGTAGAAGGCAAGAGAGAGCGGATGACGGCTATACGCCGTCTTTTGTGATTGTACACAGTACAAACGTGGCCGCCATGAGTCTGGGAAGCGATGGGGAACGAGTAGTAGTATTACGTGGAGGTGAGGGGGGAAGAGTGTGGAGACGGCGTGGCGCTCGCGGAGCCCTACGCACAAGCACAGTGTAGTGGGACAGATGACAGAGGGCGATAGGAGATGAGTATAAGGTGAACGACGAGACCAATACGCAAGCATGCACGGCGATATGTACATTATAACGTAATTAACAGTATGGAACATATACGTACGAGTAACAGATAAGCAGACAATGACACGCATACCATAAACCCAGGAATCAGAACCGACACCCATCGAGTGCATGTATGCGCGATATCACTCGTAGCCACATCGGAAGACGAGTGAGGGATTGCATGAACGTCGAGGGCGATGTGATGACAGTATTACATGGTTGGCAGTCAAGAATATTTACTTTTGAGGCAGAGTGGGAGCCATCGAGTCGTCGAGGGGTTTATTACGTGGCATATCGATCACCAGCGACATGGCCAACCGGCTCTGACGAGATCTATACACATGAAAGCAGAGGATGATGAAGCGATGATGATGAATACAACAAATCGTTCGTCTTCCCGAGATGACCCAACTGAACTGAACAACACTCCTGGACGCTCATGTCATGGATGCCATATACGACATCTGCAAAGATGTCACGCCGTTCATGGTGCTGTACTGCTGCTGGTCGGGGTGTACACGATACGGGGGAGGGACCATAGCCACAGACTGATACGACGGTGGGAGTGCGGACGCGGCGTAATTGCTCGTCGATGTTTGGGGTCGCGATACAGGTGGGGAAGCAAGAGGGGAAGACGTCGTAGTCGATACGGCAGAATTGACGGCGGTCGAAGGAGTGGAATGTCTAGAGTGAGACTTGGAGTTCTGGAGGCATTCGTGCTGCCCACTCGCAAGTAGCGCCAGTCCAATGGCGCCATGGTCTCCCGAGTGCTGATAATGGTACCCTGTGGGAGAAATAAGTCTCTGAATAGATTGGAGAGAGAATAGATCTTACGCAGTCCATTCATGTTCTTGTAGCGCCTCTGACAGTCACCGACACCGCATGCATAAGGTCTTAATCTCCGCTCCGCTTCCCGCTCGACTTCGCGGAGCTCTGACTCGCTCATAGGCTCATTGTTGTCCTTCTGACTCCGCTTTGACTCCAACAGCGCCTGGATTTGCTCAAGGTCCTTTGGTGGCGCAAAATTGCAAGAGCCATGCTGAATATGGTACTTGAGACCATTGGCCTGCTTGTATGATTTGTTGCAATTAGGCTTCGGACACCGGAAAGGCTTCGACAAGAGTAATGAAGATGCTGGGCGAGACAATGTCGTACTAGCCCGAGCGGTCTGGCCAGCGGCGGTTGCGGGGGAGACAGACGTTGATGCAGGGGCAGCGGCGACGGCGCGTAGGGAAGAAACAGGAACGGGTGAAGCGACACGGGACGACGCAGGCGTGCCTTCTGGCGTGTTGCTCGCGCTACTATTGAGCAATAGCGCAGGAGTCACGCAGCTAGACCTTGCCGTATACTGACCATTCGGATCGGTAACGGCCGAACCATCTGGACTCGTAGTAGACGTGGGCGACGGAACTGTACCGGGAAGTAGCGATGAGTAATCGGAATAACCCGCATACGCGTTAAACGCCTCTTCCGCGCGGCCGCCCATAGTCGAACGGGAAGCAGGGGGAAAACCAACTGAGAGCGGGGAATGTCCTGATCGTGATGGAAGGACAGCGGTAGTGTCGAACGCAGAGATGGGTGTAGAGCGAGGCGACGGACACGTTGATGAAGGGTGTGAGCCAGGATATACAAAGGCAGAAGGATAGGACGAGAGAGGCGTCGAGACTGGCGTATCAGGAGGCGAAGAAGCCCCCGATGACGGAGCGCTCGTATGGTCCATGTCAAGTTCCATGTCGTCAGGATCAAAGGGACCTTGGGGGTAAGTAGGCGCTACGGGAACAGTACTGTGCTCAGGAAAGTAAGACACTTGCTGGGCTGATGGTCCTGCGAGTGGTGTGCTCTGGAGAGACGCTTGGGGCGCGTAAGGGTCCAGAACGACGACATGATTTTCCTCAAAGTGGTCGACGAGGGCATGCAAATCCGTGAGGTGCAAGCCGCAGCACGTATAGTCGCGACACTGGATATCCGCCGCATCAGTTATAAACCCGTGTTGCGCGAACGCGTCCGATGATACTCACCAGCTCCTCCTGGCGTTCAAACATGTTAAGCGCGTTCACGATGGACCCACGATCGCTCTCTATCGATGAAGACATCTTGCCAAATTTAAATTCGTTTGGGCTGTAGACAGAGGCAGCTGTCAATGATGAATTAACCGAGGGAGGGGGATATATGCTTACTCGAGTGGCCCGAGTAATTGGCCAGGGGACATGCCGGCAAAGTAGTGGCTGGTGAAAGAGCCCACTCGGAATGAGGCTGGCGAGCCAGCGATCAGAGCGCGTCGACTGTACGAGGCAGAGGTCAGAGAGCCATTGTGACCGGCGAAGGAGCTTGAGCCCATAGCGACATCTTCGTGGTCGCTAGACTGGAAAGCGATGGGTTGGGCCGAAGCCATATTAGGATCGAGCGAGTAAGCCAGCGTGTCGAAGGACGTGAACGATGGACGATGTTGAGACTCGAACAAGTCAAGAGAGATCTAGTGCCTGCTAGTGGTGTCGGCGTCGTCGTTGGCGTCGACGGGAGGGGAGGGTGAGTGGGCACGGTTGGCTGATGTTGGGTCGGGTATTATACCGCTCAGTCGGGCAGGCGCCACTGGCCATACCTTATATGCAAACACCACCAATACATACAAACAAGAATGTCTGACCCTCGAGATTTCGGAATCTGAATCGGAGTTCCCACGGCGGGGGCGATGAGCGCCGCTCCCGCTGTGCAGTTACACACCGAGTCCGACGTCGACCACTACGGCGCCCTTGTTCTCGTTCTGGCCAGCGAGCACTCGACCGTCGGCCTCTGTCGACGACGAGGCGCGGTCATCGCCTCTCATCCGTGAAGCTACGACTGACCCGACGATGGCTCCGTGCCGTACACGCCCCCACACGCGAACACGCGTGGAACCCTCTCAGGAACTTGCAACACCGTGCTTGATGGCCCGTGGAAGACCCTCCCGGAAGCCGGTCGCAGCCCTGCGTGCAGTCGATGCAGCTAGCCAACGTGGCCACAGGATCAGGATATCAGCGAACTATGTATAACATTGCGCCTGGGAAGGAACCCTCGACGACGACCGAGACAGAATCAAAACATCCCAGGCGGGATCGGACACAGCCGCGTGTCTATCGTCGCTGATTGCCCATGCGTCTCCTCGATCGCCCTCAGCAGCCTTGGCTAGTGCCCGCCCGTCCTGTCGTCGGGCGTCGGGGCGTCGGCGATGCGTTGCACAGGCTCAGCGCTCTCGGCGGCAGTGGCGGCCGATGCCGAACACCTCCCTATCCCAGCCGACTTTCCCAGCTGAGTACAGTGCCTGCGACTACCTCCGGGCAATCGATAGCCTCTTTGCTCCGCACGCATAGCCTTTCTCCTGCGGAGTAACGCCCCCCCAACTCGCCCTCCGTAGGACTGCTAATCCACAACTCGGCCACGCTCCTCGCATGTCCCGACCTTCTCAATTTCACCAACGTCCCGGAAGTTTCTCGACTCCTCCTGCTGCGCCCGACCCTACGTTGCCGATGCTCTACTTACCCGGCTTCAGGGAGCCCATTGTTAACCGGCTGGCTTACTCAGACGAGAGTTCAGGATCACTACTGGTTATAGTTTGTACGCAGGGCTGTACATATTGACATATTCATGGCCTACTCCTGCTCCAGGTGTGTGTAATGCTTGTCCGTTTTCACGTTCACGTTTCGCCCGGTGTCCCGAGCCAGGTCGACGCCGACCGCGTCCCGAGCCCAGGCCGCTCCGAGCTCCACTGGCGACGTCGAATGGGACGTGGGTGCGAGGCCCTCGCTCCTACGCACACGGATCTCCCTTCACACCACTTGATGCCGAGTGGGGTCTCGTTCGATGTCTTGCACTGCCTACGTTCATTTTGTGCCTCTCGTCCCTCGGTACCGTCTTGATATTGCTGTTATGATAGTCTCTGCACGCGCGGCCTTGCTGCGCGAGCCTGCTGACCGAGCGGACCTTGGCTTCTTCGAACCAGTAATAGCTCGGGGTACATATGTTTCCGTTGGCCCCTCCCGTCTCTGACTCGGTACTGCTCCATTCTACGCGACACCTTCTACTGCGCGATGGCGCTGACCAAGGGAGACCCACATCGCGCGCGTAGAGTCCCGCAATGGCGACAAACTCCGGCTTGCGAGTGTGTGGACATGTCAGGCCAGAGCATATGCTGTTCACATATCGCTTCATGGAAGCCTGTCCTGTGTGTACACTGACGTGGCTTTCGTTCATGCTAGTCCGAAGCCCTCGGACCTTCGTGTACCCCAGGATCTCAGGCTTGGGGAACCCCAGAGTTGCGCCTGCTCTATGCGGTTCGGGTGATTGAGCGGAGCAAGTGTCTTCAAGTGGTATACTTCGGTTGACAAATTTTCCTGCTGCCCGAATTCACGCCTGACGTATCGTGCTCGTGTTTTCGAAACGTTGTGAGTGCGCTGTCGCTGAAATGGAAGCTGACGCAGCTCTTGGGATCCCAAACAGGCTTGGTCTCTGACAATTTCCCATGTGTGAACTAGGAGGCTGACCGTCGTTTAGGTTGTCCGCTTGCAAGAGATTATTGTGCAGTCGGTCTTGACCATGTAGGTTCATATATGGCTGTTGAATGCCATTGGATACTATTGAATACATAGTATTTGCAGTTGTGCATTGGCTGGATTATTCGCATGACTGCTGCGTCAGTGGTAGACTGTTAGTGTCTACATTGATATTGCCAAAACTCCACCATGTGCAGGTGGGCTTGTTGATTCACCCGTCGAAGGACTTCTCTTGCTCAGGGTTCTCATTGCCTTGCCTTCATGATGGTTTCGTGCTCTGAATTCTCCAGCTGATCGCGCTAAGCATTCACCATGTGCAGGTCTCTCTGAAGACGCCACTGGGGTACTGATTTCCCTGCCTATTGCCAATCTGCCAGTGTGCAACCGCCCATCGACCATTGTGCCTCGTATCCACTCCGAAAGCGTCCGACGAACCATAAAGAGGCGCGGATCAAAGGGGTACGACGCACAACTTTCTTCCGTTTAGCTGTGCAAATTTCAGAGTGCGTTGTGTGCTTCTGAGTGGCTGACTCATGCATCGAAGTCGCCCTTCCAATTGGCACCAGCCACTCGTCATCGTTCTGCCCATGTGAGGTTGCGCCGCACAGGCCTGACCACTGCGCAGATATTCGATTTGCCGAAATGAACGCCTGGGGCCCGCCGCGCGGGCAATAGAAGCACACTTGACGCGGACCTTCGAAGTGGGATTGCGAATCGGTGCTTTCATGGCCGCTTTCCATCGCGAGCTCCGTCGCTCCGCTGCTGTAAGATGCCAATCTGGATGCGAGAGAGCAGGCGCCCAGGGAAACCAAGCCCGGATTCTAGCTTAGGTCGCGCTCAAGCATTTCAGCTGTTTCTAGCTCGTCTCAGCACGACGACGTTGCTCGCTCATCTATCCGAGAGCCGAGCCAAGAATGCGCGACACACAGGTGCCGGAGTCCTCCGGGCGACTTGGGTATTCCTACATACTTTCCAAACTGGGAGGCGCGGACTCCGTTGTTGTTACACCTGGCGCCGCGCTGGCCTTGTTTATGGAGAGGCGGCTTCACCGCTCGATCAATTGTTGCATTGAAGGGCGGGCGTGGCCGCCAGACGGCTCGGAGGCTAGCCAGAATAGGACAAGCTCCCGCCTGGGTCGCTGCGGCGACGCCACCTGAGCTCAGACATTGGCCGGGCCGCTGGAGCCCGACGGGCCTTGCTTGGGCTGCGGGCGGGCCGTATACTTGAACCTCTGGTCTATGGTAGTTGGCAACTACTGGGTACCAGCTCGGTGGCAGTCAGCCAGATCCGATGTCGCTCGAAAAATCGTAAATCCTTCAGCTTCAGATCCGAGGCTTGACCGCTAGACACTGCCAGGGCGCCGTAAACGTCAAACCTGATCTTTGGATCAACGCGAGTCTAGTCCGCACGCCGCTTGGGGCCATGCCCCCTATCCTTCAGCGCGCTGGGAATAAATATGTTATTTGCACACGCATCTCCTGGGTTGACTGGAGCCTCGGCTGGTCACGGATGTGCGTGGGTGACGTCGATCAGGACGAGTGCGAAACTTTACCTTTTTCAGATATGATCGATGGCGCACCGGCATAAACCTCGTCGCGCATAGCAAACCACTGACGATGCGGGAGGGTGTTCCCTTGCTACCCCGCGCGCCGTCGACCGCGTCCGATTCCGACATCCCCCTATGCACCAGCCAGGGTCGACCCCCCAGGTGACAGTACACCGACGGACGGCGCCAGCGCTTCACAATTCCCCAGCGTTGTTCCGACTGATCATGGCAGAGACATGGCGCTAAAGGCGCTTGTCCACTGGGGAACAGCATCCCCTGGCGCGCGGTTGGCCCGTCCGCGCACGCATTGGACACCACCTAGCGCTAGCTCGACACCTCGGCACCGAAACCAGGTTGCCCGCCACCAGGTATGGAAGAGTGAGCCGAGATCTGGCAAGGCACTGCACAGCACACGCCATATGGACGATCGGGAGCTGCGGACTTGATCGCTCGCGTTACAGCTTACGAGGGCAGATCGAGGATAACACACACTCTGCCGCCTGTGGTTCACTATGCCTCAGGCTCCAATACTTCAGGCGGAAGTGTTCTTCCCACAATTCTAATCCTCCACCAATGTCGGACAGCGGATACCATCCGGGAGTCCTCGGGAGTCGGGTACTTCGTAGCCTAGCCTGAATAAGAGTTGCACGACATGACGGGTTGGAAGAGTCGGGTACCACGGTATAGCCTGTCTTAAAATGGACAACCGCGGTGCGGGTTTTTAGTTTGGTACCAATCTCGCCCCGCTTGTAACTCTGTACGGTGAACTTTGGAGATAGAATATAAGACAAACATTTTGTTAGACATTTGGGAGGTTGCTGGAATAAGCTTACCGCAATGTACTTTAGCTCCGGTACGAAAGCAACCTACCCGAGCCTGAGATTCGTAAGTGACGCCGCGGTTCAAATTCCAGCTCAGACAGCATTCGCGAGGCAGATCAATAATCATGTCTTTGTGAGATCCCCAGGTGAGTACACCCAAGCGCATCCTCTACAAGTAGCTCATCGTTTCAGAATAATTGTGGAAGGATCTTCGGACGCACCGATATCATCGGAGAAGCGCATATACCCAGTGTCGGATCGAGCTGCTCACAAGGTCAGGATGTAACCCAAAGTGTTCAGCAACAAGATCCACCCGTGCCTGCGGGGTAGGGACGATGGTGTCAGCGATCACAAGCGGTAAAAATATCTCGGACCGCAGACCGCAAGGGAAGGGGACACAACAGGCAGGGTTGATGATACGTGAATAGCCGCGATACTCAACAACAGCCATGAACATAAATATTGAATGCCCCGATGCAGCGAGATTAAGCATATCTCGCCTGGGAGTACTGAATCAGACATTGGCTACTAAGCAGACGTAACTAGGAGGTATATCCGTCAATCAATGCAAAGCAACGAACAGAAATTCCCGAAGGCACGGTTTACTTACTATACGCGTGCGAAACCTCATTTCGCAAATCACTAGAAGTCGCCCGTTCGTTCCTAGAGGGTGACAAAAACAATGGTCAACAGGCCAGATATCATCATGTCATGCATCAAGTTGCAAAAGTGTCGGGACGCTGTCGGAACGCAAGTGTGTATGTGGCCGGTGACAATATTGGGACAAGAATAGCTATCGATTGAGTACCTAGTAATTGCACCTGACGGTACCGAGACTATGCCCGGATAGCCGAAGGTGCAAAGTGGTCTTTACAGGATCCAGGCTCTACCAGCTCCAATCATAGACCATACGTAGCATAAGTCGTAGTGGGCGCGATTCAGAGCTCGCTTGAGCGCTCCCCACTGCATAACCGCCAGGAACATGGCCCGTGTCGCATACACGTGGCCAGGCTTATGTCTGCGAATGAATGTATTGAAGGTGGCCGATCAAGAGCAATGCCTGGACGCAGTCAGCAAGGACGGTGGTGCGCGCGGACGAGGATTCTAAGAAACTTCGCAGCCGCCCAAATCCTTTTACCGCACGAACAGACGCTTGCTCCGCACAGGGCGCGCGGCTCCCACTCGTCCCGTCTCCTGCTGGTACATGCGGTACGCTTCGCGTAAGTGGTCAGGAGACAGAGGTCCTTTCTCCTCTCGGCGTTCCTGTACCGCCCGCGCTGTACGCCAATAAGATGATGCGGATGTTGTAATTGTTGTCTCTTGCTTACCTTTCTCGACGATCTCACCCACGAAAACCTTGGCGAAGCCTGCCACTATTTGAGCCACCGGCTGGGAAATTTGCTGTTGGAGTGATTGTTGGACCACCTAGGAGAACATGAGATACACATAATCGGGAATGCAACGAATACTACCTTCCGAACGGCAGCTTTGGGTAGTGCATGCCGCCTATATGCTTCGAAACGGTCGTATTGCTCCGGGCTGAAATTATCCATGAGAACTCTACAAAATTGTCAATGTTAGCAATTATGATAAAACTTAAGTTGTGTACGTACTTGAGGTTGTCTTTCGACTGACTCTGAAACGATAGCTGTGCAGAATAATCGTCATCTGCCATTGCAGGCAGCATCTCATCTTCCCCTTCTCCTTCCTCCTCTCCCGGAGCAGCGCCAGTAGGTCTCGGTGCTGTGGAATCTGCCGTGGCTACAGTTGGTGCGGGTATCGTCCCTGGGAGGCTTAACATCCCGCCTGTCTCCGACGTCACCGTCGACGATGTTTGTGGCTGCTGAACACCAGTGCCCAGCGTTCCAGTAGTGGCAGTGCTCGAACCCGCGGTGACTGGCATAGGGCTTGGTAGCGCGCTGCCTGATACTGCGCGCCATTGCAATTGCATTTCTGTGGGCTGGCCAGTTCCAGGAAGTGGCGACTGCGAGGGCGGGCGAGGAGAATTCGTGGCGGATGTTGCGGCTTTTGGTTTTCGACCCCGTTTTGCGCCGGTTCCTCGCGTTGCTGGGGCACCACCGCGAGATTGGATGAAAGTGCGCTCGGGAGCCGGGTATGTGGCAAAAGGGGATGTCATATCTGAGCCAATGAATTGGTGTTTATTATGAACTGAGAGAGCTTCTGATACAAGTATCGCAGCTGGAATGCTATCAAAAATGAGTCGAGCAGAGCACAGTGTGACCTTTGTGAACGGAAGACGAAAGGGACACGACTGAAGTCTCGACGACATGGAGTTGGAACGCTACTCAACGCCCGACAGATTACGTAATTACTTTGCCGGGAGATTTCCATTTGCAAACCGTTGCAGGCTACTCCGGCTCAACTCAGTGCATTCGATTTCTGGAAAACTATAGCTCTGTTTTAATCCACAGTCCACGTCTGTTAACCTTAATGGCCCGCAGCGTATACAGTCCCTCCCCTTCGCCAAGTTTCGACTCGGACCACTTCTCAGACTCTTCTGGCATCGACGATACTACTTCCTATGGAGAACCTGCAGAGTTCGGCTCATCCATATCACGACCAGGGTCGCCTGGACCCTCTCAACCTGAACAGCCAGTACCAGAAGACGATGGGGAGGTGGATACAATGACATGTTTATGGGAGGAATGCGGAAAAGTTTTCAATCATCTTCCGACACTCATAGAACATATTCATAATGGTGTGTCTATTTTCACGGAATACATATAACCACTGACTTGTCTGTTTTCAGACCATATAGGTGTGCACAAATCAAATTACACGTGTGAATGGGCGACATGCACACGTCGCGGGATTGCGCAGACATCTCGCTTTGCTCTGATATCTCATATTCGATCGCATACTGGAGAAAAGCCTTTTACTTGCCCTCGCCCAGGTTTGGATTATTTATCTAGCGTTGATAGGTTAATTGACTGACTTCATCTTTCGCCACCTTTCTTTTGACCATTGTGCCACCAGAATGTGACAAGTCGTTCACGCGTTCGGATGCGCTGGCAAAACACATGCGCATACAACACAACATCTCTCCGCCGCTTCCTGGCCGAGGGGGAAACCGCAAACGCAAAAGGGAGGAGCCTGATCCTAGTGGACATGCGCCGGAGCCACCCTCGTTCGGTTACAGCACGTTCAAGGTTGAACCAAATACCCACATCGATATGCACATGGGAGACGCTGAAGAAAGCCGTCTATCGCCAATGGATCTCAATGGAAGCGGTGCAGCCGCTGCTGCTCAAAGACCCATCAGCCCCGACTATATAGAGTACGACGACACCGAAGACGACATCCCTCCTCACCTGATGGCTAGAGCAGACCCAGCAACCGGACTAATATGTGGAAGAACTCACGCAATGGTCAAATACCTGCTCATGAAGGCGAAACACCGCTGGGTCCTTGAGCAGCATGAAGCTCTTGTGGAGGAGCTTCGCGTACTTCGGTATGAAGAGAAGTGTTGGAAAGAGCGAAAGGACGCTCTCATGGATGAGCTGTTGAGGTTACATTTTGGGTGAGATCATCGATGCATAATGGTAGACTTTACTCGCTCACTGCAACGTCACAGGCCGCAGGCTGAAGAATTGACTGGACCGCTTGTGATGGCTGCTCAGAATCACTATGTTTATCCTCCGGATCGCGATGAGTTGTATCCGTGATCGTCTTGGACCTATAGCATATAGTTTGGGACTTGTAGGATATATATCACTTATTGTGCGTCATTTTGCTTTCATACCCGGTTCCTGCTTTGCTGTCTGCCTAGAAGAGGGTCTGTAATCTAATCAGCCATAACAGCGCAAGATCATCTGTCGCCACGCAGGTGGACTTGCTATAAATGGCAGCCTTTGTGGGCGAGAACAATACCGGGAGGCTCATCTGTTAGATCGTGCCACAGATCACAATGATGTGTGGCGGGTGCTTGGGCCGTTGTGGCTTGTGCATAAAGCGCGTGGTTTGTTCGACTTGTTTACCCTTTTGACCTCTCCCCCTCACCGCTGAGCCACTCCTACATTCACACTTCAACGTTACACAGATACTTATACACTCATACATGGCTATCACCCCGCGATCAATTCCTTCATCCACACCTGGGCGTCCTCATTCGGCGCATAGGTCCGGCCCAAAGACACGCGCAGACACCTCCCTGCAGAGTACTTTAGGTCCCGAGTTCATTCCATTCATGGCTGCGAGAGCGCGTTCAGCTAAGCGGGGCATGAAGACGCCTCCTGCATCACCGCCTCCAGAGCCTTCCGTCCATAGAGGGACTCATTTACGACGCCAGTCTACCGTAGGCAGGCCAACTCCCGGGGTCGGTGGTCCATCTCGTCAGGTATCACCCACGCCAACAGGACTTCGTGCTCCCGAATGTAAGTAGTGTTCAGTTCCGCATTTACTGGAGGTTGAACCAGACCATCGGTCGTCGTAGGGCCATCTGCGGACGGTACTCGGCAAGACGCTGAAGAGGTCCCTGCGCTGCAAGAACCGGGCAGTTCAACATACCTGCCTCAAAATGCTCACAGTCCACCGATAGAGGCATCCTGTTTAGGCGCTTCCTCTTCTCACCCCCGCTCACCGAGACAACTTCCCCCGTCGTCGCCCCCATTGCCATTATCGACAGAAAACATCAGAGCCAAGGGACAAACAGCGGCTACGGCACAACGTCCAGATGCTCCGGGAAAATATCCTTTCGTCGGGCCTATTCAGTATACTTATCCCATCCAACTACCTTTGGTCGGTGATGATCCCACCTGGCTAGAACAAATGATGACACAACTCCGAGGAGAGCGTTTCCAGCTCCAGCAGTATATGGAAGAGTCGCGTCAGATGTTCGACCGAGGCTGCGCAGAGTCTCGCTTGATGCAAATTGAACTGGAGCGAGAGCAGGACGAGACGGCCGACCTCATCCGGAATATGGTTACATTGGCAGGTCCTGCGTATGGGGAGTGGTTCTGGAGGCAGTATGAAGAGGGTATGGGTGATCTCTCTCTCGACAGCGATTTCCATAACCCCGAGTCGAACGAACTGCCATCGCCGTGTCCCCCTTCAAGAAAGCGCCGCCGTGAAGACGACGGTGACGACGACGAGGGTGACCAAGATTCAAATGAAGAGCCACAAGTTCGGGATGTGTACAAAAGGCGCAAGCTGGAACTGCAAAATGTATTGGAACCTTACGCCCAGTTTCTACGTGTTGACCCGAGGGGCCCTTGTCCCGAGAATAATTTCGGATTCAATCTGGACCCTGATGTATATGACGAGGAAATCCGGGAACAGACGTCAGGTACACCAGAGCCTTCTAGTGTACGCACCCCAGATCCGAGCTCACCCATTGCGGAGCAAGATGCGATTTCTGCCCCGTCCGATAGTCTCCGGGATGGCAGCGTAGCAGCAAACCCACAATCCCTCGAAGCCACACACGATGAAGACTCCAAAGTCGTGAGTGATCAGGCAATTAGCGCAGGAAATGGGCGCCTGCACGGGTCGCCCCCGAGTCACCCTGTGGAGGACAAGAGGCTGCCATTGCGCCCTCAACCTGTCTTTCACCTGCCTCCTACTGAGTCCCAAGAGGAGTGCAACGGCACTGGGCTCAGTGAATCTGATAAGTACCAAAATGAAGCTGTAGCCATGGATGCCGAGGTCGATCAGCTTGATGATGGCCACGACGAAACACAACTGGCAGAGGTGGGTGAACTGGAACTTACCTATCCTGATGATGAGGAGAGGGATGCCTCCGATGGTCCGGGAACGCTGGCTTTGTGTGCTGTTGATGAATATGGAATTGATGGCGATTATGGGAGCGGTGACGAGTATGGCGGTGTTCAGGACGAGTACGATGGTATCGACGAAGATGGCGAAGAGAATGAAATCGGTGACGTTGATGAGTTGGGCGAGGAAGACGAGGAAGAAGGCGAGGAGGATGATGGCGAGGAAGGGGACTTCCATAACAGCGACGAAAGCGAGGACGAAAGCGAAGATGATGCTGCCGGCCCCCTTGCAGCTGCCAACGATGCAGATGCGCTCGTAGTCGTCGGCGCCCATGCCAACAACGGTATGCAGCCGAATGGCGGAGCTGGTAACGCGCTGCAACCCGCAAATAACAACGCAGTAGTGGCCCCTCGAGCCTTCCAATCTCGACCTCTAAGGCGGGAGTACCAGACACTGACGCATGTCGATCTCGCGACGAATACAGCCTACTTCGTAGACCGGACGGAGGAAGACCTCACGAGGAGTACCAACGGTGAATTCTATTTCTCTACCTATGACGAGTCGTTCGGCGACCCATCTGGCAGCGCTCGTGGTATTGAATATCCATCTCACGGAGCTCTTGACTTTTGAAAAGGCGAAGAAGGACCTCAGTTTTTACCGTACCTAATATGCGATTGTCGCTCTCCTTCGATTTTGTTTTGTAGCGTCCTCGGTTACTGCTTGAATCTCGCAATGATTCTTCTTTGTATAGTAGCCTGAACTATTGTTATTGCAACGTCGGGGCACTGGAAGTCGAGATGATCTTGACTTATATGATGCCGTAACACCATGTCGCTTGGGTGGCTCAGTTGGTTAGAGCGCAGGTCTCATACGAGAGTATGACATTCAAATCTTGGATGGCCATCCTGAGGTCATGAGTTCGACCCTCATCCCGAGCATATTTTTCTATTTTTCATCTTCCTTCATTTTGGAAACTATCTGTGTGGTGATTCAGATGGTTGACGAGCAGTTTTTTCCATCAACATTGATGAAATGTTTCACCTCCTAGCAGTGAGGCGCGAAATCCTGCCACTGTGGGAATTGCTCACGTGCGTCAGCCACCCCAGCGCTATTGAAGCGGGCTGAGCGGTAACTTGAATTCGAAGTCAAATTTTGTTCAACTCATGTCTAGAATGATTATGGTATCCAACGCATAAACAACGTTTAGAACGTTCCGGGATATGCAAGCCTTGTTTGGCGTCCAATGGCTAATAAGTAGCGAACGATACGCTCAGTTTTGGGCCGGGCACGGTCCGAGTGCTACCTGAACAGCATGCCACTACATATAACCCTACGGTCAAATTGCGTCGGTAAGCATATGTACCCTCAGTTCTCTCGCTTGAGCAGTCGTGACCGCCTTGTCTGGTCATATAGTAGATGTAGATACTCATTATCGTCTCTCAGTACGCCCATTCACACAAATTGGAGCTGCATATATAATTACATAGATCGCTTCACAAATCTACCAATTTGATGCCAAAACAGATGTTCTTCTGGTTCACCTTCTTTTGCCCAAACTTCTCCTGAGCTCCATAGATCTAACCTCTTCACATAAATGTGACTAGGCCGGTCAAGACAGCACCCATCGAATACACTGCTCCAGAGCGGTGTCCAGAATCGCTGCCACCACGCGACATCGTCCCGTGGGCTCAGGACATGTTCGTAAAATAACAGCTGTCCACCAGGCTTCAGCACGAGCTCGACGAGGGCTGCCAACGTATCTTCCGGATTTGGTATGGAACATAGGGTGAGGACAGAGATGAGTGTGTCTACTGCATCGGGTCGACCCAGAGCAGATACAATCGATGCGACGTCTTCTGCACCGTATGGGAGGATCTGGAATGTGTCGGATTCTTCAGTGAACCCTGCAGCGTTAGCACGCGCGCGAATCTCAGCGTGCATAAGCCGATTGGGCTCTAATGCGATATATTTGGTGACCATGTCGCGGCTGAGATAATTGATGGTATGACCATACCCTTAAAGTGTCCGTGAGGTTTTTCCCTCGCGCCATTCAGCTCCCGTACATACCTGCACCGATATCCAGGACAACACCACGCGCGTTAGGTGGGATGAGATTCTCCTTCACAGGTCGCGCATTTTCATCAGTCTCATCTCCAAAAGGAATCCACAGATGCGACATGAAGACACGGGAGATTTGGCGAGGTCGGAGGAGCAGTAGAGGCTGTCTGCAGATATCCCGCAGCGTGGGCAGGAGAGCTGTCCGAATAGCCTGCCATAAATCGGAGAGAAGGGCCAACGAGGCTGATATTTTCATGGGGTAGGAGCTGCACGGTGGGAGTTTTGCGCAAGCCTGCGCGCTACCCAGCTGTAATTGGCGAGGGGCGGACGAGTGCAGGCCATACTCCCGAGTTACTTATGCGAAGTGTAGTAGTTTGGAATCAATAGGCAAGGCGCTCGACAACCAAATGGCTGACTCAGTACGCCCGTTCACGTGCCAGACCTCCACATGCGCAAACAACGAAGGCACCTGGCAGAGACTCGTACCCAAACGCGCCGAATTCGGGAAGACACGTCTGGGGCAGCCTTGCAGAGACTAGGGCAAGGGGAATTTGGGAGTGTAAATTTTCAGCGTATTAATTTGCCGGTAAATTAGCGGTAATTTACAGGAGTGGCCAAAACATGGTGTAAATTACGGTTGATCTGGAATGAGCACCCGTATCGGTGTGAGACTGTATGATCTGACTGGAAAGTCAATGATAAGCCTGCTTCACCCTTCCTTACTAGAAGTATACTGCAACACCCATCAACCTAGAGCTACACTTGCCATGAACGTTCTCGAAGTGAGAGGTCTCGAAAGCATTTCCCTTTTACGGCTATACTTCAAGTTACAGAATAGGCTCCTGCTTATTCTCCCCTATAAATCCCCCGACGAATCTGCATGTGATTTCACTCAGTTCTCTTTGGATGAAGACAGGGTCGCAGATGTGGGAGCTGGGAATACAATAAATTGGCAACTGGGGATAATGTTAGGAGCACGTACAAACAGCAATGGGGCTGTTAATTACATAGCGGACTCGGAATTGACCAAATTGACTCGTTAATTAGCGTCAATTAGCGCCCCATCATTGGCGGTTAATTTGCAGTAATTTACATGGGTCAATTACAGTATAGAAGCTTGGTCTTGCTAATTTACGGTAAATTACGGACCAATCCCAAATTGCCCTTGCCCTAGCAGAGACCCCCCTTCCAGAAGTGCCCGGCACTCTATGTAATAGTTGGCCACATTGGCCTTCTCGGACTGTGATTAAACTACCCGATTTCCCATTTTGAGTAACTACGCCTAGCAACCTAAGTGCGAGAGGCAGTCGAAAACATGAATTCAAGATTCATGGCCTATTACAGTATCTATCCTTTGAGACTCAAGTAACATTGTGGAGATAAAAAGATACTGGTGCATGCAGAAGAGGTTGAGAGAGAGAGCAACAGGCCACCAACTCTCCAAAACTTCGCTGGTGGCTATGCTCGAAATTTTGATACTATTTATTTGCAAATATAGCTGCGGCAACATAATTCCCAGAAGCTCTGAGAAAAAACTGCACTCTATCCATCCACAGAATTTCTCTTACAACTCTTTCCGATTGATGGTATAAACTTCCCTGGTCGCCAACGTTGACGTTTTCGACTGCCTCTCGCACTTAGGTTGCTAGGCGTAGTTACTCAAAATGGGTAATCGGGTAGTTTCATCACGGACCGGGAAAGCCAATGTGACCGTTACATAGAGCGCTAAGAGGGCGCTTTCTGGAAGGATGGGAGCTGACACGTCTGGGCACGAGACCATCTCAGATCAGCAAATTGAACAAAAGAATATAATACCATACAAATATCAGATAATCCGACATGGTGCATTATCCAGACAGATAAGCCCAGGTTTGAGCCGAGCTGGAGTTTACCGGAGACCACAGTCTGCATATGATATCTGTGCTTTTCTATGAAGAAGTTCAACTCATGTCTAGAATCATTACATGCGGCACATGAACAAAGTTTCAAACGCTCCGGGGTGCACAAACCTTGTTTCGCGTCCAATGACCGATAGGCGATAGCGAACGATACCTATAGTTCTCCAGTACGGTCCGAGTATTATCTCGACAGCGTTTCTCAGGCATGTCATTACATATGTATCCTACACAATCTTGTGTCGGTGAGCATACCGCCAGCTCTCTCGCTTGAGCAGTCGTGACCGCCTTGTCTGGTCATGTAGTAAATGTAGATACTCATATTCGTCTCAGTACGGCCACTCACACATAATGGAGCTGCATATACAATTACATAGATCGCTTCACAAATTTACCGAGCTGATGCCAAAGCATATTTTCTTCTGATTCACCCTCCCCTACCCAAACTTCTCCTGAGCTCCACAGATCCAGCCTCTTCACATAAATGTGAGTAGGCCGATCAAGACAGCACCCATCGAATACACTGCTCCAGAGCGGTGTCCAGAATCGCTGCCACCACGCGACATCGTCCCGTGGGCTCAGGACATGTTCGTAAAATAACAGCTGTCCACCAGGCTTCAGCACGAGCTCGACGAGGGCCGCCAGCGTATCTTCCGGATTTGGTATGGAACATAGAGTGAGGACGGAGATGAATGTGTCTACTGCATCGGGTCGACCCAAAGAAGATACAATCGATGCGACGTCTTCTGCACCGTATGGGAGGATCTGGAATGTGTCGGATTCTTCAGTGAACCCTGCAGCGTTAGCACGCGCGCGAATCTCAGCATGCATGAGCTGATTGGGCTCTAATGCGATATATTTGGTGACCGTATCGAGGCTGAGATAATTGACGGTGTGGCCATGCCCTTAAAGATATCCGTGAGCTTTTTCTCTCGCGCCATTCAGCTTCCGTATGTACCTGCACCGATATCCAGGACAACACCACGCGCGTTGGGTGTGATGAGGTTCTCCTTCACAGGTCGCGCATTTTCGTCAATCCCGTCTCCAAAAGGAATCCACAGATGCGACATGAAGACACGGGAGATTTGGCGAGGTCGGAGGAGCAGTAGAGGCTGTCTGCAGACATCCCGCAGCGTGGGCAGGAAAGCTATCCGAACAGCCAGCCATAATCTGGAGAGAAGTCCCAACGAGGCTGATATTTTCATGGGGCTGTAAGATCTGCACGGTGGGAGTTTTGCGCGAGCCTGCGCGCTACCCAGCTGCAATACTAGGCGAAGGGCGACAAGTGCAGGCCATGCTACCCAGTTATGGGAAGTGTAGTAGTTCGCAGCCAATGGGTACAAGGCAAGGTGCTCGATTGCTGACTCAGTACACCCGCTCACGTGCCGGACCTCCATATGCACAGACGACCGTAAGACAGGGACTCGAGAGTCAGAGACTGAGAATCTACTGACTTAGGGTCTGTCAGGAGCCACACGCACCACGGACTGCGCTATTTGTATGGTTTTTGACGGTTTTTTGTGAATAAAATCATTTGACACCAACTTGAAACCGTGAAATGGGTGGCCACCTTGTCGCCAGATCGGAAGCGAGAACATGAGGTCACCTTGTGCCGCGGTATGTACCGCTCTCCTCTGCTGCTCCGCTACTCTTGGGACCCTAGCTTCGCATCCCCCGCTACTTCCACAAACGCACTCATAGCCTATTTGCTGGACATCAACAACTAATTGTTGACCACATCGAGACTATGGCGCAAGCTCAGGACAAGACGAGTACCGTGAACGTGAAGCTGCTGCTAATCGGCAACTCGTCTGTGGGCAAGAGCAGTCTTTTGCTCAGGTTTTCGGACGAGCAGTGGCTGCCAGAGGATGAAGCGAGTGCGACGATTGGTGTGGACTTCAGGGTGCGCTGCTCGATGACTCGTGCTCCTCTAGTCAGTTACTGAGACTGACACGCCGAGCAGGTACACAAGATGGAGGTCAAGGGGAAGAAAGTGAAGCTCAGCATTTGGGTGTGCAACAATCCTGTATGCTTGTCAATCCCTTCGTATTGATCATTCATTTGCGTGCATTCAGGATACTGCAGGCCAGGAGCGCTTCCGGACCATTACATCCTCGTACTACCGCGGCGCGCAGGGTATCATTCTCGTATACGACGTTGCGAACAGGGAATCATTCGATGCGCTTCCACGTTGGTATTCAGAGCTTGAGACGTACGTCTCGCCGTCTGTCGTTAAGATCATCGTAGGAAACAAGGTCGACAAGGTGCCCATTGTTGTTCTGCCCACCGTCTAAACCCCACTCACCTTGCCCTACTACCTGACATACTTCATAGGAATTCTCGCGGCAGGTGTCCCACTCTGAGGGGCAGCATTTCGCAGAAAGGATGAACTCGCTATTCTTCGAAGCATCGGCGAAAACGTCGATAGGTGTCCGAGAGGCTTTCCAGGAGGTCGTCGAGAAGATCCTCGATACCCCGGAATTATGGGCACCGCTGGGTCATAAAGCACGCGGAGTCAGCGTCGGAGGGAGTGGTGCCGATAGCATGCCCGGCAGCATCAACCTCAGCCGAACTGAGAGCGCAGGCGATGCAGACAGCGGAGGTTGCGCATGCTGATCACGTTTGGACTGCATTCACTGTCATTGCTCTGGAATAAGCTTATATATGCTTTTGGGTACGTCCTTGCGTTGTATGGGTTTCATGCATGTTTTCTGACGCAACGGTGTTGAACAGAATGTATTATATAGTTGCCGTCATTGAATGCATGATACCTGTACTAGATGCTATTTCCTGACTGAGTGACGATGATACATTCCTCTAGACCGCTCCCGCCACAGGTTCACGCAAACGAAAAGCAGAACTGAAGTTCCAGCTTACTCCTTTGCAGCTGAGAAGTCGGCCAGTAATTCCCATCCATACATCGTAAAAGCGTGGTAAACGACGACGAGCGCAGTATATGAGATCCGGGACACTTACAACAATCTCTGAAAGAAGCCATTAGCAGATAATTATTGCTGTCAGTTTTCGTGCAATCCAGATCTAGTCAGAGGAAAAGAAACGATTGTATGTGTAGATGCGCCTAGTATAGCAAGGCTACAAAGGAGAACCAATAGAGCCAAATTCAGATATTAATCTTCAGGCGGTACATGCTTACCCACCCACCCATCCATCCATCCACCCACCTACTCATCTAAACCCATTATTCATGCTCGCGAATTTCTATCATCGTCCCCTGCCCGTGGGGGTGGAATGTTGAACGACGTCCCAATGGGACTCCATCCATCATCCGCCCTATCTTCCGCCCGAATGAGGCTCGCGATGCTCGCCGTATGCTGATGGCTCCGTTTTGGCGCACCACCCGTCTTCTGCTTCATGAGGGGTGTCGCAGAAGTCGGGATATTTGGGGTGATAGGTGACCGGAAGGTGATGTCCATCTCCTCTTCGTCTGACTCGCGGTCAGACAAATCTTCGACATCATATTCCGTGGCGTCGCGCATGATCCGTCCGTTTCCGCTGCGCCCTCGCGTCGGACGAGGCTCTTCAAGGTCATACAGCTCATACTTCGAGCGCCGGCTCCCGTATGCGCCCGAACTTGGCGGGGCGGTGGCGTTCGCGCCCTTGAGCTGTTCGGGCATGTAGAGGTAGAAGCACGCCACCGCGAGACACGACCCACCGACGACGTCAATCAGGTAGTGATGTGTAAGATACATCGTCGCCCAGTAGAGAATCGCGGTGTATGTCCAGACGTATCTGGTCGCCCAGGGGAAAAAGTGCGAGATGAAAAGCGCTTCCATCGTTGCGCAGCCCGAGTGAAGCGAAGGGAATGCGCCGAACACGACAGGGGAGTTTCCGAACGTTACAGCATAGCCATTGGAGTGGAAGAGTTTATCGATACGAGCAAGCCCGCCTGCGGATCCACGCACAGAGTAGTCGGCGGGTGTCAGGCCGTAGATGAGCTCATACCATGGCGGCGCGCAGGGAAGTAGGATCTGCATGATGACGCCAAGTAGGTTCATGTAGCCGAATGCACGGCTAAAGTAATGTAGGGCTTCCTTCGCCCTAAAGAGCCAGAGAAACGCAGCAACTACAAAGGGGAAGGTGAAATGGATCACGCCGTACGGGAGCCATGCCAGGATGTCAAGTACGGGGTGCGTGAAGCGCGTTAAGATGTCGGAGATGTTCGCTCCGTACAAGACTGACTCTAAGGTCGGGAGTAGGACAACCGATATACCGGGACGCTGCGATGGGGGGATAAATTTGGAGGCGAAGAAGGTGAGGACCCAAGCGAGGACCGGTGCAGCAGGGAGGAAGAACTGCGACGTCAGGGGGATGAGAACGGCTGTTATATAAAGGGTGGGTATCATGAACTTCAGGAAGCCAGGAACATGCATAATATAGATCCAGTAGGTCGCAAGAGCAGTGTGGAATATATAAATGGTGTCGGAGAAGGTGAACGAATGATTTTGCAGTTTTCTGATTGTGACCCGAGGAGAGAGTGACTTGTCCAGTCGGCCTACGGCTGCAATGAACGCTGTCCAGACTTGCTGGAGCGGTCGTGGCAGAGATGTCTGGGAACTCATAACGAATGCTGGGGGAAGATGTGAGATGTTCGTGAGGAGACAGGGAACAAAGCATACCGAACGAAGACTTACTACTCTTCCAAAGTGCCCAACTAAAGCAGAAACTGTGCCCGCAGTATTTCGTGAGGTCCGTCGGCCGTTGTCGTGATCGTGGTCGCAGAGAAGGACGAGGTTACGTAGCGAGTACTAAACGCCTGACAGCCTATGAACAAAAACGATAGATTAGAACGGTTTACTACGTAATTCGATACTGTATGCCTCCTATAAAAACTATCTTTATTTATTTCCAATACATCCATATTCAGAGTCGGCTGCATGCAATACGTATACCGTACAGTATAGCCTCGCTACATTTTCTTGGCCTTCCTCCCTGGTAACATTTTAACATTACCTGCTCCAAATCTTTCTATGCCTTGCATTTACCTATTTCTTTTCCCTGTCATTGAGTGTAAGATTGACTACAAAAAACCCCTTCCCAACTCATCGTTGTAACAGCTTTTACCATCTCATCGTGAATCCATTCAACTTCGTCTGCATATCTTGCAGTCGGTTTTTCCGACTTTCCAACTTGGCTCGTTTGGCGCTAATTACAGGATCTTCCACCATAAGTGCTGCCAAATGGCTGGATGCATCTTTGGCACTCAGCTCCAGCTTGGCCAGAAGGCGCTTCGACAGGTCGTCGACAAGCTCCTGGTTCAGATGTCGCTGAATAATCATGAGTACGTAGTCAATAATCCGCTATGTAAAACGTCAGCCATGCGTTCGCACAGTCAGAGAGATTGCTCATCTTGTATGCTACTTGGAAATATGCTCGGACATCTGCCATCACGAGCGTTTCTGGCTCGTACGGATAACTCGGAGTGTTATAAGTACCATACTGGGGAGCATAACTCTGAAGCCATTTTGATCGGATAGCGTTATAATATCGAGTGTTCACAGTCGTATAGGGAGCTTCCTCGCACTCCAGCACGCTCGTGAGAGCCTTCTGTGCATTCAGGACATGGCAGTCTATCTCATTGCGCATTATTCGGCTATGACAAAATCAGATTCGTTGGTCGTCACTCTTAGAGTGTGCACACCTCATGTGCCCCTCGAAGGCCCGAAATTGTCCGAAATGCTCTGAAATCTTCTCATCGACCCAGTGTCGCAGCGCATCAGTGACCTCGTCGAAGCACGCCTGGGACGGAGCATGCCACAGTTCTATCGACTTTTCGATGAGACATACTTTGGCGTCATATGGCGTATTATGCGGGAGTTCCCATCCTGTAGCCCTTGTTGTCTCGCGCCAGATTTGCACATGCATTACAGGAACCAACTCACTTTTTCATGATCGTGCGGACATCAGCTGAAGACACAGGCGCCAGCTTAAAGTCTGCAGATCGAAGATGGTATCCGAGCTGCTCGAGGTCATCAGCTCCCGAGACGAAACGGGAAACATAGGGGCTCATTTCAGGCCTAAAGTTCGGTGTAGTACAGGCGATCGCGAAAACAAAGCGCTCGTATATGTCTTGGGTTGCGTGGATGAAGTCCTTGTCTTCGTTATACCCATAAATGGAAGCGCGAAGGTCTGTACAGAAGTCGGCAATTCTGGCTACTGCTTCGGCAGTTGGGTCTCCGACAAGCATTTCCGGTAGGTCCTGAAGGTCGCGATCGCACTGTGCCAGTTTGTCGCGAATTTGTGCTTGGAGGTCGGGCAGACTACACATTTGAGTACCCTCTTAAATGACAGCATGGCACACGTACGAATTATGTATAATATTCATTAGAACCCTGCTGAGATGCTCGACAAGATTAGGGATCCCTAGATGATGTTGAAACACATCAGACTGGTACAATTCTTTCCAAGGCTCCTTGGTCGAGAAACAGTCTATAGCCAGACGGTTGAGTTCTTGTGGCGAAAGCCTTTTTGCTCGCTCTGTATCTTGGGGTAATCGCACGACGTAATATCCGAGTTTGAGCATGTGCTTGTCGTCTTTTCCTTGAATGATCTTCAGCCATGACTGTTGAGAGTTGACAGACCCATCCGATATTGCATCCGGCTTTGTCACAATGCCTGTTTTGTCACCTAATTTCAGTGAACTGCAGCGGTGACTATGGTCATGCTTCACCCACGGTACGATCTCCATTGGGATCAGCTTTGCGTGCCAGACTAGCTGCTTGCTGGTTCTCCATCTCATCTGTGACAAGATATTCATATTTACATCCTTTCGAAACCAATATCACATACCATTTGCGGGGACGGTCATGAGTATGCTTACAAAGCTCTCTTGAATATTCTTCTCCACGAGAGACCTCACTAACTCGATCATATTCTCATCCTCGTTCTAAATAAGACCTGCAACGGAGTGTCAGGTGTCTGCTGTTGTTGAAAATGATGAACAATAACCTGGAAGGTCTACAAAGGACAAATCCGTGCCGCCCGTTGCCTCAATGTCCACCACCACACTATCTGACGAGAACTTGTCAATTTGATTGCCCAAGGTGAGCGCTTCGAGTTGTTTCTTGCTCATCTCCTTGAAATCTTCCGGAAGCACACTCCGACTAAGAATTGCAGCTTGTGCACGTCGAAGCCAGATTTCTACACTGTCCTTTGAGGTTAACTCTGGACTGAAGGGTGCACGGACGCCACGCCTATCCAGGTAAATTCTGCAACTCCATTTTGCGCTGTTAGTAGAGACGTTGCATTCCATCGGACATCTGTTTCAACGACTATGAGGTACTTCCATATCGCTGAAAACGACTAGCAATACCTCGGGCAGGTACCACCGTCGCGGGGTACATTGATCTAGGATGGGGTGTGAATGAAGGCAGACGACGTCACGTTAGACTCACCTGCGTGATAGCCTCGATCAACGAGCTTTTCCCCGCTATATGGTGCGCAGGAATCAATGGTGGAACAAAATTTCATAGACACAGTTTGGAATTACCTGGCTGCCCTACGATCACTACTATTCGGGGAATCTTGATATCTTCCATGTTCGCCCTAGCGGAATGTAATAAATTCTAGAACCACAAAGAAATTGTTGTACACACCCCATGGCTTTCAAGTCTCTAATTAGGTTGAATATCACTTGACGCTTCCGCGCGTACTCCGTATCGGAAAGCACGAAAGAGTCCATGTATGGGTCGAGGCCGCCAGTAGAGCTGTCTCCAGAACTCCCCCGCCGAGAAATAAAGCGCTTCATGACTTCGGAGTGAATGGTATCTTCAGAGCGCGGGGTTCTCTCTTTCTCTCGACAGCATCGTATTTATGCATGACTTGGCCAGCGCTATAAATAACAACAAAGGAACCCCGCCTACATACAGAGTCTCTCAATGTGCATAATCTATTCCTCCGAAAGACAACACGATACGACTCACGATGCAGCTGATATCAACTTCAGGTTGGAATCCTCATGCGCGAGGCCTCGCTTTTGTCGGCCTTCGAGCTTTTCGGGCAGTCTAGTGCCATAAGCATACATGCGCATCATAAATAGCCCGATTATGGCACCTAACCTGCATAGAAACAATTGGCATGCGCATTTACCAGCTGCTGATGTGGTTCATGTATTGCCCAGGTAGCAGTGCACTTATCGACACATGGTAAGTCTGAAGCTAGAGTGGTCAATGCAAGCAACAAGAAACAGTATGGGTCTGCTGAACGATCGGAATAACTTCCTCATTGACACAGCACGTGGTTTCCAACGCATTTGTCGTCTTCATGATACGCAACGAGGTGATTCGAAGCCTTTATTTTTCGAATTTCGAAGAGCAGAATAGGAGATACAAGCGGGCCACGAGTCACAGCAGCAGATTCAAAGCATGAGAGAGAATATGATGTGTTCACCTTTATAAGAATAATTTATTCTTTTGGCCATGTTTTCGCCCTCGGTCATTTTCTGTGCTTTTCGTCTCGTCCTCTTCAAGCAGCGTGCCTCGCTCTGGGTCTTCCAACTTGTCCAAATGATATGCGGGAATTTTAGATCTAGAGGTGGTAATGTGATGTCGATGATAGCCCGCGCTCATCCGCTGATTCCGAATGATTACCAGTCAGAGCGACAAAGTGTAGCTGAGAAGAAGAGAGATACGCGAGATTTTAGAGCCAGTCCCTTTCATAGATCGTCAGCTTAGGTTCCAAACGGGACTCCAAAGCGGTAGTGTGTGTATCGCAGTATAAAATATTCCCAAATTGAACCGGCTTCATGAGAACACAAGGCTTCAAGAGACAGACTGCTGCATCAATTGGCAGGCCAATTCTTGCAATCTGATCGAACAGTGTGCGAGTGACATAACATTCAGAGAGGTAGTGAACTTGAGAGTTGATGCACAAAATAGTAGCACCCAGAGTAGTGGTCATAGTATTGACCGTATGTTTCAACAACGCTCTGGCCCACCTTAGTAGCGCCGCTGTACAGTGTCCCAAGGGGCAAGTCAGATATCTCACCTGATAGTCCTCCCTAAGCCATCCCTAAAGCTTCAAAAATGATGTTCGGGGTGTAATGAGGACAGTCGTATACGTATTGGAAGTTTGAAAGAGGCATACCTCAATTCCGAACTCAACTATGCAGTCAGGCTACGTTCATATTCATACCCTTGGCAGCCTAAATCAAGTGTTAATATTGAGAATAAGAACAAGGACATGCCAGTGGGCCGGAGATGCACATGCCAAATTGGAACATGAGTGCATCGAAACGGACGCCAGCTAGAACTTGGAGTGCTCAAGAAGAACGTTAATAATTCAAATCACAGCGCCACCGATGGCTGGTACTAGTCGAGTGGCGTGACCCGGACTGCCCTAACCCTCTTTATAACTACAGACTTACGATGCACATACATACTCTACAGCTTTGCTATGAGACAACTACTCAAGACCTCGCAAGTCTTACTTTATTGCACATCCGATGTCACTCTTGTCCCTCACCACAGCACCCATGGCGTCTGGTCGATCCAGGCGACGTTGCCATACTCCCCGCTGAACGGATACTGAAACACTTTTTCGACGCGATCGTACGGCGCGTACTCCTCGGGAGTCATCAGTTGCGTAATGCCCGCTTCCTCCCGCCCGGTGAGGTTGAATCCAGGGCCGTAGTCGCGGAATTCGGCCATCGTCGTGTTGAAATCGATTCGCCCGCCTGCGACACCTGCCCAAGGGATGTAGCCTGACGGCTCAATACTGTTATCGAGATACGTGTACGCAAAGATTGAGCGGTCCTGTGCGTTCTGGGGCACAGGTCAGCAATACTTGCCAAGGCGCAGCCGAGAAACTCACCCATGGCCTGCCCAGAGCACACTGACCCTCAATGTTCAGACTCGAGTTCGCCTTCCGCACCTCGCTGTCCACGATATACACTCCGTAGGAGTTCACAAAGGTCGTATTCGTCCCCTTCCATGCCGTGATCCCTCCGCCGCAACTGCGCAGGGAGAGCAGCGAAGACTGTACCCAGAGCGTCCCAAACCCATACAGGAAGTCTGTCTGGCCGGCGATCTCACTGTCGTATATGTACGTATTTCCAAGTTTACCAATGTAGATCTACCACCCGGGTTATTGTCAGGTCGTTACCAAGAATAAGTCATTGCTCGCTACGCACCGTGTCTTGATAGCTGTAGAAACCGCAGTAGTAGAATCCAGCGTTGGCATAGCTGATGCTAATCGCGAGGCTGGGGTCATCGGAGTACGGTGCGTAGTCGTTAACGAGGTCGATGTTGTACGCGCGGAAGTCTACATTCCCAAAAGGCGTCCCGGGAGGCACTGTGTTTCCATCCGGCCCTGCACCCGTCAAACTGGCATTGAGCGTAGGCGCGACGGTGAGCGTGCTCGTGTACGCGTTGTCCCCGGTGCCCGCGATGGCCGCCCACACGATGCTCACCGCGTTTTGGGTGCGGTCAGTGGGGGCAACAGTTTGGCCCAGAAGGGTGACGGGCCCAGGGCGAGTAACGTTAACCTGCTCGGTATAGTTTCCTGGAAGCACAAGGATGGTGTATGGTGTGGTGTCATTTGGAAGACTGAGGACGGCAGACTGGACAGTGGTAAAGTCGACATTGGCAGTGCCCGGAGGACCGACGAGAAGCGTATCAGCCGCACAGCCAGATAAAGGGTCAGCAGTAGGGTATTGGCATTCAGCGCGGCCAGCCCATACAGAGTCGCACAGGACGAGAACAGCGAGGGAAGAGACAAATGCCCGCGCAAGTGAGAAAACCATCTTGAATAAGTCCTACCGGGAATGAGACACAAAAGCGGGCCAGCCGAACAAGACAGTAGTATTTATGGAGCCCAAAAAGATCTAGGAGGAAGTGCAACGTCAACTCGTGCACCGCTGCCGTCCCATCTTCCCCAGGCTCAACTCACGCAGCCGAGCACGAGAATCGCGATCCAGCTCACCAAGCGTGCGGTCGCTCCCGGTCAGCAGGCCAGGCGGGAGTACCCGCTTATCCCGGTAGAGGCGCATTCTTCACCATAAAGTCAAGCAGCCGCCCCTGGCGCGCTGTCGCTAATGAACCAACACTGAACCCATGATCGACGTCTGTATTTGGCGGGCCGGGGCACGAGAAGAGAAGGCAGACTGTGTCTCCTTGTGAAATCGCATGCTGCAGCATCTGACCAACCTTCCTCGGAGATAATCCGCTACAAAGCCTGTGTGCCGGGAGGTCCAGTTGTGTGCGAGAACCGTTACATACTGCGCATAGACCTTTGCTGCGCCAATTTGAGAGCAAGCTAATAAGACCGCTCGCGAAATATACCCATAATAGCATGAAGAGGTAAGGTGACAAAAGGATAGTCATCACGAGTCGTATGAGTAGCGGAGGAGTGAAAACTTCGGGAGGCTCCAGTGTAGCGCTTTCGGAAAACCTTGGGGGTGCCTGATAAGCTACGTTTGAGCCACATATAGGAATTCTGTTGATCTTGGCGGACTGTATGCAATTGTAGACCGATTCATACCTAAGTGCCTCATGTAAGCGCCAAGTTCTGTAGCTTAAAAAATGGTGCAAGCCTACCCGCAGGAAATGACGTTTGGGTGAGATGAAAATAGAATGTATCTCAAATATGATAAAATACAGGAATAACATATGAAATTCTCGAGTTATAAATCAAACAAATAACAGCTATGACATACCGTTATCCTAGCAACTGAAAGCGACAGTAGTATGCTACATCCCTAACATTCCCTGTCACATTTTCCGATAATCTACAAGTAGTATTTCACTGACGTATTCATAAAGGGCATTGCCCTCAAAGGAACATGAAAGAAAGAGAAGACTACGCCCATGTATACATGAATTAGAGCACCCCTACTCACCCCCGCTTATGCCGCGCCCGCGTCCCCCCGTCCTCGTTCTCTTTGTCTACGTTTGTATAGAACGACGATGTTGACCGTTGTGCAGTGCGCTCGACAATTGACGTCCCGTCGCGGAAGCGCGTCCGGAATAGCACGTTCGCATTCGTGAAAAGTCCCTCCTTGAGCGACACGACAATAAATTGCGAGCCCTTGAACCGTGTACGGAAGAGCTGTCCGATGTGCTGAGTATGCGAAAGGTCGAGCGCAGCGTCGATTTCGTCGAGAATGTACATTGGTGCAGGCTTGAATTGGAGAAGTGACATGATCAGGGACAACGCGATGAGCGATCTAATGTAGCAGATTAGCGGGAAGTAATCTTTAGACAACGCAGCGCGGTCTTACCGCTGACCGCCACTCAATTCAGTTAAGCTTTGTTTCCATACGGATCCTAGCTGGACCTTGACCTCGAGGCCTTGCGTGAGGTCCTGGCCTTCAGGCGGTTGCAGCTTCGCGAAATTTCCGGGTAGAAGCTCCGCGAAAATGCCACCAAAGTCTCTGTACAAGTCGCCGTTATCAGCAGCGCCACTACGTATTGCATGAATCATACCCGTTAACTTTAGTCCAAGTCTTCTCTAGGGCGTCTCGTTTATATCTGTCGAGTTCCTCGATGGTCTCTTCAATCTTCTCCTTGTCTTTCAGGACGGTACCAAGCATTTTCTTTAACGAAGCTTCCTTCTTCTCGACGCTGGTAATAGTAGGTTAGCTGAAACATGTCCACACCAGACCACAACTTACGTGTCGATCATGTTCATAACTTTCGGGTTGATCTTCTTCTTCATACCCTTCTGTTGTGCTTCAAGCTCCTTTGCCTTCTCATCCAACCGGCCCACATCGATCGCTGCAAAATCATACTGAGAGCCTCGCTTGCCAAACGACCTATCACATCCGTCCGAATGAGCCTATTATGACTGTCGATGGGGGAACTTACTCGTGTTCCTCAACAATCCACTCATATTGTTTCTCCAGGTTTGAGACGAAATTCGTAGCAGAGGCCTTCTCCTTTTTCAAGGTCTGAACGTCATGCTCAAGCTTCTTGAGTTCCAGCTCAGCATCCGAGATCGCCTGCTTCTTATCCTTTATGATACGTTCCAGTTCCTTCAACTCATTGTCGAACCTAGTAAGCGTGGCGCGCTCCTCTTGCAATCTAGACTCTGCCTTGATGAAAGCGGCCTTTCCAGAGCGCATTTCAGTGGCTTACCTCATCCAAGAGCTACTAGACGCTTACCTCGCTCGATGCTATCTGGTTGTTTAGCTTCCCGAGCTCTTTGTGCATCTTCTCAAGACCGGCTCGGGCTTCTGCGAGACTCTCGTTCGCAGCTTCGATATCCTTCTCAAGCTGTTCTGTTCCTCACGTTTAGAGCAGTCTCGTAGTTCTTGGCCACATTGCATACCTAGCTCGAGCGTCGCTGTTTGCATCTCCTTCTGCTGGGTCTTCAAAACTACAGAGTGCTTCTGCAGCGCATTTTTCTGCTTCGAGACATCGGCCTGCGAGGCAAACGCAAGAAAACTTAATAATGTCTCATTTCCACAGGACTCTGGAAGCACGCACTTTAAGCTCCTCAATCTTCCCTTCTTTATTGTTCTTGAACTCGTCCATGTCCTTTTCAAGCTTGGTTATCTCTGCATTGGCATCCTTCTGCTTCTGCTTCGCTGCTTCCACAGCGTCGTTGAGATCGACAATGGTCTTCTTCACCTTCTCGACTTCTGCTCCCACCTAATGGTCTAAATAAGTTTCACAATAGTCAGGGCAAAGCGATCAAAGCGAACCCGTGCTGCGTTGCTGCTACCAACTTGTTCTTCGAGCAGATGCGTTTCATGTTCCTTGATCTCAAGCTCTCTCGACAGCTTCTTCCACTGGTTGCGCCCTTCTCTACCGGCATCCTCCTCTCGCTGTAGCATATCAAGTCGCCCTCGTGCCTCACCAAGTTTGCGCTCTGCTTCCAGAAGATCCTGCACCTTGATGAGGATACCACTCCCACTGGGTGCTGAGCCGCCGCTCAGAGTGCCCGATGGGTCATATACATCCCCGTCTAGAGTCACGGAGCGGACGCCGCCTACCTGCGGTGAGAATGTGACCAGTTTTGCAGACTCAGCGTCATCGCATATGATCGTGTTGCCGAACACGAATGCCATGGCGTTGGCAACTTCTTCAGGATAACCGACCAGGGAAAGAGCGAGACGAACTTTTCCGGGAGCAAGCTTCGTTGCAGCTTGCAATTTCTGGGTAGGTGATCTCACTATTGGATCCAAATCACCATGCACCACAACATACCTGAGCTGAAATTTGGAAGGCGTCGATTTTATTCAAGGGAATGATCGTCACTCGCTTCTTTAGTCTGCCGTTTTTGAGCAGCTCTTTCCCAACTTGCTCACTCTCGACAACGACATTGTACAATCTTCCTCCAGCGGTGATCTCTAGCGCGGTCGACTTGTTGAAATCTGTTGGCTCTAGTGAGATAAGAGATGCAACCAGTCCTTTCACACTGGAGCGATTGAAGTTTGGGTAAGGGAGCGCGTAGTCAAAATCGAGCGACGACAGCCGGTGTTTAATCGCATCTCGCGCCTAAAATGGTGATATAAACATAAAAACAAGATCAAAGAGTACTGCCCTGACGCACCTCTGTTAAATCTCGCACTTCAGCTTTGGCAATCTTCAGCGCTGCCTCACTGTGCTGTTCTTTCTCCGCATTCCATTCGGACTCTCCGACCTTCTTCTTGAAGTCATCGACTTCTTTTCGCATCATCTGCAGCCTTTTCTGGCCTTCGCCGGCTTCTCTCTCGACTTCCTTCCACTTGGCCTCTAACGATTTCAACTCTTTGTTGCTCATCCCGACCTTCACTCGGCTCTGTTCCTCTCCAGTTTTTGCCTGAGCCAGGCGCGCCTTTGCGTCCGCCAGCTGTCCCATATACCCACCACCTGTATTGCTCGCGCCTTTCGAGGAGAGACCTATTAATAAAGTTTGCAGAAGTTCCTCTGCATTCGAAAGCGCGGTTTGTAGCGCAATTTGCTTATCTTTGACCGCTCCATGAGATGATGTGAGTTCCTCTACTTGCCCTCGCTTCAGCGTGATGCTCTCCTCCAGCTATAGCACCAGTAAACAGGTAAAACTACACCGCATACTCATCACGCACCTCTTCAAGCTCTTTCTCGAAAGCTTGTAGCTTCCCCTCTTCGTCAGAGATTGTACCTGTCTTGATCTCGACCTGCGTCCGCATCTTGACAAGCACTTTCTCCAGTTCACTAACCTCTTCTTCCAACTTTTTAAATTTTCCGTCTTTCCTGAGCTCCTTCTCCCTTTGTGCTTCCACCTCTTGGGCATCGTTCTCCGCTGCCTCAATCTCTTGCGCGCACTTATCCTTCTCCTTCCGAGCCTTTGTCATCTCCTTCTCTTTCGCATGGATCTCAGCCTCCTTTCTCTCCACTCGCTGTCGCCCCTCTGTCCATTCCCATGCACGTAGCACACGCTCGATGCGTTCTAATTCTGAACATGCCTTCTGCCATTGCAGAAATGAGCGCTTCTCCGCGCGAAGCGTATCGAGCTTCGGTGTAATTTCCTCAGCGAGGAGCGATGTGATTTCTCGAACGCGTTTCTCCTTCTTTCCCATTGTCTTCTTTGCCTTTTCTTTTCGTTCTTCGAACATACGGGTACCAGCTGCCTCCTCAACCATGCCCAGGATTTCTTGGGGGCGCATGTTCAGAACCTATGATGCAATTAGATACCCCATGTTAGTTAGTTGAACCAGTACGTAGATGCAGCGTAGGTCTGAAGGCCATCCCATGTAGGTATGTCAACTATACAGATGGAGCCTTCAATGGCGGGACGGGTCCATGCAGATGGACTCGCAGCTAATTCCAGAGCATTTTTCGTCACGAGTAATACGCTTACCTTGGTGATCCGACCTTGCATGATTAGAAAATTCGGATTATTGATATTTAGTTGCACACTTTGGAACAAAGTCTGGATGGTGTGCTGCTGTGATTTGTGGCCATTGAGAAGATATTTGGAAATATTAGGGAGGGCAATCTGGACAAGTGTATCAGGAAAAATCGAATATGCTTAGGTCTATTCAACGCGTACCTGTCGGGTAACAGTGATTTGCTTACAATTTTCTAATCCAACAGGACTAGTTGTGCGATCCGAGTTGTCGAACACAATGGTTACGCTTGCTTTGGTAATCCCCGCTTGGCCGCGTTTGTAGATGAGGTCTTGTTGATTTTGAGCTCGCATCTACAAGCAATGGATAGCTGCAGAATCTCTTGTATTTCTGACTTACGGATGTCATGTTGGTGATTCCAAGGACAAAACATATCGCGTCGAGTATGTTCGACTTGCCGGATCCATTGAGTCCAGTGATCGCATTGAATGAGGGGTCCCATCCGATGATTTGAGTGCGAACAGGATAGGACTTAAATCCTACGCGACTAAGTAGGTCATCCAAGAGTAAAGGTGCTAATAAGCGTACCTTCGAGCACCAATTCTTCTATACGCATGCCTGCTCACCGTCCGACTGACCTGAGGGAGTGATTTTGATGTAAAGATCGGAGCCCCGGTCTCAAGTAAACCGGTGAGTTCTCGGTCCAAGCAGTCCAGGGCACCAGCTGCAGAGTTCGCCTTAAGTTGATCGGAGAACGCGACTCGCGTCGTGGAAAGCGCCTGGGCGCCATAGGCGGGGTTCGAAAGCGCGTCACTCACGTGCCAGCTGGGCAGCAAGCTCGCCCCTAATGGCATAAGGCTCCTCAGATGAGATCGGTTTTGTCACCCTTTGTCCCTTATCGTTTCAGTGCCCTACCACTGGTCTTTGGGCCTAATTTACGCCTGTCAGGGGCTCTATGTCTTTATCTGATTTTGACTCGGACTTGACGGAACTATCTTCCGAAGAAGAAGAATATATTCCTGCCCCGACGAGAAGAAAAAAGAATGCAACCAACAAGGAATACAAGGTGAATCTGGACGCCGGTTATTTCTGAATATAACGGAGACTCATTTTGACTTTAGATCCAGAACGCGCTGAGACCTCCCAGGACGACGCAATATACTGCTAAAAGTCTATACGGTGAGTCGATGTTTGGATGGCACGGCTGTTCCTAACATCACCGAGAAGATCAAATTGTGGACAATGCGATTATACTCGATCCCGAGTATCAACGAGGTATGTGGCCACTTTTGCTCACTCAGTTACTTCATTGCCATGAAGTGTGGCTGACCGGATTTTTTTAAACTATTCTGCGTCTATGTTTCGCAGATGTTGTTTGGCCCGAGACGAAACAGAGTGGTCTTATTGACTCTATACTGAGAAACTACTATATACCTCCAGTCATATTCGGTAAAACCTCACGCTGATATCTTGGACCGCACACTGATCCTATGATCGACGCGCTGTGGTCCATCAATAACTCTATTCAGCCGTAACCGCTCAAGATGACGGCACTGAGACGCGCACATGTATTGACGGCAAGCAGCGCCTGACATCGATTCAAAGGTATGCATCGCGGCTTGAGTTTAGCCGTGTCTAACTACATTCCCTATAGGTTTATGGATGGGCTAGTGAGTGACGGTTCACAATTTGTGCCGCCGAATGAGCTTATTTTCTTTTCGTATGAATTAGATTTGTCGTGAGTGTCGCCTTTTGCCTGCATCGACGATCATTCATCCTCTCGTTCCGATACAGATAAGGACTCGTGAGTCAGGTCGTTCTTTTCACTCTACCTACCCAGCTTAGTCACTATGGCTGATAGTCAAACGAACAAACGCTATTGGTATCGAGACGGTCCGGGGTCGAAGCGGATGATCCTTCCCAAACAATATATGCAGGCATTTGCTAACAAGCAGATTACTTGTGTCGAGTACGACTGCTTAACCGGTGACCAAGAGAGGGAGATCTTTCAGGTATTGTTTTTCATGAAACTTTGCGAGCACTTATTGACGGTCGCTTTATACAGCGGGTTCAATTAGGTGTTGCACTCACCCCTGCAGGTTTGAGATTGTCTTAAAACATTTCACATATTGTCTGGTCTTATCCCTTTTCACTAGAACGAATGCAGGCGCTTACGGGCGAGCGTGCAACTCTCATACGCGAAGTGCAATCAAATATCCTCGGAGAGGAAGGTTTCGGCGATAACTTGGACTGGGGACGTGCCCGCGGTCGCGATTTCCAGTGTTTAGCATCTATAGTTTACCTCATGGACCATCACCCTAACACCACATTTCCTGGCGCGGCGCAATTGGAGAAATGGTTACAGCTTGCAAGTCGTCTGACAGCGACATTTAGAAATGAAGTGACGGAAACATTCAAGATTTTCGTTGCGCTGGTCAAGGACAAGCGTTTCAACGCGGCTTTCCAGAAACCAACTCGAGTTTCCCCCATTGAGTTCACCATGACAGGGATTCTCATCTATCTCAATCGTACGAAACTGTCTATGACGCAGCTTTCCTCTGCGATCTGGAAGATGAGGGCGGATGTACGGGCGAAATATGTCGACATTCGTGCCAACACCAAAGTCACCAAAACTATGTTCGCTTTCATCTCGAAGGGGCTCAAATTGGCCGATTTAAAAAGTGACGGCAAAGGCGATGTTCTGGCCTCGGTTGCTATCAATGCTCCTCCGGAGGTGCAGAAGAAGAATCAGAAGAGGAAGAGGATCGAGAGTGACCCTGAAGACAATGAAGATGAAGTACAGAGAAAACCTCTCCCTCCCAAGGCATCCACCTCCAAGTCAGCTCCCACTAAAGCGCCTGTAACAACGAAGAACCGTCAAGTTACACAAACGAAGGTTACCAAGACTCCCAAGTCTACTACCTCCAAAACTGTTACCAATGGCAAAAGTGCGACTCAGGCGTCCGCGACCCCCATATCTACGAAGCCAATCAAACGCATATCTTCGTCCTCAGAGGTGACAACTCCAACGCAACCCTCTGGTCCGGCTCTGTCGACTACTGTCCCGGCGGTAACTTCCTCGACTCCATCGGGATCAGGTACAATCAATGAAAGGCAAGACTCTTCATCCTCGAATCCACAAACGCCGCTCCCATTAGCCTTGCCTCGAAGATCCCCCCTAAGTTTGTCACAAACCAGTGGTGATGTAACCAAGAAAGATCTAAGACCTGTCAAGTCCGAACCAGAGCCGACAACATTGTTGAGTGGCGGCACCCCTGGGTTAGGACAATTTTCCACTTCCCATGCAATTGACCGCCTCGCTGCTGTTCGTTTAGCTAAGGCAAACGCAGCCAGTGGAGGGTCGATGTCTTGGCTCATAGACAATAGACCAGCTGTTATTTCCTCTACCCAGCTGCCACCAGATATACTCACCGATACTGCCACGATGATCAAACGAGAACCGACTCAATTGAATCCCTTGGAAACATGCTCAATCCCGGCTCAGCCAGCAGCAATGCAGATAGTGTCACCGTTTATGACTGCTTTGCAGCAGATAGACCGCGACTCAATAGAGAAATTACTAGCTCTTCATGGTATTGGACAGTTCGCTCAGCCTGCGCAGCCTCTCATTCAGAATTTCGAACAATCTCCTGAGCAACCTGCTGCCCAATCCAGTCTGACAAGGGCGCAGGTACCGGTATCGGCTGCTTCCCTTCCGACTGTGCAAGAATCACCATCATCAACTCAACCCCTTGCAAATGCTCGGCCTTTGACGCTGACTTTGGATGAGCCGACTTCTGGTACTTCTTCGCAACTGCCTGCAGTCAGCGCTCCTGTATCTACTGCACTCTCCCCCGGTCCTTCAATGCATAGTCCATCTAGTTCCTCTGGTACATCTTCTGCAGTGCAGTCTCAGATACCCCAGGCCGGCGTCATTGTGCCAGCAAAACGATGGAGTGAAGGTCAGGCCATGAACGGTCAGGCACCTCATCTTCCCTCCAGCAATCATCAACCCCATGCTCCCGCTCTGTCACCGCCACCGCCAGTGACAAAGGACCCCCCAGTCGCACCTCGAAGTTTTCGTGGAGCTTATACTCAGCCGTCTCAGCCTTTACTGCCACCCCCGCCCCTGCCTTCTGCGCCTCCACCTCCGCCCAATGGGAGCATCCTGGCTCAGCCCATGTCACTAGGCTCTCCTGCGGAGCGGACGCGCGACCCTAGGCTCAACAGCAAGCCGTATAGCCCGCGGAGCTCTGGTAGCGCGAGCGGATGTAAGAGCGAGGACATGCAGGTGGACGCGATGGATGGCGACGGTGATTGGGATAGAGATAGGGACGGGGGCAGATATCGCGATGATCGTGGCCATGATTTGGACTGGGACCGGGTCAGGGACCGGAATCGGTGGCGCGATAGAGAGCGAGACATCTATGCTGGCTGGGAAAGAGGCGGGCCCCCTCGCGGTGACTATGGGAGGCGATATTCCAGTGATTGGTGGGACAGGGATCGCTATAGAAGCCGAGATTATCCCCGAGGGAGGTGGTAGCGTTGTGGGGAGTCCTTATGGTGAGTTTGCTGTCATGCGTCTGAGATGTTCTCACAGCTCTGTCTCCGAAGCATATGCTCACTACGTATGCTTCGCTATCCCGGCTTGTAGACTCACGATACTCGGTGCCCCATGCCGTACTCGACCACCTGCCTTGTGGCCCTTCCAGCCTTGCCTATTTATTCGTCATCCGTAAGAGAATTCGAATGTTGTACATTTCGTGTATCGGAGCTACTACGGAAGGTCCGCTTCTCATATCGACTGTTGGTTAGACTTGCTCGATAAATTGCTCCTGGTCGGCTCTATCTTTACACTTAGCAATGCGTATATTATTTAGATTCTCATAGTCTTACTTTATTTTCTTTGATTCGCTATTGGTTTACAGCCGGCTGTAGCTCTGCGTACAATCGAATCAGCACACTCAAAGATCCAGGTCTTGCTCCAGCTATGATTAATTCCAGTCTGGCGCGACATCCCGGGCAGATGAGGCCATGGACAGTTCAGTGTGCCGGGTCCTTGATGAACCTATCCAAAACAAATGAACGATAAATTACAGAACTACATCCATACAGCCTCGTATACATGGTACGGTCAATATCAACGCCGACTAATTTGTTCAATACGTAGTATCTCTCGGCCTTGTCTCCCAGCAGTCGACCATCAATGTGATCACATCACGCTCATAATATAAGCTCCGCTTCGAAGTGAGTACGATATCGCATACTGACTGTGGGTCGCAAATAATGTCCTCCAATGAAGACGGGCTTGTAGGTCGGACCCGATGGGTCTAGGTATATGCAGCAGCTATTGGATTAATATCGTCACCGCCATGGCGACACATGCTAGCGCAACATATGGCGAAAGACGCTCTCCTGGAACAGAACTGTCATATCTGGAGCAGCTCAGCATAAGAGAGTATCACATACCTATGCGGGCAGACATCCAGAACAGACCCAGAAATCTTCACATTTGTGAAGCATGATAGGATCGGTAAAGCATATAAGAATAGAGTGAGGAAAGGTGCATACCCTTCCTTGTTCCTATCGACGAGGCGGGGTGTGACGGCGCGCACGTATGTGCATGTACAGATCATGAGGAGAATGACGAGCAGGAGGGATTGGAAGTTAAACAGCGCCGACTGGGAATTTTAGTGAAAGACTGTCGCTCCGAAATATTGAGAGACGCACCATATTAGAATTGTACAGTCAGCGGTCGTTGAATGTTGCCCTAGCCTTTAGACGAAGGTGGGATGGCAGTATGAATGCGACGCGCGTGTTACATAAGCCAGAGATTAGATTAGATGAGCGAAAATCTCGAAACGTTCTCAGCGGTCTTGTGCCAGTCTCTTTAATTGGGCCTCCGTGTGCGGACTCTCACCGGCACCATTCGCTTCAATTGAACACATTGCTCAAGAACTATATTTTTCGGCGACAGCTACATTCGCACCATGCCTTCCGGAGACCAATGGCGACAAACATGTGCCAATATATGTACAAACTACACAACGCTTCTGAACGCCTGTGTCGTGTGCTGGTGGGTTAGAGCCATGTGGGCGAAGATTGAAACAATCATCGTCCATCTCTACCCAACTGCAAACCTACAAGTTCCTCTAAAGATCTCAGGTGCGTCCTTTCTGCTTGAAAAAGTAGCGGAACCGAAGTAGGGCGATAATGCGGACTGCTTCGTCTAAAATCCCAGCCACTTCTGTCAGTCTTTGATCTCCATCGAGCACCCAAGGGGAAACGTAACACGAATGCATCTAAATTGGCAATGTGTCGTACAGAGCACGTCCTATTCGTGTACGTGAGAGAACGCATTCGTTCGCGCGGCGGCGACCAGCCGTCGAGGTGACTGGTGTCCAAGAATGCCGTTCACTAGCGCCGCATCATGCCTGCCGACGCAAACCTACGTGCTAGGGAACTCTCAGTGCGCGCAAGCCATAAAACATTCTCCACAGCTAGGTTGTGTCTAGGCTCGCCTCATCAGGTAAAGGCCGCGCGGCCGGGAGGCCCCAGTCTCGAAGTGTTATCACCCTGGACCTCTGTTGTCGTTTTAAATGGCACTGACCCCACCGTGGTCTAGGCACAGAGATGTCAATCAGGATCCGTGGAATCATTCAGTACCTGTGGAACATAATTTCCCTCCTTCCACTGGCTCCTATACTCTGGCACTGATAGTTGCGGCATTAGAGGCGGTGCAGAGGTATGCCACTAGGGTCCTCGAGCCGGCTGGCTAAACGTAGACTCGGGCAACTGTACGAAATAAAGCGACACGTCTGTGTTATCGCAGGGTCGGATGCTGTGTGACGAGTTTGCTACTTAGCTTTATAGATAATCTTCCATTGCATCGTGGCTTGGCTCGTGTAGTGAGGACTTAACTCCTGTCTGGTCCCGCCCCTACAGTGCATCTCTGTGGATAAGGTCAAGGACATATCATTTTCGAATTGTCAAGGACAGGAACATGACATGAGCGGTGGTGATGGCAAGACTAAGGATAACGGCGGGAGAGACGGAGAGGATCACATAAGCAGACTTTTCCCGAAACGGATGATGGTGCCTCGGTCGTTAGCGCTTACTGATTCTCCGCACCACCCCCGGGCACCGCTCCTGCTCTTATCGGTGACCATATATACTCATCCTCATCTTCGTTCGTTCTGCTCTTTGCAACGGGCGCATGTCCCACCATGTCAGTCTTCATCCCTGAAGACAAGGAACTCAGCTCAGAAAGCTCACTGGAATTTGAGGAGAAGCTGGACGCGGAGAAACAATGTGCGTAGTGGTTCCTCATCTGCATTGTGCTCTGGCTTACGACCATATGTTCCACACATCCCCAGTTTTCGCGGTGCCCGTTGCAGAGTTTGACGATCCGAATTTTGACAGCGAGACGATATACTTTGGTGAGCAATTAATACTAGCCATGTATGCGCACGCGTCTGAATGTGCACCCAGAGGATGACTCTCCGTATCCCGAGGTTCGCTCCGCTGTCGCAAATACGGATGATCCCCTCATGCCCGTTTGCACATTCCGCGCATGGACCATTGGTCTTCTTTGGTCTATCATTATACCTGGTCTGAATCAGTTTTTCTTTTTCCGATATCCAAGCGTCGAAGTCACAGGCGTATGTAATTACCCATTGTCTAGCGTGTTGATTTGTCGCTGACACTGCGACAGATTGTGGCCCAACTACTGTCGTTTCCTGTGTGTCGATTATGGGACAGACTAGTACCGCAGGTCAAAATTTTTGGAGTCTCCCTCAACTCCGGTCCGTTCACGGTGAAGGAGCATGTGTTAATCACAGTTATGGCCACTGTGGGATACAACTCAGCATATGCCGTGCGTCGTGATCAACACTGTCGATTTTGATGTACAACCGTGTCTGATTGTTTTGCAGACTGATATCATTGCGGTGCAACGTGTATACTATAGTGAGGTCTGGAATTTCAGCTATCAGTGGATGATTGTCTTATCAACACAGCTTGTAAGTAAAACACTTCCCTACCTTCCAGTTGGTAGTTTTCTTGACGCCAACGGTTACAGATCGGTTTCTCAATTGGTGGCGTGTGCCGTCGATATCTAGTCCAGCCCCCATCCATGATATGGCCCGCCAGTCTGGTGACTTGTGCTCTATTTAATACACTGCACTCGCAACAATATGCGGGGATAGGTCAGCATGGCGGCATCTCGCGGGAGCGCTTTTTCGCCTACGCGTTCACCGCTGGAGTCTGCTGGTATTTCTTTCCTGGATATATCTTCCAAGCTCTCAGCTATTTCAGCTGGGTATGTTGGATTGCCCCGGACAACGTAGTTATAAATCAACTCTTTGGATACGAATCTGGCCTTGGTATGTCCCTGATTACCTTCGACTGGAGCCAGGTGCGATCGACATATGTTCGAAGGGATTAGCGCTTATAGTCTTGTGAACAGATCGCGTTTATTGGCTCTCCTCTTGCAACCCCATGGTGGGCGGAGGCCAACGTGGCCGCAGGCTTTGTTTTCTTCTTTTGGTTCCTCACACCCGTGCTCTACTATGCAAATGTGTGGTACGCACAGTATATGCCCATTTCCTCGCGTGATTCCTTCGACAACACGGGAAACTCATACAATGTTTCGCGGATTATCAACCCTGATGTCACACTCAACATCTCGATGTACGAGAATTACTCCCCACTTTTCCTCTCGACCACATGGGCTGTGGCGTACGGTCTCTCGTTTGCCTCTATCACGTCGACAATTGTACACACAATTCTGTATTTCCGTAGACAGATCTGGGTCCAGTCTCGCCGCTCGTTATCCGAACAGCCGGATATCCACGCCCGTTTGATGAATCAGTACCCACAGGTCCCGGACTGGTGGTATGGTGCAATACTTGGTAAATCTTAAAATCGTCTCTTCATCTTTACATGCACTGACCGAAGATCAGTTACCATGTTTGCATTTGCTGTAGTATCAATAGAGGTCTGGGACACGCAATTTCCTGTGTGGGCCCTGATACTCGCCTTGGTCATCTGTGAGTTATATGCTGTGTACGAGTCTACCGCGGTTGACGATCAGTAGCTTTTGCATACACTATACCGTGTGGTATGATACAGGCTATCACAAATCAGCAAATAGGACTCAAGTCAGTATATTGTACGCCTGTCGTTGAACATACTTATCAACTCACAAACAGCGTCATCACGGAGCTCATCATCGGATATGCATTGCCCGGCCGCCCGCTGGCGATGATGATGTTTAAGACATGGGGCTTTATAACAATGTATCAGGCGCTACAGTTCGCCTCGGACATGAAGCTTGGCCATTACATGAAGATTCCGTGAGTATCGTCTGCGTTCTTCTGCTGATATACTCAGTCGATCTCCCCTAGACATCGACCCATGTTTTGGGCTCAAATCATTGCTACTGTAGTTGCAGGAACAGTGCAGCTTGGCGTTCAGTCTTGGATGTTCAGCAATATCCCAGATATGTGCCAACCGACGCAGAAGGATAGTTTCACAGTGAGTGTATAATCATATTGGCATGGGTCCGGCCATGAATTTGTTCGTTTCTCAGTGCCCTTCGACTCAAGTTTTTGGCGCCGCGTCAATAATATGGGGCGTTATAGGCCCTGCACGCCAATTTTCCGAAGGTCAAATATACAAGTGGGTATTCAGGCTATTTTTGCATAAATTACTTTAATCTCATCTTCACTTTTTATACACAGCGGGCTCCTGTATTTCTTTCTCATTGGGGCAATTTGTCCGCTTATATCGTACCTGATATCTCTGAGGTGGCCCAATTCCATTTGCAAATATATCAACTTTCCCGTCATCTTCAATGGCACCTCACTCATCCCACAAGCCATTGCCATCAACTATGTGCCGTGGGCTATTGTTGGGTTCCTGTTCAACTATGTCATCCGTCGGCGACATTTTTCATGGTGGACGAAGTACAATTGTGAGCGCAAAATTCGCGCTACTGATTCCCTTACTGATTCCCATCGACCGGTGTACTCATTTTGCGCTTAGATATTCTTTCTGCTGCGATGGATTCCGGCGTCGCAGTGTCTATACTCCTCATCTACTTCTGCCTACAGTTCCCCGCGAATGGCACGATCGGGCAAAATACAATACAACAATGGTGGGGTAATAATGTGTTTAAGAACACGTCAGATTACAAGGGAGAGTCTTTGCTCAGGGTCGATGGGCCGTTTGGGTATGTTCACCACCCTCTGGATCATGCTCTGATGTTCCGCATCGCGTGCTGACGGATTAACTATGTAGGCCGAAGCATTGGTAGAGACAATAATTTAAGAAGGGAGTATCTACATAGCTTATTTTTACCGCATGCGCGGATGTTATTTGTGCTTGCATACCTTAATGTGTCATTAGATATAGCTGTTGTACTGGTCCGTTCGCTTGGACTGGCCAAGTGGGATGATGGCTAATGTATTTGTATCAAACACCGTCCACTCAATCTACGTGACTATCTTCTGTTGTGGTTTGCGGGCGGGTGGGGCCGGTTGCCATGCGGCCATTAATATGTATTCCTCTCATGCTTGTTACAGTATCTGCATGGTGTAGAGACGCAGCATTGGTCATTGGTATGCATACTCAGGCTACTGATGCTTCCAATGCAGCTCTCCGCATACAGCTGCGCTCTCACGCCAAATGCTCAGTGCTGCGGCTCAGAACCGAAGTCCATCGATACACGTGTGGTCTTGGCTGTGCAGGCCAAGCGCCAACAAGGTGAATTTGAAGGATGTTATTACTTCTGGTATTTTCTACGAAGTACCTGTGGGCAATGTGTTGGACAGCCGAGGTGAGCACTGTTCCGCGATGTATAAAGTCTAGACGCCTTTTCCATCGGTTTCTTTGTAAGTGGCCTGCATGCTGACATCAGCTAGGTGGCGGCGTACACTGGGTTCTAAGATGTATCCTTGCGGTCCCCCTTGTTCTGCAGAGGCTCAACCATATGGACCTTTCGGTCTCCAAAATCCCACCAACAAAGGAGGTCATATGGTTCAGTCGACCAATGCGGTCAGTGGTCATGACATTGGGATGGAAAGCGTTGACTGGCATCGCGCTACGCAAGGCTATCTCCACTGGCGTGAATGTTAAATTCTACTCCGCAGCATCCCATCAAGGATGCAACCCTATGTTCGGAGTTGTTCAGGGATGATCTCCCATCTCCTTAACATCGCCTTGTATACGCCTAGAACCGAGACCTACAGAATCCGTTGGGGTCTTATACGCCCCGATAGATGCCGCGATTAGGCGGCTTTCTACAGGCTGCCAAGTCTTGCAGCACTGCGCCTTTTCTTCTGGACCTAGAGATCAAGTATCGTTGGACTGCCGTCATATTCGAAACTATCAAGGTTTGGTGGTCTATCAAAGCGCGCAGAAAGCGTCTAGTCAACCGCCGTTCTCCCCGACCTGCTGCAACATCTGGATGTGGGTGTCCATCTGCCAGTACTTTGGTAGAATGTAATACAAATGGGCTGACCGAGCGGGGAACGTCACCATGAGAGTTTGCTATCAGAGCTCAACATCTTATACCGTAAGGATACGGCTTCACGCTCTTGCGCGCCGGGCTTATCTGACGCCTCCAGGGCTGCACAGATGTTTCGAGCGCTCAGAATGGCAGTATTTTGCACACGCTATCTTCACGCTATGCGACGCTCACGATGACCGGATGACCCAATAATCACACCTTCGCCAAATTAGCGGAAAGACACAAGCTCGATGTTCAAGCAGAGAAGTCCTTCGCAGGTAGTTCTGCCGTCAGGCTGGAGCAGAAGGCTTGACTTTTGACACGGTATGACACTAGCGGTGCGAGTGGTGATTATCGATGCACGGAAGGACGCGCGCAATTGCCAGATGCGTGGGGTGGTGGCCGAGGTTTTGGGCCGCCTGGCCAGAACAGTTCTGTGCATGACGGGTCGATTATCAGGTCTATATGACTCTCGCGCATCTATGCGCGGGAGTACTCGTACAACATACGTTTGAGATGATCCGGCGTTTGAGACGATGCGAAATCTCGGAGGCCCGGAGAAACGACCCTCCCAATGTCTGCGAGCGGCGTGTCCGTGAGCAATGGAGCGGACAACGGCCCCAATACGACAAGCTATTGTTGTACGAGGGATGATGCTAAAAACAACTCACCTACCCGAAGCTTGGAGGCGGGGAAACTGCAACATGCTTCGGGAAACCATCAACTAAGAGTGAAGAATCTGACAAGCGCTAACATATGTATTTTCGTATGCCAGACACAAAGTTTTGGAGAGTCGATGTAGATGCTCAAGCAACCATACAGCAGCTGAAAGACCATCATACTACACCCGACGAGGTGATAGTCACTTTCTGCTTCGGCCGGCCCGAATCAGTGCCCACAGCCTCTATCTTTTTCACGATGTCCATGCCCTCCACGACTTCGCCGAACACGACGTGTTTGCCGTCTAGCCAAGACGTCACGACTGTCGTAACGAAGAACTGTACGCGAGTTGGTGGGAATTAACAGTGACTCGTGGAGATTAGATATGAACACACCTGTGAGCCGTTCGTATTGGGGCCTGCGTTCGCCATCGAAAGCAAGCCAGGCTTGACGTGCCGAAGCTTGAAGTTCTCGTCTATGTGTACTCGGTCAGCATACGGGTGCGTTGAATGTGATACCCAGACTTACCTGCAAACTTCTCACCGTATATTGATTTGCCACCAGTGCCGTTATGCCGTGTAAAGTCACCGCCTTGCAGCATGAACTGTCAAAAGAAGCTTGTCAGATGTACAGCGCGTGAAGATGTTATGAAAGGTTCGCGGACATTGGGGATGATTCTATGAAAATGACTTCCAGAGTATCCGAAGCCGTGCTGGCCGGTAGCAAGCTCGCGGAAGTTCCTCGCGGTCTTGGGTACGGCCTCGTCGAAAAGCTTGAACACTATCCTTCCCGTAGGCTTGGAATCAATTGCAACATCGAACTTCATAGATACATCAGTCTCGCAATTTCGAGGTTCTCGAAAGATACTAGACTCACGAATACGTTAGACCTGTTCACGTCCGTGAGCGAGATTTTAGCTATGACGGACCCCTTTACAAGATTTACGGGACTTTACATGGATATATTGGACGAAGAGGCTGAAGTCGCGAAACGGCGAAAGAATGAAGCCATAGCGGTGAACAGAACGGTGGATGTTAGTGACGAGGAGTCGGAAAGGCCAGGACATTGAGGCGCCCATAGTCAATACTCACTCACGTGACAATATATACAACCAAGACTGAACTCGTGAAGTTTGAAGAGAATAGACGGACAGTTGGACTGGTGCAGCCACCGGCGGAGGTTAGCTAGGCTCTCTCTCTTCAGCAGCTCTTTATACGCCTGCGGTGTTCGATTGTTGTCCCCCGAACACACTATCGCGATCTCCACCCGGAAGCTCTTGCTTGATGATCACGGCACACGAATGGGCAAATTAGATGACATGCTGCAGCTCTTAGGAGTAATTGCAGTGAATTCCGGGAAACAACAAGGGTAGCTTCTGTGTAGGAGCAGACGCTCTGGGCCGGCCGGCGAGAGCGAACATAGGCTACAGCATAACACCCCCGTCCCACGTGCATCAACACGATCCACCGCCAGCGACTGTCGCAGCCCTCCTCGATGACTAGATGGACACGGCCAAGTCGCCAAGGGAGCGGGACGTCGAGATCCGCTCATAGATTTGAGGGCCAAATGGCAGGCGTGACAGAACGCTCGGAATCTAGGAAGGAGAAGGGTCCTTCCGCCCCCGGCCATGTCCCGGCAGCTATATACTTAGCATGTTCATCGTCCAAAGGATGCAGCCTAGACCACCCGCTCGACCGGCCCTACGCGAAAGACGTGGAATGTAGAATGTCCTTTATGGTCCGATCGAGGGGTAACAGGCTGCTGGTCAATCTCCTCTGGTCTTCGTGGATGCCTCCTTCGAACTGATAGCACTGGTCTCGCTTATTGGGCAACACGTTGTATTCGGAGTACGCTTTGCACAAGCCATCAGGATCATTATAGTGAAAGGGGCAGCCTGATCTTGTTGGCGCTGCTTTGTACTTTGTATCCGCTGCAACGAATTCTGCAGGTTCCATAGCAGTCAACATCATTCAGATGAATGTCCACAACGTACCTCGAGCGCCTTCGCTGCCTACACACTTAGGGAATCTGGCTATCATTGGCCAATCAAGGACGGCACATCTGTTACGGAGGACTGGAGTGAGACTCCGACGCAGTCTCAACTCGATATCACTGCATCATGACCGGCCGCAGCTCGGCTAGTGCAAGGAGCGCGAGCGCGTGCCGTAGTATGTCAAGAATTATGACTTGCATGTAGCTGAGCTAAGTTTAGTAAACAGCATAATCGGGGGAGTAGTCAGATTTGACATCCTGCGAGGAGGTAAAGTCTTGAAAAAGTGGTGTCAAATATGTTGAGCCAGTGTTCCCAATCACCAATAGTAGTAGCTCGCTACGAGATCGCATCTTTTTGGGCATTGCATAGAGCATTTGTGACGCTAAGTGTCCGTAGTATTATTGTCTCAGGAAACCAAGCCCACTAATTCGTCTGCAATGAGACAGGCAGAGGATATTCATACAGAGATGCTATCTATAGCCAGCAGCGTGACCTTCGAGCGATGTGATCGATTTCCATAAGATGAGCCTTTTGAAATCGAATGGGGGAGACTTACTGGATGACCGTCCTGGATGCCGGATCCCGATATAACAAAGATGATACATCGATTGCCCAAGTGGCGGCAGACTCGCAGACCCTTTTGAGCGTCCCATGGGGGTCGACTATCGCATTGACATTCTGGAAAAATATATTAAATACATTCCTTGAAATGCCACGCTAGTGTAAGCCACAAAACTTAGATTAGCACTTCACTTTAAGCCGTGAGTTGGCTTGGGTTCGGGAATTGCCCGGAAGCCGAGTCCATGCCGTGTGAGCACTAACGCTGGTGCTACCGTGGTAGTGGCAGTTGGCCGCTACATAATACATTCATGCCGCGAACAGATATCACTGCTCGAGGTATGACGCTGATGTGACGAGGCCAACCTATACAAGTCAAACGACTCACTAAAAATGCTTCTCCGTCGGAGTCCATTCTGTGTCTTTAGCCGCAGGCCACTCGGCAGCAGACTACGGCAGGATCTTGTCCAGGTAGGTAGACCTGAGATTCAGAGACTTCAAGGTGTCATGCCGGGCCAGCCGGCCGAGGGTTCTACCGCGGAAGCCAGCCGATTATTCTCCTATAGCATGCACATTCGTTCGAATTCTTGCTAGTCTTCCTGATCTCATATACACACAGGCTTTGTCCCCTTAGGTAATTCATTTGGCTCGTCGAGAGGGTGCCAAGTTACGCCTGGTCTGGTCTGGTTTGGTCATCGGGTTTTGAATATAGACTCGTGATCACTGGGAAGTCAGAGTTTGACCACACCCGCATCCGCACTGAGGCAAGAGGGATGGAAGATTACGTCGCAGAATATAATCAGGTGTGTGGTTCCCAAGACGTCGGAGCTTCGTAGCAGTCGGAGAGTGTGTAACGAACCATAATATCGGACTGCCGCGGACAGCAAAGAAGCGCCGGCATTGAAGACTGAAGAATGGTTCCAGCAAGAACAGAGAGCTAAGTGGTACCGGCCACGACTATCCAGATGGGCGGTTCAATTCTATTGTCAATTCACTTTCTGCGCTTGCATTGCAGCAGATAATGATGGTGCTAAACTGTCCATGATAGCTAGCTGAGGTTGACTGAGAGCTGAAGTGCCATTAGTTTGCAATGCACTTCCACCAGCGATTCGATTACTGGGCCCAGAATATTCTCAGAGTAGTCGGTAGCGCAAGTGGCAAGACTAGTATAGGTGAGAAAGGGCCCGGCGATCCTGAATATAACCCAATGGTCCCAGGTGGACACAGACGCGACCCGAGTGAGGTTTTAGAAGTGATACCTTCGGCGGCAAGACATGGTGATATGTTGGTGTTAGAACTTTCATATATATCCTTGTCGCTGCATCAACTGCATGTCATGTATAAATCGGCACCAAACCTACAGCCTGAGGAAGGAGGGGAGGAATGAAATTTGAGTCACAGGAAGGGCCATCACGCACTGCATCGAGAACAGGATAGTGTTCGGGACTGACAGTTAAAAATTCCAGATCGCTTGGTAGCGAGTCCATTTGAATACACCGGTGCAAGGTTGTATAATCCTGAGAAGTCCACAGAACATCATGTGGCTCAGTACATTTGCATGTCCCTAAACAGCTTGCCAGCTTCTCAACGGAATGCTGATATCGGCTCAGCAACCACACTCCTCATTTTGTGAGTACATTTTGTGAGAAATGAGTAGTGCTCTGTTGGAAAGAAAAGGGTCAGCCCACTAGACTGAGACTTCCAATACCGTGGTCAATGATGACTTACCCACACAGCTTCACGGAGAGCATCTGACTGGTGACAGTCGTACACGAAGCAAGTCGGGCTCAAAGCTGGACCATACAAGTATATACATGTACTCGCGATGAAAGTATATTGCACTCGCACACAGGATTTGAGGAATTTGCAGACGAGACACGTACTATATGTCGCGGTTACCTCACTCGGAGCGGACTCGATCTAGCTTGGGTTCGGAAGAAACCTACAAATGAATCGAAATGCACCTTGTGGTTATCTTATGCCTATCAGCAAGCACGAAGTCCGCTTGACAGCCCCTGCGGCCATGCGGCCTTACCTGAGTACGAAGAATGTTCGGCTCAATGGTGGGATTTAATGTTTAATGTAAGTTCGAAAGTGAAGGCTGCTCTTCAGCTGAAGTGACTCATAACTGAAATATCAAATTGGTTCTGTATCACGTGCTCTGACGTTACCTGGTCACTGCGCTCGGACTGCGCAGTATACTTCGCTCTCCTGCCTTTCTGTTTGTCAAACCCAAAGACTGCAAGCTAGATTGTTTTACGAGTAAGTGACATTGTTGATCGGCATGCGTCGATCTTACTCAACAAATTTCAAGATCATGCTGCCATTTGTTGCGGTCACGTATTTGGCATTCGCATGCCTTCCGTCTACTTATGCCTATACCTGCTACCCTGATACGGAGTACGCTTGAGCTGCAAATATCTTATTTATTGCTGACGGGTGTTTCATTTCAGGACCGGCGGTGAACACTGTACTGGTCTATCCAACGGAGTGAGAATTGGTATAGGCATTGCTATCGGTAAGTCGCTAGATCCACCGAGAAAATCGCAGTTTTGTTGCTACCACGATCGCGGTAGTCTGTTTGGGATTGGTGTCCAGACCGATATTATGATGACAACGGTGATCATACTATCAGCCTTGCACAGACCGTGTATTTACCGCTTTATCTCCCCCATCAAATGTATATCGAGCTAGGGTGACGCAGCATAGTCATCGCGCGGATCGTGTCTTCTGTCTTGTCATGGAAAAAGCAGTATGGTGCTGTTAGTCTCGACTACTGCAGTGGATTCAATGATTGGCAGTGGTTTTGCAGTGTGATTAAGTGCGCAGATTATACTATATAATCAGCACTCGCTATTATATTTGAAGAGAGCTAACAAATCTTTGCAGCGGCAGCCGGCTTGCTGTTACTTATAGGGGCTGGGATAATGCGACAACGGCGTATTCGCAGGACGAATTTGATGTATATTACCCAGCCGTCGCAAGCATACCCCATGCAAGGTTCTCCCTACGGTGGACAGAACAATGGCCACCAGTCCCCCTACAATCCCTCCTACATGCTACCTCAGTACCCACAATACCCCCAACAGGCTCACGCCTATGACCCGCAGAGTGGCTTCGCTCCCGTACGTTGTGTCGGTATGGATCATGTTTCACGCTGAAAGAACTCATGTCTCGTTCGTTTTCAGCCTTACCAGCAGCCTCCCAAGTACGAGCCACCGCGCAGCCCCCCTCCCATCTCTGATAAGACTCGGCCTAATTATAATTGAGACCATCTTCCTCACAAACATTCCATTATGGGCTGTCGTCGTGTATCGTCATTTCATTGTAGTTGTTGCTGTTGTACTGCTCTCGTCATACCACATATATCGACTAATCATCGAGTTGTTCCACTTCCATACCTGAGAGATCGAATGGAATTCTGGTATAATCCAAGTGGCCTGAACGTGATCGTCCACGGTTGAATCGACACAACATCGGACAGGTTGTCTGGGAGACCAATGGGCCGAGTCGCGAACTTGGAGGCGTCAAGTGGGCGCCTCGCACTTTCCACTTCTCCCACTTCTCTCTTGGTCTTACTTACTTTCCGCTACCGCCCCGCGTCCTTTTCTTCACTCCCTTGACTTGATGCCCAGCATATTCTCTCGCTCACGAACGAATTCAACTCCCAAGAGACCAACCGACAGCCCATTTGACGAGTTTGGCCGAATTACCAGCAGAGGCTCCGCTCGGGGCCTCACAGCCTCGCCGCAATCAACGAGCAAGAAAGAGAAGAGAAAAGATTCAAAGGAAAAGTCCAGGTCGAAGGCATCGCCAACCGAGTACGATGTACCTGAGATTGCCATCCCCGACGGCACGTTCCTGCCGCTTAATTTCGACCCTCCACGAGTCGAAGTCACCGGGGAGTCCAACGAACCTCGGACGAGCAACAACGACTATGGACATTTGTCGTACGGACGGCATGTAGTACTTGGACTGGAGCAGGTCGCGCGGCTCGTGGATGTGGTGGGGAACGAGCTGGGCATGCGCGGGCTCACAACGCCATTCATATTCTCGACGCTTGCTCTAGATGTCTCCGCTAACGCGGTGAGGAGGCTGATTCAAGCATTTCTTAGGACGTGCAGCAAGCCATCGAACGAGGCCGACTGGCAGTGGCGGGAGGAGGCACGCCTGGCCGGCCCACACGAACTGGGGATGTGTCTTCGCTGGGGACTTGCACGAGTGGTGCGGATCATGGGCGGACAAGAGGTGCGCGGACTAGTTGCATACGAGAGCTACTTGGAGTGGCGGGATGCAGAGGCAGGTGCGTATGTTGTCGCTGAATCTCTGTATGCATTTAGACATAAATTCCTTACTGCCACAGCCCTGAATTATCCGGAGCGCCACTTTGCAGCACTAGTGGCACCCTTGCAGCCAATTTTGCGGTCGATTATTGTTGGGCTGCTGAGTCTGCTCACGCGATTCACAGCGCACTCAGCCTCGTCCGGACACACACCGCCCACGTTATCACCGTTGTTCGGCCCTCTGCTGTTCGGTCTCGGTCTCTCGACGCTGACTTTCCATCAAGCATACATGTACTACTTGCGCGCGACGACGGCCACAGAACATCTGATTCTGGCATTTATCCGGTGGCAGGACGCGTCGGGAGCAGGAGTCAGCGGAATACCTACACGACTTAAGGCGTGGATTCAGGGCTACCCTGCAACGCTACCCGAAGCGGGAAAATTTGATCGCAGGCCAGAACCACGGCGGGGTGCGCGAACAGTGCGGGTGATGAGCGTGCGGCGGAACGTGCGGATGTACTCGCCCGACCTGGTCAAATCTGCCGCGGCCTGGGCGCAAGGCCAACGTGGGGCGACAGCGAGCTCATCGATGGGGGGTCGTGCATTTGCAGGATCAAAGGAGTGGGAGCGAATTTCTCCCCCGACTCTCAAGCTCCCACCGCGGTACTCAGACGCATATAAGAAGCGTATGGACCTCCCACCAAACTTCCATCCTGACAGCGGGACGAGTTCGGCTTCCTCGACGATCAGTGCGCCATCGTTATCGTCGTCGGTGTCTACAGCCTCGTCTATCACAATTGACGAAAAGGAGCACGGTTTTTTGGGGACAAGGGCAGGCGAGGATCGGTTCAGAAGTCTGACGGATCTGAAATGGGGCGAGTTTGAGATCATGGGTTTTGGGGATCTGGGTGCTGATGAGAAGAAGCTGCAGTTCGATCTGACTGAGGGCGCGCGAGCGGTGAGTATGATATATTACCTTAGTCTGTGTCCCTAAATACTTTCTTTGTGGTGGCCAGGCACGCGCAGCGAAACGTTCGACACTCAGCTGGCAAGATTTCTCCTCTGCAGGTTTCTCGCGCTCCGATGCGCCACTAAATGCTACGCTGCAGTTTAGTACGCCTGTGACAAACACAGTGAATGCTTGGCCCCTCCACTCAGTAGAAATCCATCGCAAGCTCAAGAAGACGCAGAAATCTCTCCCTGTATTTGGATGGGATATTGAACCTGTGCTAGGTTCGGAAGAAGTGATCGAGGAAGCCTTCGTGGACGTATTTTGCGATCTGGTTTATGGTGGAGGATGGATGGATATCGAGAGATGTGAAGAAGTGGACCGGGATTGCAATTGGGCTCTGGTGAGCATTATTGTTCTTGTTTGCAATTTCCATGCTTGAATTATCTTCTTTCTGTTCAGATCGAGTTTAAGTCGCTACCCGTATCTAAAACAAATACGGTGTCAGGGACCACCGACCCGCGCACGTCAACCACATTGGTACTATTTGAAGAGTTCGTACCATTGGAATACAGGCAGCAACTCGCAACATCGGGAACACGCCGGCGCCGATTGCCCTCTCTATTCGGCACATCTTCAAAATCAAAGCAATGGAAACAGGCCCCCACGCTGAATGGCAGACCGTACGTCGTCGGACATGTTCCAATTAGTCCCTCATATCGTGAAGTGGAATTCGAGGGTCTTCTCCGCGACAACGGAAGTGCTACCAAAATCATATCACTTAACCAAGGTAGGCTGTCACCTTCACCAAGCAACCAAGCAACTCCAGGTCACTCCCAGCTTCCCATTCCCCCCGCCAATAATTCGCAGTTGTTGGCGCCCCCTGTACCCAAGCTGCGCCTTAATACTCAAACTCCTCCGCCAATCCCAAATCGTGCCAAACACCGAGAGGAGACAGCGTCACCTTCTCCAATGCACAGGAGACATTCGCGCTTCCGACTGCCAACAGGGCTGCCAGTAAGTCCAGGCAGCTCGCGGAGGCTACCGTTTCCACCTGCTGAGTACGAGTCTGTGGACTTTGATGCGCGCCTTGCTAGCTTCTCGGATGACGAGCTTAATATTGGACTTGACAAGCACCATCGTCGACGGTCCAAGGATGACGCATGGGTCGATATCTTAGTGGCGAACAATAACCGCCGCATGCAAAGTCAAGAAGTAGATATGAGGAACGGTCACAAGCTTCGGAGTCGCCGTTCTGACCCTGAACTAGCGAGCCAAGAGGTTTCGGAGGTGTTGGCGGCGATGCGCGGACAAACACCATCGGACGAGGAGGACGAGGGCATGGAACCTGTAGATGGACCAAGTGACTTTGGGAGAGAAACTGAAGATGACAGCCGAACCATTGAAGAATCCATACTCGAACGGGGTCATGCATCGGTGCCGGAGCGGGATTCCGCTTTGTATGGTGGCGACGATGAGGACGACGAGCCTGTAGTAATGCCCACCCGCACGAAACGCTTGGGTTATTTCGACATGCATCCTGATCGCAGACCAAAGAATGATAGTGATCAGCCACAGATTCGTCTTGAGCGGACATCAATGGACAGCGACGCTTTCTCCCAAGATGACAGAATGGACGCTCCTTCGTCCAGTTCTACGCCGCGTATAGATGATATCTCATCGACATTTCCTTCCGACGCCGATGGCGATTCTCAAGTGACACCGAGTGCCTCCCAGGTCGATCTCAGCGATGCCTCGAACCCAGGGGAGGTGAGACGATTTGCCCTTGGTGGAGCTGCCAGTGCTTCCTCTGCAAATATCCAATCACAGCCTACTGAGAACCAATCACTTCTTCCTCCGGCATCGAGCTCCAGCTCACTGAAGCCGACTGCCAGTAGAACTGCTTCGCTGATTGAAATGTACCGCGAGCGCGAGCGTAGCGCCACTGCTCCTGGTCCGGCTAGTGCTTCTCGGCTTCCCGTACGCTCGGCTTCCCTCCAACCTCCTGGATCAGTGCCGCTCGCGCTTAGACCCGGCGTACAGCCTGCAGCTACTCCCGAGATTACTGATACGGAGCCCGAGGAATCGGACATCGACCCGGAGCTTGTTTTGAATCCTCCTGAGCCCAACCTGCCGATTCGCTACATCCACGGTGCGCCCCTCCATAATGTACTGGAAGAGGAGGAAGAGGACTAAAGCATTCCTCACTTGCCGCGACGTCTGTTTTGTTGTTTTTGTTCTTGTCTGCCTTGCATCGCCGCCTGGTGGCCGCATTTTCTCTCGTTTTATCACTTGATGCCTGTATGACATGAGGGCAGGCTACCACACATTCATTGGTGATCCGGACTGCTCTCGTACCTAAATATTTAGTTTTCGTCTGTGCTCAGTATATGCGGTCGGCATTGAACCTGCGATGTCTCTATGAAGAATTTGGTACACTCTCATTTCCCACGTACATGTTTCGTATCTAGCAGCTTAGTGACCATGTTTTTTTTAGTGCGATACGATACCAGTTGATACCTATCCTCGGGTCCTCGATATATACAGCATCCTATTAGTAACTGCTTTTTCACTTTCGTAACAGCATCTTAGTCTGCTGCCGGTCAGACCCCTCACATCGCAAGACTACGCGCGATGCGCACCTTACTTTGTCCCAACGAATAACTGGTTGCTTTTATCATCCAGCCAGTGTTGTCAGTGGAAGTAAGCACGACATTATCTTGACGGGTACCCCGTCCATCTCGTTGATCACCCAACCTTACTCGACTGTAATTTGCGCGCACAACATCGCCTTCTTAGCCATGTTGAAATTATAATTGGCTTGATATGCAACAACTTGGCCTTCTCATTTGTTTAACAGCCATCAGCAAAAAGCGAGCGAGAATACCTACGTTTAGATAGGATTCTAATC